CCGTAAAGCATAAAAATAGGCTTCCCATCCTCTACAGGTTAATAAATAAATTGTAACTTCCATAAATTGCCGAGGATTATATTTACTATAAATATTTATATTAAAATATTTAATGAATATATAATTAAAAATGAAAGATCTAAAAAGACCGTTTTTACTTCGATGTTTCTTCTAAGCAAAAACAAATTTTTCGGTAGATTTTCACGAATGATGAATAACCATGTTGAACGAGGGTTAAGAAAGTGAGAAATGATACAAAAATAAATATGATCGTAACAAATAATACGTTGGTTCAAATGTTTTAATATTTAATAAATCATACATAGGATTCGGGAAATTCGAATGTTACATCCCGCCCAGTTAGTTGTTTGTACACCGAAGCAAAGGTATCAACCTGTCAAAAAATGAGGAAGATTAAAACAGATCATATAATAATAGGTCAGACAAGTAAAGTGCTATGCAGAGAAAATGGAAAACGTGATAAATGTACCTTGTGTTCGATATTCGTTTGTTCATTTTTGTCCAAATGAACTTTGGTTACTTGCGAGCCGTCGAGTTTTACTCGAATTCGTTTGCCCACAATCTCGACAGGATAGACAATATCCTCCAGCAGGGCGTCGTATACCGCAGTCAACGTACGGCTAAAATAAAAATGAATTATGTAGAATTACAATCAGAATTCAAAATAAACGTTAAGCAATATTGAATATTGGAATAACTTGGTATTCGCAAAGTATAAATAAAGTACTAATAATGCAATACGTATTGACATTAATCGTAATTAAATTACGCCTGTCTAATCAAGGAAAACGATTATTTTCATTTTCTTACCTCCTAGGACGCTTCTGCTTATTCTTCGTGCGCGTCTTTCTCGTCGGCTTCGGTAAGATTTTACGTTCGCCGACGAACATCACATGCTTGCCAGAGAACTTCTTCTCCAATTCGCGTACTAATCTGGTCTGAATCTTTTGGAATGCCTTCAGTTTCGGCATCGGTACGTATATGATGATCGACTGTAAGGAACGCAAGCAGCTCAGCACAGTCCTTAGCGAGGATGTTAAACAAACAAATACACGGTTATAGCAAGGAATCAAAGTCTACCTTTTTATTGTTTGTTTCTAGTTCCTTCGCCTTAGTGATATAAAGTTCCCTCAAATGCGACTTCAGATCGCTGTTCATCTCCAGTTCCAGAAGAGCATTGGAGATGCCCGCCTCGAATTGGTCGGGCTCCGAGCCGCCGCTTTTAATTATCTTCGCGTTAGCCGTGAACATCTGAAAAAAAAAAAAAAAAACAAGATTGAGGTTAGGACATTGTTTACGAGTGTCCGTGCGCGCACCATCCGCGCGAGATATTCGTCGGGCAACATCGTATAGCAATATTAACTCCAGCGTGGATTCTGTCAATACTCCGAAGACGATCCTCCGACGCGAGAACGATCGTCGGCGACGTCGAAGCGTGACGTTGTGGTGAACGCGAGGATCGCGAGTCAAAATCCACCGTAATCACGCCGAGGACGCGCGATCTGGGATGGATATCAATCGTTTCGCCGGCCGCGGACTCTCCGGCGTCGCGCGACGCGTGATTTCATACATCGTCGTATATTGAAAGGCCGTAAAGTCAAACGCAATTAAAATGCCCACCTTGTCCACCTGACCGCGACATGAAAGAGAGGCTAGGATTAAGGGACAGCTAGTGCGCGTGCGCGACCATTCCGCTTTGGGGGCGGGGGACACCTGTCGCCTAAAGTCACTAGATATACATCTAGTGACTTTATGCCAGGCCGTACAGTAGCGCCACACATCCACTTTCAGGAATTGGAACTACGAGCCACATCCACTTTTCGATACTGTCGATGAATTGGTTCATGTCCGTGCTATGTATACATCCAATTACTTTTAACGTTTTAATGTAAGCATTTATAAATTACAGATAATTGTTCGGCCGATTTGATTTTTTTCAATAATTTCTATTGCATAATTATACATAACTGAATGTATAATGGATAATAACAGCACGATGGATGCAACGAACAGCCTACACGATCTTTCAAATAAAGGTATATAATCTGTGACAATTGAAAAATTTGAGTGCTGTAATAATATTTACTTAATCAGCGTTTTCTCATTAAAGCACTAGTGGAAAGAAATATCATGCCGCAAGGTATATCGTTAATTGATCCAGCAGCCGTGGCAAAAGCAAGCCAGCAGGATTTAAAGGCACTGGTTGCGGAAATTGAAAAGGCAATACAAGCTTAACGTATTTATAATTAAACTAAAATATATGATTTTATTATATATTTACTAATTTTTATATCGTTTTTGTACAGGCGGATAACTGTATAAAAGCCAATGCGTGTAACAAGTTGCAAGTGATTGCACAACAGATCAGATTTCTGCAAAAGCAGGCCGAGGGTATTTTGCTGGAGGCGCAACGTAATGCCAAGCTGCATCATGCGGCCTGTAACTTTGTGAAACAGCCGGGTCACATCTATCACTTGTATCAACGGGAATCGGGGCAGCTTTATTTTTCCATGCTTAGCCCGGAGGTAAATAACTTTCGATACCTTCAAAGCATTAATTATTTTTTTATAAAATTTTGCCCAATAATTTTGTTGTATCTGTTCAATTCAGGAATGGGGCAGTTCGGCTCCGGCGCAGAATTACAAGGGTTCCTTTAGACTAGAACAGGACCGCTCGTGGACCCCGCTGTCTCAGTTGCAGACAAAGAATGACGAATTGAACTTGATTGAAAACTTCTTACCTTCCGATACGACTACAAACACCTTTTTACAATCGGTCATGTTAAATAGCAGCTCGTAACACAATTAGTGAATTTATTATATTACAATCAAGTTGTAAAAAGTGTAATCTAGAAACGCAGCATTTTGTCGGGACAAATTTGCCGAGGTTACCAAACTAACTACTTCAGTCTAATAAATTAAGCATCCTCGTCATGTAACTGAACAAGCAAATTTATTTTGTGATATAATATCGAGCTATTTATAATCCTTACTTGTAAATGTACATATAAATATATTTCTATATTGGTATATAGAATAGATGAATATATATAGATATCTGTTTTATATTATGAATTATATACATAATTTTTTTTTGAAGTTATGTATACAATTATATACATTTCATCGTCTAACACGATATCTATTTTGTACAAGAGTAAATCGTACGCTAATAACTTTAACTCCGGTGTAAGTTCAATAATTAGTTGTGCAATTAATTAACAAATGTCTTTCTCTATATGCAGTAATACGCATATATAGCTATGGCTGGTTGTTTTTCTTTAACTCGTAATGATCTTTAGATGGCTGTCAAAAGATCAACATAAACCCTGGAATTATATTATGTTATCTATCTTATGTGTGTGGTATAATATAACGTTACGTTTCTATAGGCAGTAAATAGGTTTGTGTTGGTAGACTTTTACTCTTTCTAAAGTATTTGGAATACGGCTTCAATGAGCAAAATGAGCACATATCAGTGCAACCCACGACTAAAAACCCATTCCATGAGCACAACTGAACACCTATATGGGATTTCTTTTTTTTTTTCTATACTATATAGAATACTTTTCCCGAAAAACTTCCGCGAGATACTTAACATACTTAAAATATTACTATAATTTTCAAATAATAAAATACCATTTTACTGAAAACGACATTAACGTACGAAGCTTAAGGATCAACGAACACTTAGTATATTTTCTTGCCCTTTATGTAAAATTAAACCTCTAAAAATGAACAAATCTACATCGAAATAACGCCGATCATTGACGGGAACTGCGACGACTGGTTTTTGATTTTGATGTTGAATCTGTATGTCAAGTAGTGTTTACTTTGTGTGCTGAAACATATAAATGATACATTAGCAAGTCGTGATACATTAAATATAAATTTGTTTACAAAAGCCAAGTATAAATTCTTACACGAGACTGGTATCCTAAGAGGTGCATCGTCCTGTATAATACATTCATGCGTTTGAGTATGGAAGAGATACTGTACCAAAAGCTGCTTGTCATCTCCCACACATGGATCATAAAATCCAGGTAATTGGCTCTGCAACAGTATAAAATTCCATGTAATTTGCAAACAATATTTCAATTTTTATATTTTGATTTTCACTCCATATACATATACCTCGATTTATAAGAAATTTATTTCAAAGTTAAAAAGTTGAGAGTGAAAGAGTACGACGTGATTGTGACTTATTTAGGGAATAATAAAAACTAATATCTATATACTGAATCTCAATTGTATAAAATTAAAAATGAGGTCGCAAAAGACAACATACTGACAAAAAAAAATGTTTAAAAGAGATAATATTTAAGTGAAACAAATTTTTGACATGATGAATATAAGATTATGATTATGATTATTATATTATTATTTTTGGCATTTTGATTATAAGAGCGCACCTTAGATGCCTTGTGAAGAATCAGTTTGGAATCCTTGACTAAACATTGCAAAGGAATCGTTACATCTATCATTTCATCTCTGTGTCCGCTCTCCTCCGTAGCAGCTCGATCCTGTTGAGGATAAACGAATCGACCGTACAATGCTTTGGTAATAATAAGTCCTTTCTTGGATTCCTCCTCGGCTCTTATCCTGCTGACGGTTTCCTTCATTAGTTCGGTGGCCGCTTTGGCTTCCCTTTGCTTCTCCATCATTCTGGACTTGTTTAACTCTCTCTGTTTCTCCTTCTCGCGCTCTGTTCGCTCTTTCACGACGGGATCGATTATGAGTTTCTTAATGACCGTCCAAGTGATTATAGGTGCCACAGTAGCATAAAAGACCGGAGCTGGAAGAATCTCGTCGCACAAATGAATAGGGAACGTATATGCCTGCGAGGCGCGACTCAATCTAAGTTTTAACGTAACGCCAGTTGGGACGCCGATGCGTACAGCCGCCGAGACCGAGCTATGCTTCGATACTTTCTTTTCTGCGCCGTATTCGAGAAATGCACCAAATGTTCCGGCTCTGTAAATTATATAGAAGAGATTACGCACGGTAAATTATTGCTGTTGATCGGATGAATAATGTTTAACAGTACTAACTTGACGCTACCACGAAGCTTGAGTTGCTTCTCTTCCATCTTGTAGGTATAGTTAAGGCTGACGAAAGAATGTATAAGTCCGAAATGTACAGAAAACGCCGTGTACGATCGAGACGTGTCTCTCACGATCATGGTGCTCATGGCATCTTGTATGCCAGCTCTGTACGTGAGGTATCCTACCGTATGTTTATCCAATTGCATTGCTAGAGCTGCGAATAAAACAACTTGGTTTCAAGATATCTTTCTATGCGTGAAACAAGTGGACGAATAATATAGGAGACTAAGAATTACATGGTTACAATTATATTATGAAAACCGCAAGTAAACGTACTCCCAACGTAGCCAGCTTTCACGCCATGCGACGTAAATTGCAGGATTGTCGCCCCGTCGCAAAACAATCGTTTTGTCAACGTGCGAAATGCTTTGAGGGAGAACGTTGGACCATTGCCGGCCCCGACCTCGACTTCGACCCAACCCTTCGAAGATATCAGCCGCTTCGCCGAGACATTAATGGACCCGGAACCGGTGCCGTTTTGGGTCCCGAGTTGACCGGACATAGTCACGGTGTCTCTCAGGGTGAGGGGCGCTTCGATAGATTGTGCGAACGACATCCCGCTGACTTCGATGCATGAAAACAGCCCACTACTGAAAACAGATCCATAACTTTCTAATCGAGAATTATAATTATTGATTAATCAATTTAATAATACTTATAATTTAATATTACTTAATAATTAAATGTTATTATTAAGCTATCTCTTTGCTGTGTCTTATCATAGTCGACGTCTTATTGTAATAATTTAAATTGTTCAATCTCTTACCCATCGTTGTAATCTTCATCATATTTACTGAAAAGATCGGTGGCATTGATGTTCACCGTTACAGTGCCTTTGGGATTGGTGTGTTGCTGCAGTCGTCTCTCCTCTCTCTCCCTCGCCAGCCTCTCGTATTCCTCGCGAATCTCCTGAGGCGTTTTTGTACGCTGCACAATTTCCCATCCTTCCGTCTCTAATCCACGGATTCCCAGCGAGTCGTAAATCGCCCTCTGATGTGGATCGTTCAACACTGCAATGCCAAGTATTACTTTCAAGATTCATAATCATACAAGTAAAATTTATGTTGCCAGTAAATTAAGCAGAGTCGGTTAAACATTTTATTTTATAATTCGTCATGGCAATAATAATAATAATAAAGAAATTGATGAGAATAAATCGCTAGATATCAGCTGCAGTGACAGAACAATAATTCTAAAACGTCAATACTTTCTGGACGCAAACGTATACACACATGCCAGTGATATAATACCTTCGTAAGCTTTCTTCGTGCGATTAAAAAGAATCTCCGCTTCCTTTTTAAGCGTCGGATCCGTGTGTTTGTCCGGATGGTAGAGTCTACTGAGTCTGCGGTACGCATTGCTGATATCCTCGGGACTGGCCTGGAACGTCAGTGGGAATCATTACGGCGAAGGACGCGCAATTGCATCATTCAGCAAAGGTAGATCTTTTATGAGAGAAAAGATCAAGGGAAACGGATTTAAAACGACATCCATTCGTGTGTAGCACGAGAGCCGAACAGATCTGCGTTCTACAACGGAAGATTCTGTTGCGGGATAAATATAATATGCTAGAATCGAGCGAACGAGGATGTTGACTAGGCAGCATCGACGTCGCGTTTCCCGGTTCATCTCGTCCGCGACTCTTCCGCGTCGGTCGCGGAAAGAAACGCGGATCACCCGGGGACTCCGTTACGTCAGCGTGCAAAAGGCGACGGTGTCACGTGGAGAGAGAGAGGTACGAGACCCGATCGACCACCCTCCGGGGAAACCGGGCGAAATCGCGGATCAGGTCGCCGGGGAGCATTCTCACGTTTCTCGCGATGTTCAAGAACGTGTAGTAGTCGTCCTCGATCGTGGTCTCCTGGTCGCTCTCGTCGTCCATTTTAAAAACCGTGAATTTCGCTGCCGCGCCGTCGGGTCTCCGGTGATCTCGGGGGCGGCCCGTTTCTCTCGCAGCTTTTTATAGGTTACGGCACGGCAGAAGGGACAACAGCGGGCGAGCGGGCCGGTAGAACGGGCGATTCCCCCGGACGCCGCTAGATGGCGCTAGATGCTCGAAAAAGCGGAGCGGTCTGCCGAGAGGGATCGACTGGATCGAGAGGTTAAATTGTCGAGCGAGAAAATTGGAAAGATGTAATTGCCCGTTGACAGAACGCTCGTTATTGAATCACTCGCAAAGTGTCATTGTCGAGCTAAATGCGGAACGTGGTGAGTGAACGTTGCTAGCGAAATTTGTGCGACGAATCTCCCTTAACATTGCCATGATATCACGTTTCATGACGTTTGAGTAACGTGTAGTTTGAGAGCCTTTTCTGTGAGCGTTTATTGAGCCTTATAAGGTGTCACATAAATCGCGACAGAATTAGAAAAAACGTAGAAGCTATCTGTTAAATAGGTATAGATGTAGTACTGTTACAACTTACGGTTTGGCACACGCCAACATGGTAGATGTACATACACTTGCAATGTATATTTAATATAATGTGTTTAATAAAATTTTTATGTGGACATTAGATATATATATTTAATATTATGAACATATATCTGTAAATTATATTTATATTGTCTCTGAATATTATATATATTTTTGTATTAATATGTAAATGTGAATCTGTTTCCATGTGGAAGATTGCTCATTGAGCACCACAGCCGCACGATGCCTGGGAAAATAAAGGTGAAGATACTGGCGGGCCGCAACCTGCCGGTGATGGACCGCTCCGGCGACACGACAGATGCTTACGTGGAATTAAAGTTCGGCAATATAACTTACAAGACGGACGTATGCCGAAAATCCCTGAATCCGCAATGGAACTCGGAATGGTATAGATTTGAAGTTGACGACGCGGAGCTGCAGGACGAGCCGTTGCAAATCAGATTGATGGACCACGACACGTACTCCGCCAACGATGCGATAGGCAAAGTTTACGTAAATTTGAATCCACTGTTGTTGCCTGGTATGTTGCCTCCGGTGAAAAACATTTGGACCCTGGAGGCAACTATGAATACCAGTGCTGGTTCGCAAGGTGATACACATATAATACGAAGGATATTTATTATACGTTTTGCATATTTTTTAAATGTATTCTCTTTGCCTTGCGCAATTGCCCTGTAGGCTCAGTTATGACCGGATGGATACCTGTATTTGATACAATGCACGGCATACGTGGCGAAGTTAATATTATCATTAAGGTGGAGCTGTTCTCTGATTTTAATAAGTTCAGACAGTCGTCCTGTGGAGTACAATTTTTTTACTGTAAGCATATTTAATTCTTGCGGATGTACCAGTTTCAAGAGAAAAATTAATACCATTACGTGAAATATACATATTTGTGACAAGTGTTACACATATTTTGTGTAACACTTGTAATTATGGCCAATTTTATAATCTATTTTTGCCTATATGAGGATTACTAAATTTTAAAATTTAATGTTTATGTCAAGCTGAGTAAAAGAAGTGTTTTGAGATCTGTAATAAGTAATCCATGTACATTTTAGCACCTAATATACCGTATGGATATCATGCGCAAATGATACATGGATTTGTCGAAGAACTTGTAGTCAGTGATGATCCGGAATATAAGTGGATCGATAAAATAAGAACACCTAGAGCATCGAACGAGGCACGGCAGACTCTGTTTTTTAAATTGAGCGGAGAAGTCCAAAGAAAGATTGGATTAAAAGCGTTGGATCTTGGCGGAAATGCTGTGATTGGGTAAATTTTGTTCTTTAGTATAAAATTTTCAATTATTTTTAACTATTTCGCGACATTGCTCAAATAGAATTTAAATGAGGAATTGGATTAAGACGCGTTTCAGTATCTAAATATATGCTCGTTATTTCATTTCTTAATTCTTAATGTATTTGGCATCAGGTATCTGCAAAACTTCGATCTGGAAGGCGAATCCGGTATAGTTGCCAGGGGTATAGGCACAGCAGTGACGCTCGTAAAATTGCACGATGTTCTCGGTTTTCCTTGCGACAGCGTCAATATCGAAGAGTAAGTATTTCTGTTACATATCCAATTATGGATTATCGAGCAGTCCAAATGTAATTGCACATTTGATCATAAATGACTGAACGGTAAATTATCGCGCAATTGCGTCTAGCATCGTACGAGCCAATTAAATAGGTGTTACCGCCAACTCACATGATCTACGATAAAGTTGGCGCCCGCGAATGAGCTATTTCGAGAATTTCGTACAAGGAAATATAGCCATTCCTATTTTACGGCTGAGGCACTCTCCTGTGGCTGAAAATAATTGTGATAGATAGATATGGACGGCCCGATTTTATTGGACGAATTAATCCAATCTGCGGAGAGCAATTAGATGCCGATTATCTTTTACCTTTTATTTCGGTTCTTGTCATTTCGGTATCGTAGAATCGTAGATAGATCGAGTCAAATTGCTTATCATCGTCAATAAAACGTTGACATCTGAATTGACACTCAATTAAGATATTTTACTTTATTTCATATCTATCGATTTGATTTAATTTTCTTCTATGTAATAGAAGCTTATGTTTTCTTAAAACGCTCGGTTTTATGTTCTCTTTCTGAACCTCTATTACATTGTCTACTTCTCAGTAAATATTTTCTAAAATTTAAATTTATCTTTCCTGATCGCTTAAATTAGATCGTCCGTTTCATAGTTGTTTTTAATTATATCGCACTTTTGTAGGAAGTTATATGAAGATTAATGAATACTTTTCTTCTTCTTCCCTACCCCCATACGTTTGCATAGGATCGCATTCGCGCTTTCCTCACGCACGATAGCGCGAACGGAACGTTATACCGACGACAGCGCACCGTTCATCCCCGTTTCTATTCCCGCTTCGTACCCCATTCGCAAGAATTTCTCGTTTTACACGCGGTCTTCGTCATCTCTAACGCGCCTGGAACGCGCTACAAAGGTGTCCGCGGCTCTTGGGCATGCCGGAGCGCGAAGGAAACGTGCCAAGCGCATTCCGTTTTTACGATCCAACACGTTGAGCATGCTGAATTTAAGGGTAACCGCATCCAGCAGCTCGGATCTCGCTCCGTCTCCAGAAATTAGCCGAAGTTTAATCGACGAAACGGTGAGATCTATACGTACCATGCTAACGCCGGAGGACGCGAAGAAGGAATCGTCGAGAGGTCTCTCCAAACAAATCAAACACCTGCGCAGTAAATTTCACTCGGTCGGCGAGGAGAGTCACTTTGCAGCGGAGTCCGATCGCGATTCTGATACTGATTCGGTCGCCATGAATCTTAAGAGGGAAAAGAATCTCAAAGAAACCAAGACCACCGGTACGATGATGGCCGCGTTACTGATCGGGTCTATACAAAATATGCCTCTGGAGAATACTGGGAATACTGATTCTATTTCGAATTTTCTCAACGACGAACAACCCAGCGAGGAGGTAAAGAGAGAAACTCCGCATGAAAATGCGGACAGCAACGTTCAAGACGAAGAGCAGAAACAGGACGTTGCATCCTCGATCGACGAAACGGAGGTGTCCTCCTTCGATGACGATAACTCCACGGGCGACGAATCGTCGGAGGACACCACCAGTTACAATATCTTGGACGACTCGGGATATTCGATCGACAGAGACTCTGACAAAGCGGAGGACTCGTCGAGTTTCCAGGAGAGAATTCCCATCACGCACTCCAGCGCGGAGAGCTGCACGGATTCTACGTTGCAGATGGAATCGGACGTACCGACGAATCGTTCGCCATCGAACTCGAATTTAGCGAGCATGGAAGACATCGGGACAAATAATGCAATTCCCATAATCACCGTGGACACTCGAGAGAGCACAGACTCGGACACAACGATCGACACGTCCGGATTGTCGATTAGCGAAGTGCATCCCGGTGAAGGATCGGGAGATCCCACGAACGCGGACAAGGAGAGAAACGATCCATCGACCGATTTACCACATGTGACAACACAGCTCAGCCTATCGAACGAAGAAGCTCGCGCGGTGGCGACCATCGAAAGACGGAGACATATGCGCGACCTGATCAAACTGATCGACACGAAGATGATGGTGTCTACGCGCGCGACGCGTCACAGCAAGAGAATCGTGTCGCTGAGGAGGAAGCGCTCCCAGAGGAAGACCTCCCACAAGGGCCCGAGAAAGTCGGGGAATTCGTTTGACAAGTTTCCTTCCTGCGGCACGTCCACGAGGAGACGCGCGTCGCATAAGCGTCGCGAGAAAGACGCTCTTCTTCGCGTTCCTCGCGTCCGCTCGATTCCCGAGCGCCTTTCCTCAGGTCAGCATCCGATCCTTCATGCCACCTCTCGATCCTGCGACTCCTCTCTCGTCAGTTTAACCGATCGCACGCGCGTATCCCCGTCTCCGAAGAGCGATCGCGGCAAACCCGACGCGGTATCTGTCAGTAGCGTCTGTAATCTAGGGAAAACATCATGTCATATTGATTGCGCTATGCCCACTAACAATGCTAATATGACTTACAACTCGCGTGTGTCCCGTCCTTCTCCCGATCTTAGGCAGCAAGACGAGGCGTCGACCAGTCCATCCTGTCCGCTTCCAACCGTTCCCACGGTGGCCACGAAAATGTCCCAGTCGCCGGCGACCAGAACGCTCGCCAACGTGCCGCCTCACCGAAGGTCGAGCGATTCCGATCTGAGCGTTACTCCTAAAGGTGAGTTATTCCACCATACAAAGAATGACCATACAGAAAAACAAATTCACGCGGAAATTACCCTACGATTATTGTAGTCTGCACATAAAATTATATCGTCATCTCGTTCGTTTTGTTCTTCCCAGAACAGTCGAATCATATAAAATTACATACATATTGCTGATGTTTAGGATTTAGTTGTAACGAATTAATTAAAAAGGAAGAAGAAAGGGTAAGAAGATTACATTGTGTCTCAGGTAACTCTCTTGGCAGTGACAGATCGATAGCAGGACCTCTAAGGACACCGACCGCGGTGGTCAGACCTATGAATCAAGACACGTTGGAGATGTTAGAGTACCCATTCATCACTATGCAACATTATCCACCGGGCTTTATATTACATATAGGTAATTATATTAAGTTTACTATTTTTGTCTTCAAGATCGTACCTTCAACGTGAGGCATATCCAGTCCTTTTTAAAGACAAATAAATCCAGTCGATTTACTTAAAACAAAATGCAAAAGCTCATGTAAGTAAGTCAAACGCAACAACAAACTGATTTATGTGCACGATGGGGACAGGTGGTTTGGTGAGCTCGAAGTCGGTGAAATTACTCGAGAGGATAAGTAACTTGGAGGAGCCGGAGGGCCGTGATTCGTGGTGGACCGAAATTAGAATGGAAGTTAGATCTCACGCGAGAGCGTTAGGTTGCAACGTTGTTATAGGCTATAAGGAAGAAACTAGTATATGGTAAGAGCTTTATATTTGCTATGCAGCATTTATTGTGTCGGTGTTACCACAAGGCATTAGCTGTTTAAAATTTAATACCCTTGTAACAAGTTTTTAATTTCTCTTGTTATTCTATCATATCAGTGTATCAACAATGCGCATGCAATTATTTCTCCACAGTGACGATGTGTGCGTGCTGAGTGCTTCCGGTACCGCGGCAGTCATAAATTTTCATAATTCCGGTCAAGATCCGGACAATGTCGTTCTGAATAAACTTCAGCAAAGCGTGCCCGCGGATTCGGAAAAGGGCCAGCAAAAATCCGTAGCGATGAAGGCGGAGAGGATCGACAGCGACACATCATCTATTGCCACTCACTCGGAACGACAAAATGGGAAGATGTGCAAGCATTCTTCCGAGAGTAACGATTACGAGGGCTCCTGCGGCCAGTCGTCTCAGTTGCGATGTAACCTGTGCCATCTCCCTTATAGCGAGGGTAGCGTGCCATTTAGAGTCAACGTGTCAAAGTGTGCCATATGCAAGCGTGCCAAAGTCCCAGATGTGATGTTCACTACCATAGAAGTGCCCGCGAATATACCGACGACCGGAAGAGGTTGCTTCATTCAAGCAACCGTGTGCAAGAGCAAGAAAGACTTGCGGGGCGAGTTGAACGCGAAAGAGATATCCGATTGCTTGCCGTTCTTGGAATATGAACTGCACAGTTTATTGCTGAATAAGCTCAAGATCAAAGGGATGAACGCGGTCTTCGGCCTCAGGTTGCAGGTTTCTGTGGGAGAACGATTCATCATCGGCATGGCGGTGGGCACCGCGGTTTATTTAACAGCTTTACCGCCGCCTACCATCCCGCAAATAGCGTCAGGCAATTCATGGCACGAGGGGCAATTGGGGGAAATGCAAAAGTCTATCGTAGAAACGGTGAAGAGGAATAGAGAGTTTTACCGTCTGAAACCTATCGGAGTCAACGTATGTTAACGGGACTTAGCACCGTATTCATTTCAGAGAATATCGTTCTAGGGTTTGATCGTTAATTATCGTGACGCGATTGTAGGAAGTCGAAAATGGACGCATTCCGAGTACTTCCGATACAGACGAGTCAGACGAGGATCTGCCGGAACTCGATCTTGGATTGGGTACTCGCGACGCGTGTGTCTTGGAAGTGGACGACATCGAGGATATGGATCGGATAGCATCGTTAATGGACAACAGACCACCCGACGATTTCCACGTTGTTAATACGCAGACGATACCTGGCCTCGAGGATTTAGAAATCGTTAGAAATTTACAAATGTTCACGCAAATCTCAAGGGCTAAAATTCCTATGGGGCAATCCGCGTCGATGCCATCAAAATATTTTGCCAGATTACTTCAGGTACGATTTTTTATCCCTAAAATGTTTCGTAGGAAACGTCTTTACTTTGCAGCACGCTTATTCACGCATCGTTTACTTGTGATTAAAAATATACTTTGCGAAAAGAAAATACTTCTATTTTATTAAAGTATTTTTCGCTTTATTTCAGTCCTTGTATTTCAAATTAAGAAGGATGGTTCCCTGCGCGCTGTGCGATATGCAGTTTAAAGTAGCATTACCCGAACAAGACGAGATACAACTAACTGTCGTTGGTATGGCACTTGGTTTAGGAGAACCTTTGAACACGAATAAATATAAAAGGAAAGTCGTGTGTCGTTCCTTGAGCAAGGATCAAGTAAGAAAATCAGGTACTTTTTGCAATTCTGTTTACAAGTTTTATTTACATTTTTATCGAAAATTATATGTATATGTATATTATCGGATTTTATATTACAATTCACGATTATACATATGTAGTTACTACATTTTTGTTAGCTGAACGTCTAGTGCCATATCTTTTAAAACAAAGGCATTAATTCTTCTTTATTTCCTCTATCAGATGATAGTGATATGATATTCAGCCTAGACGAGGATCATCTCGAGAACAGTGTTACATCCGACAATGCAACACGCACTTGTATAGGAAATCCCGCCACTTTAAGTGGTACCCCTATACAAAAGCAAAGACCACGCTCACCTTTGCGTTTAAAATCATTCGCTACTCATAGACGTAAACATGTAAGACTCTTTTCTTAGAAGAAGAAAAATATATATATAATATATAATTAATATTTGCACTTGTTATCGTTTTCTGACATTTTCAAGTTTTCAACACGTATATTTTTAAATTTATAATGCTAAGCGTTAAAAAATGCAAGAATTTTTCTTTATATTTTAATTCATTATAGGTGCCTTTGAAAGGAAGATACGGGGTAGATATAACGCCTTTATCTTATCTACCGGGTGGAAGGATAGAGAGATATCAAGGCAACCTAAATTTCTTTTTCATTCGCGAAAGTACATCGATACGAGAGGTAAGTGAGTTCATAATGACGATTATTCTCAACGGACTGTTAGAAATTCAACTATTAAAATCCTGATGATGATGATGTGTTACAGAATGGTGGATTGAGTGGTTTCACCCACAGTTTCGTAATGGAAGTTTTGGCAATTGTTCGCGCGCACATTACGGCATTAGGCGGTAACGCGATGGTAGCATTCTTTATGACACAGTGTGTGCTTCTTCACAGCCCTCACAAAAATCAAGTTAGTAAAAAACATTATGTTATCTGCATACACATTCCCACGCTTGTTGCATATTTCATAAAAAAAATATGTTTCCAGGGTCAATGTCTCATTAATGTGGGTGGCGATGTCGTAACAGTATCTTATTATGCGGATGAGAAGCACAGTGCTGTTTCAAATTGCTGACCCCAACCTCCACATTCGGCACCGCCATGAACGACTATTTAATAATGGCAATTAATGCTGTTAAAAAATATATATATATATGTGTATATATTTACCAGTATCAATGCCGTTATAGATAGGATCGTGTATAGCGGTTCTATGAGACTTTCATTGCATTGTGCAATACCTAATTTCAAGTATCTCTTCGTAGCAATCGATATTGTTATTTATTAATTTATTTTACAAAGATAAAGATTCGATACTTAATTTAAAATATTATTTTCTTTATGAATTAATACACTAGAACGTAATAAAACGTGACAAAGGTATATCAGTCTGTTGTTATAAATTTAAAATATCTTGTATATTTAATATCTACTGTGTGACTAAATATTTAAATGGTTTGATATTTATGAACTGTAGTGACTAAACACAATTTTATATATATATCTTATAGAAGGATATCTAGCTCTATGAAATACCCCTACTATGCGTATAGTGATGTTACCACCAATTCTCCGTTGTATAATAATTTCAACTTTTTATAAAAAATTAATAAATACTCAATTATATACTCCGTTATTGATAGTACAATCGGAAAGACAATGGTTCTACACGTAAAAAAGTTAAACTAATTTTAACTATGTAGAATCAACAGAAATATATAAATTTATTTTTCTCTGCCGATTGTGCTACAAATGACAGACTATTTAAATAAGATATTAATACATAAATAAAATATTAATCTGTAGAATGTACATATTTCTCTTTCGAAAGCTTTTCTAAAAATATTAAAGAAAATATATAATTAAATTTAATTATTTAAATTATGATGTGTATAGAATTATGTCAAAGGCTGCAGGATATTAAACGAAGCAATTTATCTTTTTCGGAAATTAATATTATTTCCGAAATAAGTTTTTGTAATTAGGTGCCTTTAAAACTGTAAGAATATATAGGATATATTCTGCATGACACAGGATATAGCTAATATACTTAGCGTAATCGCGGTTCTCATTTGGATTTTTCGAAGTTTATGAAATTAATAAAAAGGCAAGATTGTTGTCTTAAAGAATTAAATATGAAACATCCTTAGATCACCTATGCCTTTGTTTGTGTTGATACTTGAAAAAAGTATTAATAGGAAAGGTGAACGGTTTATAAGAAATTATTTAGAGACGAATATTATTAAGTTTGATAGCAAACAGAGTGACCAATGATAAAAGGATAACGCTTGTTCGGCGTTTTCAATTTTTTCAATTATTGATCACACTTAATCCTGTAAGACCATGTATTACTAATAAACATTTTTCCAGTGTAATTTACGGAAAAATGATAATTAGAGAATGATAATTATGAAGAAATTGCTTGAACGTGTATTCAAGATTAAGTCATACAGAATGAATGTTATTTATTGCAATTGTACTTGAATAAAAATCATGCATTCGTCGAATAACATATAACCAATCATGTCGAATTATGATAAAATGTTATATTTTATAATTTAAGTATCAAGATATAAAGATTTCTATACGCCTAACATTGTCTAAACACGTAATTTATAAATTGTGTCTTATGTTTATCTTAGTCACCTGATCGACGATAAAGAAAAATCTACGACTTAAACTGTGAACCGAAATGTCCATTCGGATGATGAAACTCTAGGTCTCTAGTCATATTTGTTTCTTTGTTATCAATATTAAATTATGTTTAAAAAATATTTAACGTTTTTTTACGTTATTTTTTTCGAACTGTAAAAACTCATTTACCCCCAAATGTGTGGCAAACGGTCATTTATTTCATAACTTTCATTATTTATCAATCATTTATTTTATAAATTTTAGAAACTTACGCCAGAACGCGTTCAATAAAACTGAGTATTTTTCGTTAAAATTGACGGTTTCCAATATTTACGGCGAATGCGATCGCACGAGTTTGCATATCTTTCGTTTCCATCGTTATAAACATTTGTACTGAAATATCATTCTATTTGATATATTTTTGTTGCAAGACATTATAATAACGTTTGAAGATATTACAACAAAATGAGAAGCGAATGAAAATATGATAATCCGAGTCACGGTGATCCGACACGGTAATCGTTCTCGAGTAAACCTCTGGTCAGGACAAGTGGAGAATATTGTCACATTGCCACGAATGATCCTATTAGCTCCATTTTGCCACACTAACATAATGAGAATTTTATTTCGATTTAAAGAACATTCTTTCGATAAAATATTCTGGAATAATTTTCGTCTCAATCTCCTCGTGTTGCGTTATTCTTTGATATTGGAAAGATAGTCGTCAGTTATTTCAAAAATTAATATTCGAACTTTAATCATTTTTTAATCGCAAACATAAAATTTTAAATTCTTTCAAGGGGGTATATTATCATCTCTGAGGCCAAAAAACGATACCTAACTTTGGCAATTTATTTAAGAAAAATAATTTACTCAATCGAAAACTTTTTATAAGGACTTTATTACATAAACCTTAAAATGCAAAAAAATATTAAATTTTTTTTTTTTTACAAAATGGTGGTGCTTTGGCCGCATCGCCGAGCTTCTTTTTTAGATCGACGCTCGAATTATCGGTAAATTTTGACCGTCAATAGTTATTATTATTTCAGTTATTTCTTTATTTTGCGATGTGTTAGAAGATTTATATAATTTTATTTAAAAAACATCTATTGAAAGGTGCATAGTTTACCGAATTTATTTCCGTTTTTAAATTTAATTATCTTCTCGAACGATACAACTTTTTAAATATATTTCTTAATACTTATTTAAGTTATTAAAATTTATTTCACATTGCTCTACCTTACTAAATTGGTATATGTACCTATATATACAGCCACGCAACACGGTATTACGCGTGTAGCGATATGTCATCATTAAATTTTTCTGTTGCGTAATAATTCTTGTAACCTATATGTACATATATAAAAACAAATGTCTTAACTGATTGATTGACTTATCAACGCTCAGCCCAAACTCCTAAATCTAGAGAGTCTATAGAAACTCATGAAATTGGGAGCGCATATTCCTTCTTTTTGTATATATAAGCATCCACTAAGGAGGGACTTTTAGAAATTCAATCTTTAAGGGGGTAAAACGAGGTAAAATGTTTTCACGGATTTCTCAAGCTCTCTTCTAGGCCCGATGAGATATCGACTTGGTTTTTTTATTTAAAGTAGTTACATACCGTAGCGAAACACGGGTATCAAGCTATATCAATAAATACCTATACAATTTATATTGTCCGTTGACCGTACTCGCGATAAAGACTACTTTGGATGCAGGACGGTTGACGGGTAGGACGGTGGGAGGGAAAACAAATATTGCCGCGTGGGTAATTGCTAAGACGACGACGGTGGGACATCAATCTCTGGAGTCCGACCGCGCCGTTGCTTAGACGGCTCTTAAATTCGAATGTTCTTTCGGCTACAGTGCTGTATGTGTATACATGTACGGCGGTTCCTCTCTTATTTATTTGATGATGGATATTCGCACCGAATTGGCACGTAGCATCACATTCTGTCTCCACGCTTCTTTTCACTCTTAATATATTCTATCTATGTCCTTGGCCCGTACACCGAACGTCCTTTTCACGAATTCCTCGGCCAATACTTACACCTCGTGTCGATTTTCTTACGCCGAGATTTCCGCGCAATTTTCGATCCGCGTCTAGCTCACTTCAGTTTACACCGTGTAAGTTTGCTCTCGTAAACTTGAATTTCCGCGTGAGGGAAATATATATATTTGAGCTCAGCGAAAGGGAGAGATATTACAGCTGCTTGTTTTCCTTAATACCGGCAGCGCGTAAAAATTATATATATTTTTAACCGCTGGTCTCCAATATAAATCGCGACACTAAATTAAACGACTAAATTAATTCCCGGCTTATTCTCCTTTGGTGAGAAAGAAACGCGTATTCCTCGAAATACCGTATAGCGTTCCCCAAATTGTCGGACAGGGACAATTGGGGAAACAATGTTTTCCGTGTTATATAAGATGTGGTTTGCAGAAAATAAGACCGGTGGGTGACGCCCGCACGCGAGACGCGAAAGTTTAAAATATCCGTAATAAAAATGCGGCGACAATATACGGAACGGAGTAAAAAGAAAGGCGCTATGTACGTAAGGTACGCCCTCGGAAAATATTAGCGCGCGTGTTTCTATTAGTATAATAGAAACACGGCAATATTTTCTTGCGTTTTACGAGTCGGGACCGCGCACTTACGTGATGTGCGCGTTAAACGTGTTAGGCGACTATAGAGAGAAGAGAAAAAAAAAGAAGAGAGGAGGATAACGGAAGCGATTCTCGCTGGCTGGGTACTAAGTAGCAGAGCGACTTATTTCTGTTAAACGTGATCGATCGCAGACAACGTGACACGTGACGCCTCTCGTGCGAGGTGTCGCAGATATCTGCCGTTGCATATATAATAAAGCATCTCGCCTACCTCGATTCTCCTCATCGACGCACGATCATCCGCCCTGCCGTTCTCGCACCTTGCTCTCTCGCGGCTCGATTTCCGCAAGACTCGCAATTGTCGCCGGAAATCGAGCTCGCTTGTCAGGAGTCGGTCTCGTTCGTGACTTCCTTTCCCTTCTTCTTTTTCCTCTCCGAAATTCTTCTCGAGCGAATTGTCGCGATGTTCTGCGACGTGAATTACGTCGATAAAAGAATCCGACGTTATTCGAGTTGCACAAAAAGAAAACGTCGTTGCGTATTCATATCGATTCCTTGGAAAACGACATCGCGCGGGTTTACGCAAGCGATCCAGGATGAGGAGTAGACGATATGCGCGTTGCTCAACCAGACGGTTCTCTCTAATGGAAAACGCTTGCAATCTCGGTCGCTTTGATATTGAAATTTAGGAAGCTGGAAATGTTTTCTACCGCGCACAGATTCATATAACATCGAGAGAAAGAGAGACGAAGGATGTGGCAGTCATGTAATAAACGACAAAGCATTCTGAGAGAATCACTTTATATGCGTATATATATTTCTCTGTTATATATAATAAATATATTATTACCTCGCAAAATACGTGCATTAGCACGCGTCGCATCGGCCATATATCTTACACAGTTCCGTCCGTTCCGTGAGTGATAATGCATCCATAAAAGAGCTGCGAATATGTTCGACGACGTAAGACGTAAGACGTAAGACGTAGAGACGTTGGAAACAATGTGATTTCTTAGGACAGGGACTTCCGGCACGTACGTGGCGAGACATTTGGGAAATAATTCGGACATAGGTTTGCGATCAATTGATCACGAAAGTCGCCGGAGTCGAATGTGCCGCGCGCACTTTAACGAGTCGGGACAGATATAGGGCGGAGCATACATTTTCGTTAACCTCTGTTTATTATTTAATTCGAAGATTTGTTATTCAGTTGTGCAACAATCGTTCGTACCTTTGTACCTTTTTTCGTAATGAATATACAAGCTGCCCCGGCCGTGCCGATAGGCAAACACGTAGCGTTATCAAACACAGAATCGATCTGATAATAAGTCGCTAATAAGGATCCATTTATTGCCATTTACAAAACTTCGTTCATCGCACATGACAAGAATAATTTATCTTAACAGAACCTTTAAACCTCCTGTCGCTGATAATATGGAAATTCGAAAAGTTGCGAATATATAGCAGCAATTTCGTTTCGATATTTTTCTATCAAAAGAAGATTTATTAATCGCTCAAGAATAATTTATTTTAATAGAATTTTTATATATCCAACGTTGATAATATATTCAATGAGATATTAAATAAAAATTCGAAATTCGAAAAGTGTTGCGAATGTATAGCAGTAATTTCTTTTCAATGTTTTCTTATCGAGAAAAAGTTAATTTGCATCTTTGTGAAATAACGCCACGAGTCCGCCCCTCTCCAATTCCGGAATATAAGTTCTGCACACATAACACCGAAATATAATCAAGCAAATCTCATTTGGATAAATGGAATTAAATGAAATAGCGAATGCGGGCGCGTATAATATGAATTTGAGTGTATCACTGACATACGCGATCCGGGAATTAATTCGAATAAATTAAATTTACGTTTAATTTAATTGAATCTTGCGTTCAGCCTAATTGTCCGTGTCACTGATAATATGTTACGAGGTGCAAAATGATGGATTTATAAAACAAATGGCGCACGTAGACCTTTCGACACTCTTTACAAGACATTACATGGAGGATCATTATCTCGCAAGCGACGCGAAGATGAGAGTTATTAATTGGAAACAGTAGTCGCGCGAAAATCGATACACGGCACAACGTTCCTACGTTCTTACATTCGTAAAATGGCGATGTTAATCTGGCCTATAATCTAATAGTTAAAGTAGTGCATTAATGATTAATTAATTGATTAATTAATAGACGATTAAATTTGGTACATTCACAGTGTAATACAGTATAGATTGGAATGTGGTGCATCATTGTGATACGCTTTTTAATTGTGGTGACGCAACATATAGAATCAGAAGTATAACTTCAACTTTCAAGGAGCTTTTAATATTTAGCCAGTTTTGACATATTTGCCGTTACTCGCAAAATTATTTAAAACTAACAAAAAGGATAGAATGTCGCGAGATTTTTATTTTTGTAACTATCTAATTTACTCTTTCCGAGCGTTACACGATTATGTTTTTAGTACTCCAGGCGTGTCGGGATAATATCTAAAGTGTTCGGAGGAAGATTATTTATATATGTCATCAAAATTATCTTGTAACAAAATTATCTTGTAACGTGAAATTTTCGTTCCATGAATGGAACGTTGGCCGTTAGTAGGTGCTGCAATATAATGTACGTTTAATTGCTAATTAAAGTCCCTTTAAACTTCTCGCTTTTGTCGAACAAAGAGAACTAATTGCACTAACACGCTTAAAATTCATATTTAACCAGATATACATATACTTACTTTCACGCGAGGGCGCTCGAGGGTAACAATTTAATATCTTGAATGCTGTTTAGATACAGCGCGCGAAAATAAAAATTATTAGATCATTAACAATGTTAACAAGATTAGAGTCGATCGTCTTTCGGCGGGTTCTTTTACGGGTTCTTTCGTTCTTTGTTTTTCTTCCCCTTTTTTTCTTTTACATTTTCGGTAGACGGTACTACGAGTCTTTCGATGACAGGACGATCGAATGGGAACCTAAGAGAACTTAACTCGAATCATTTATCGCTTGCGAAGGGAGAGCGGAGGGGGTGCGATGCCTTGTTCTAACGTCGTTTTCCGAAGCGCAAGAACACGTGGTCAACGTCTTGCCTCTTGACACCACTGTCGTATCGCGGCAAGTTCTCCCGGTATTCTGAAAGCAATTCAAATGCGAGCCATATAATTATCCCTTATCGCCGTAATCAATCCTTCAGTCCGAGGACGTGGAACGTGGGGGATGGCGTATTCAGGCCTATATAGCATTCAAAATGATACGCACTGGCTGAGTGTATGAGATCACTCACCTTTCGAGCGGCGATAACATAAATTAATATAGCGGAAAGCAATTGCGGGAATAGGCACGTGCAAGGAGCGCGTGTTTTCATGCGTTCGTGCGATATTTGCCTTTCATCATTCACTAAATAAATTAAAGAGTCGTTCGCCTCGCCTCCCGGCGGTTCGGCGGCCGGCAGCGGCGGCAGTTTGGCGATAAAGCGAACTGATTCGATTAGACAGCTGCGGTTACCTCTGTCGTCGACGAAGTCATTCATGTCCCTGACGTCCCATATTCTCGCGATGGCTATACAAATTTTACGCAGTCTGGGCGGAAGCTCGTCGAGAAATCCCGAGTTGCACTGAGCGGGCAACGCGGCGAGAGCTTCGCCGGATAGAACTGCCATGGTCGTCACGGACACGAGGATCATCAGCGTCGAGCTCATCATTTTTTGGGCTGTAAGGAAGAATATATTGCCGGCTTCCTTCAGGTTTGCAAGCAGCAACGAAGTCAAAGGAAACGCATCGCAGAGGAAAGAGAATTGCCGAAACAGTAAATATCTAATTGCTGCGACAAATTTTGTTAAGTGCGCTATATGGACAATAAACGAATTGTCAAGAAGACTAATGCTTCGCTGAAATCTGCTTCGTTCTGTTTTGCAAATTATTTTACTCGAATAATAAATTTACTTCATCTCCTTTTTTTCCATTATTATCTCCTTTCATTAATTTTTATACCGACATTCTATCAGCGACAATTATATTGTGATGGGAAAACTGCATTTGCCGCAAATAGACTGTTTACTTCAATAGCAGGTTAACAATAACTTGACATTAACATGTTTCTATAGGCAAATTTATTCAGCAAAATTTCTTTCATCTCGCCAGTGAAACAGATTTTACCGTAACGACGAACAATTGGTTATCGCAGCGAAATTTGTTCGCTCCCACGTCAAATATACAACAATCTAGCAGCAATATACACAGCAAATATATGTAATTTGGCTGCAATCAAGCTGAATTATTTTCCTCCTGTCGTTTAAACTTGGTTTACGTGCGCGACTTGTATAAGTCCACTCTGAATACTATTTGATCGCTGAAACGCAGAAGGAAAGAATTCTATACAAAGAAAACTTGCATTTGAAAGATCGTAAAAATTCAAAGTACAAAAGGCCTATGCAAATGACGCGGACGTTTGAATCGTGAATTACGAGCTGCGAATTTCGCTGCTCCATTTCTCGCTTTACAGACGCGTTATACCGTATACTGAAGCGAGTGTCCGCATACGTTGACCCGCGGACATCGCGCGGCCCGACTTCCTAGGCATACGATTTCCTTGATGCGATAACGATAACGGCCACCTATTGAGGATTAGATGTCACGTTCACGTGTCGACGTTTACGCAATCCGAACAAAAGAGAAATGCCGTAATGGTTCTCGGCGAGTTCCGCGACATATGTATCTTGCGACACGGCGACGCGCGTGCGAGCGGTCACAATACAAAGAGCGATTAGCCTTAAACTTCAGACGCAGCTGCTGTGTAATACAAATGAACGGAGTCACGTCGACCGATAACGTAACAGGTAATCAGAACGTCTCTGTACATCTGTATATATAAAACACCCTGTAAAATATTCGATCAGACACGGACGGAGTAATCGCGGAAACGTTTATTGATTTTTCTGTGAGCACCAGTTTTGTATGTCCAAATAATTTGGACAGCGATACCATTTCTTATTTAAATCAATATAACTTTTAATTGAATTTTTAATTCAGAGTTTCAGTTTATTAACAAAATTTTCCTTTTTTATAGTAATATCCTCTCTCGCTGTTTCAAGCTATGTAAAGTGATTTCCGTATACGTCCAAGTCCGAGACACCAATAATATTTTTTTATCTCACGAACATCGTGCCATCTCGCATATGCGCGACTTTAACATGCGCGGTATCAGCGCTGTACCCAGACCATGTATTACAACGCAAATGTAGGGGAGACCGGGGCTAGTTGATATATATACGTTCTTTTTTTTCTAAGTAAAGATCTTAAAGAAACAGTTAGAATTATGATATAATGTGACCAGATTTATAAATATAGCATTTAGCATATCACTGATTTATTTTACTTTCGGCTATACAAAACTAAAATATTTTCTATTTGTGAAAATACGCTACTCCACTTGAAATAACTATTTGAAATATTATCGCAACGTTTTTGCAGAAATACCACACTTTTTATGCATGTATTATCTTTTGTCACGTTTACAATAGTTATCAATTTGCTCCATGTACATAACTACATACCAACTATCTCCGGTCTCCCCTATACGAGAGGAATGTTAAAGACGATGAGAGTCGTCCAAGAAAGAAAGTCGGAGAATCGCGTTACACAGAAGGCGATCTGAAAGTGCCTCAGGTAAATAGGACTTATTGATAAGAACACGAGAGAACCTTACAAACGAATTCGAGGAGAGGGCAAAATCGTATTACGCCCCGTGCTCGGACTTTCCGATAGCCTTTACTTTGTTTGAATGGATAATGCCGACCGGAATCAGGTCGGAGCAAAAATTTCTATCGTGGAAAAAGAACGAATAAATTTGATATTCTCTCGCCTTTGTAAGAGGGAAAAGAACCGTGTCGTTCGAAAACGCGTTTTTCTGTTAAAAAATGTTATATATTAAAATTTTATAAGGTTCTACCAAAGTGACTCTCGAAAAAACTTTTTTTTGGTATTAGTTTCTCGCGTAAAAGAGGGTCTTGAAAGGGGTTCGTTGACGTAAAAATAAATGGCTTTTTGTATCTGTTTTTGAGCGAAGAAAGTAATAAGAAACGTTTAATTATCAGTTAATTAATAAGAAACTTGAGATACATTTCAGAAGATATATTCCGAGGTCATATCTAGGTTATTCTCGAATAATATCCTCCAGGATATCTCCTTGCCTTGTGATCAGCCGCACTTAATGAGCAGACAATTAATCTTCCTAAATGAACTGGCTATACACGTGCGGGTCAATCTCAGCTACATCCCGAGATTCCTTATAATATATATGTCATGATGTAAGAGTACGCCGAGCATATCGTCGGAATAATATTTTGCTATGCGGTGCGACGACCATGAACTATGTATATATACAATTGTAGTACACGGATGCACGGATCGGAGCGAATAGGCAACCTGTTGCTGATTCGCCGACAGTTCGCTCACAGTTGATGAACCCGGTAATCGTGTTTTGTGTATGCGGAGCGAAGTATCGCATACCGAGAGACAGGTAGGATATACGTAGACACATGTCACGACGCCGGAAGTGGAGCTCGATTAAATAAACCACGCCGCCCCAAGTCTCGAGAGAAGAAGAAGAAGAAAATACATGGCACGTCTACCAGGAAATCCTCCTTTAACAAAGGCACCTTGATGTACGAGCTTTCAGGTAAGACTTTAAAATTTTTACAAGCGTTCGTCTTCTTGATAGAACTTTCAAAATAATCGCTTAAGAGGGACGAAGCAAAAATAAGATCAAAATATCAAACTCTTGTTATCTTTTTTTTTTTTAAGTACATTCTTTTTTGCATGTTTTAAACTATGTAAAATAATTTATGTATGTACATGTCTAACAATATAATTGTCTTAAAAGTGGTTGAATGTATAACCCTTGCGCGGATTAGAACAGACAATGCCTTTGTGACCGCGCAAATTATATCCTGACTTATCCTTATGTCTACAAAATCCTATGTCAAAAATAAAGAAGGAAGAGTAAGTGGAAGGGTTAGGCAAGATTAACGATACGTTGGATCTTAGAATTGCACACGCACATAAAATAACGGGAGAAGTCTCTCTTAAGGAGAGTCACGTAAAAAAATAGTTCTAAAAATTCAGATATTTTTTTAGGAATAGATAAAGACAATGGAGAAAATTAAATTTAGCAAAGAAGTCTATGTGTCTGGTTGTCAATGTATCGCACGTTGTCCTATTGTTAGTCTCAATCAGGATTTCAATTTAATTTAATTTAATTCTCAACAGCTCGGACATTTTGATAGAATATCGAAATTAAAACGCGAAGATTTAGAGAGGCGATTATAGCATTGTTTGCGTTCGCTTATCACCAACTGTGAACGCACGTATGTAAATATTGGCAATGCAACGAATAGGTAATACGACTGAATGCTAAAAACGTGCGTTTTCATATTCCGCTGTATCCAATATACATATGTATCTCGATATGTATACAATTATTGCCTACGCTATACGTACGTGACCTATGCGTTTTAGGCTTAACGCAGCTGCAGAGTCACCAGAAAAAACCCCACGCATGGCAACAATAAAAAAAAATAACAATACGCGGATAAGAATAGATCGAGAAGAATATTACGACGCATCGGAGAAACTCAAAGAAAGATAATGACCGAAGGTAATTATGAAACTTTCGATTTCGTCGTGTTCTTAAATGTTCTTAAGAGCGATTAGAGAAGGATGAACCAAGATAATGCCGCAATAAACTCTGATTGCTCTTTTTCCACGGCAGAAGAAAAACGCTATTGTTATTAATGCAAGATTATAAATTCAAAATTATAAGCGAAAAATATCTTACAGTGTGTGATGTGTGTGCGAGAATTTTCTTATATTATTGTACATAAATATCTAAAAAATATAAGAAGACCTTCGCGCGTTTGCCTATATTATATCATAAAGCAAAATCACACAAGGTATGTGAAATTTTTAATAAGACAAATAATAACAAGGGCTTATTGACATCACTTGAAGAAGCTGCGGACTGGGAAAATCAAAGGATACGAATACGAAGAAATAAATATATGTATACGAAAGCTCTATGGATACGAACAAAATATACATATCGTATATGTTGTGGCCTGAAATCCTCCCTGAATCATTAATGCGCGAGTTACGTAATGCATACGCATAAGTATATGTGTACGTTGAAAGTGACGACTGTGTTCGAAGTCTCTGTGTCTCTCTGATATCACCAGAATAATACATATCACGCGAACCTATCTTTGAAGGTGCAATGAAATATTAATATCGTGGAAACGAGCAGAGATGACGAGACATTCTTTCGTCACCGCGAGCAATCACCACAGATACGCAATCCAAAAGGATAAAAAATTTAAGATACCCTCCCTCGTCCTTTCTCTTTCCTGAAAAACTGACTTTTCTCGTAATTAAGAAAAGAATAAGAAAAAGATTACGGGTTTAATTTAATAAAATAATTAAGCTCATCCAAACCCGAAGTGACTGTCGATAGATCTAATCAAAAAGCAATTATATAGAGATCGACTGTTGACAATGATATTTTCGAAACGTTTTTGTATTAATATTAATATTGCACTTAATCTCAATATATTCGAATGTATATTAAAAAGTGTGTGTGTGTGTGTGTGTGAGAGAGAGAGAGAGAGAGAGAGAGAGAGAAAGAGAGATTAAAAAAACCTCTTTCCAACGAAAGTTGATCTAAGAGTCATTATTTCAATTTTCTTGAAATTCTTAATTCTTCCTTTAATTGATAATCTCCTCTCGATCTAGAAGGCATTAAGCTTTAATAACTCTGGATCGTAAAATGATGATTGAATTTTCAACACTTTATTCCGGATTGACTGTTAAATTGTATATGTTCGCTGTATCGGAATTCCTGATTTAAGTATCGTTGCGCGCTGCCCCAATATTTTCTGACTCGACTGCCGATTTAATACCTGCAGTATTGTAATCCTTCCTCCCAATCTCTCTCCCTTTCTCTTTCTTCCTCTTTTTTTTATTTATCTACTATCGCCCCGTATCTCTGTTATCATTATCCATAGATTCTTGTAAGGTGCGTGTAATATTATTTTTGATATTTTTTTCATTAGAGAGATGTCGAAAAATAATTTTAGTCGCAGAAGCAACGGATAGGATTAATAAACTATATTGAAAAAGGTCGCCGATATCACAATTTTATTAAAACTTCCGACGAAAGTCAGTTTATCTCATGAACCCACATATTTCGTAAATTTCGCTTTATAGGGTATCCTATACGAGCGTGGCAATTGTATTACGTCACATTTGCTAGCTTAAATGTCACTTGTTTCCATTACGTCAAGCACTACCCACGCAATTTCAATAAGTCTGGCAATTTCGGCGAATAGAAAGAGAGAAACGTCGGACACGAAATTCGTCTTGTAGCAATACGTCACTTACGTGGACATAAACGCGCGAGGAAAACCCGGTTCTCTTCATTTGACATACCGAGGTGTCACCTTCCGAGATAGCTGACGCCAGTATGCATTTCTAATGATAAAACTTTTCGTCTAGTGCGAGATACCGTTTGCGTTTATTATACTTTAAAGAGCACGGCTTTTAATAAATTGGGCGCTCTCTATCACCACGTCACGCACGTTGTAAGAGCCCATCAGGCAGACTCGCTTACAATGCTCTCTCTGTGACACAATTGTCTCTTCAAATACTTTTTAAGCAAATACAATTTACCAGCGAGTGTTGAAGAAAGCTTTTAATGTGTCTAGCAAGTAGAAATGTGGCATTAACGAGCCCCGTGTGTCCTTATTCGTTGAGATTTCAATGAGATTATCAATTTAACGTGATATTTTAACTATCCAAAATCCTTCTTTATTGTGAATTGTTTTAATTACTTTTTCTTTTTTTAATAAAAGAAACAAGTTACTGAGCTTCTCAATGAGTAGCTGGCAGAAGTTTTTACGGTTGTCAACAGAGCAGAAATTATCTTAGCGCGAACGTTGTTAGGTCGTTCGTAAGATAAAGTCAAACAGGCAACGAAACATCACCGATCGATCTTATCGTTTCGCGATTCGAGCATTTAGCCTATATCCGAAACTCTCGCGTTGTTCCAGGATAAGATCGAGCGGAATGGCGGCAGCGAAACAGTCGTGCTCGTTAGAACTAGCGCGATTTAACGCGATGCACGAGAAGTTTGCGTCATTCGGCGCACGGAAGATGTCCATGGACGGTATGAATGTTGATACGGCGCGGAATTACGCGGAGTTTGTACCTTCCCTCCCCTCTCCTCCCCTTCCCTGCGCTGTATTACAATCGCGATTAAACTTGCGAAAGCTGCATAAGGTATTAGAGACACCAAAGCACGCGCGTCGTGCACGATGACTCGCGCAACCCCCCGGGCTGAAAGAGATTAGTGCACTCGGCGTTCGCCTCCGGGAAAGTTAGAGCGTTACAAATTTCGTAACTTTAAAACAAGACCCTCTCTCTGCCCCCCCCCCCCCTCGCCCTCCTGCCCTTCGCCCATTCACATGCGCGATATCAGTCGCGAGTTTCTCGCGGTTTCGAAATGTTATAAGAGAATCTCGGTATAATATATAATAAGGTCGCTCCGGGAGGATTTATCCCCGTCGCGCTGTTCTTAAGCTGTCCGGTAAGAAGGAGAGAGGGCGATTCTCAATATTTACTTCGATGAGAATGAAATTTCCGTTCTCCGAGCCTGAAGTTTAAAGACTCGCTCTTTATGAAATATTGTTCGAAACTCCGCGTAATATACGGTCAAGGTATGTCGCGCAATCGAGCGATTAAGTTTCGTGGGTGAGGAAATGGCACAATATTGTCTGTGATAGGAAATAGGAAAAGGGTATATATGCTTTTGAGAGAAATCGTATTTGCGAGATACGTTTCTCTGATCAGTTCTACGATGCGCGGAAATATAGCGAAATTCTTGAGAAGATTAATTCGCATCTTTTCACGCAAAGAACAAAAGAAGTATGTATAGAGTGATTTAAAAAGTTACTGCCAAACTTAAGGAGCGTGTAAAGAAGTCAAAATAGAACAACTTTCGATTAGGAACCTATGTTCTCCAAAGTACCGAGTCAGAACAGGCCTTTGAATGTATGGAACGCGGATATAATATACCATCAATAATGAAATAATTGTAATTTCCACTAGCTTTATTTTGTTTTTATTAAGGTTTTGTTAAGGATTACACTAGCACAAACTGAATTTACAAAAAGTGTTCGAATTGGCAACCTCCACATTCAATGCAAGCATATTGCATCGTCAAACAAATTCTGGCGCACTCTCTCAAATATCCCTCTCAAATAAACCTTAATAAAAAACAAAAGCTAGTGGAAGAGTAGCAAATTACGATTATTTCATTGGTATATTATCCATTCCATAATACATTCAAAGGCCTGTACTGACTCAGGATTAACTTTGGAGAACATAGATTCCTAATCAAAAGTTCTATTTTGACCTCTCTATACGCTCCTTAAGTTTGGCAGTAACTTTTTGAATCATATATGTATATATAGAGTTGTATATATAGGGTTGCATCGTAAAGCTGTCTTAAAACAACAGCTAATTTACGATTTTTCCTTTTTACTCGTTTTATCATTTTCATCCTTGCGATTCCAATTAACGCGCCGCAGGGAGATAAATCTAAAGAGTGAAAAGAAAAGATAACCCAAGAAAATCGCGCACATAATTAATTAAAGGCTTGCGTTAATTGAATGCTAATGAGGACGATATTTGTAACTGCCACGTGTTACGTCTCGTTTACACGAACCGAGCATATAAATTATCGTGCGAGATCGTAATGTAGCGTAATATATGGAGAATGATTAAAACAATCCCGGTATACGATTCGTAATCCGACTGTTATGTTCATTCCGTGCGTATTGTAGAACCATTTCATCGTTTTATCGGACAATCAAACGCAAATTGAGAAACGAAAATCCGGTTTTTCATAATTGACCGTATAGTATTTCCCTACCGTGTATAACGAATGCCAAAGTATCGTGGTATAGTTGCTGGATTTATAAAACAGATTTATAGATGCATAAAGTATAAATTCACGTTAATTTACAAATATTTTGGATCCTCATCAAAGCATTAATTATTTACGCGTTGAAGTGCGAAGCAATTTTGAGCGCATTTATCACGACGGTATCGAGAGACAGCACCCACTAGCGGTTTATCTCATTTCTCAAGATATCAATTTCCAAGTTCGACATTTTAAAAGTAGACAAGCTCTCCGCGTCGCTAAATAAAAAAATTGTCAAATAAAAATTGAAACGCTCACGCGCTCGATCAATTTTATCGTAACACCTTATTTGAATATGAACTTAAAATATCAAACTTAGAAGTGGATCTTCTGAAAGATTAGGTGTACGAGCTTTTCGCGTCATCGGTATACGATGAGAGTATTATGTACAAGAGTCTCAGAATTACCATCAAATTCAACGTACAGCGTTTCCTATTTACAATTTAAAATAAAATTTTCTTTATATAATGAGAATAGTAGAGAGATCACGCTTTATATCACAACTTCTTGATCTTGAGCATCTTGTTTCGCGATAATTAAATTTTTAATTAAAAGTTCGGTTACAGTCCACTTCATGTTGAGCGCCAAATGTCTCAACACTTGTTTCTCTCGCATTTAATTCTTGGAAAAGTTTCCCGTAAAAAGCTCGTAATTCAAGATTATGGCTCTAAAACATCTTCTCTACCAACGACAATCAGCTCGGACTTTTTGGCGAGATATTATTTCTTATACTTGCCCTCAATTCTGGAACATCCTATGTGTAATATAAAATATGACTATTTAATAATGATATAAACATTATAAACGGAGAATCCGATTTGTATGCAGATAATGCAATGTACACGTAAAATTGTGTCTACATCAAACATGTTTGATCTGTATATAAAATAGTTTTTATCAGATCATGTCCGCCCACGTATCCTTCTACTCGTGAAATAAATTCATTGCCAATCGACAAGAACTTCGAAAGAAAAATGTCAAAGAAAAATATGATCTTAAAATAAATAAGAAGCACAGTCAATTGATACCATAATACCATTTTAGGTTCCATTTCACAAATAATAATTACCCGTATATTGGTTTCAAGGTTTAGAATTTGATAAAAAAATTATATTTATATTTATATTTGTATTAACAAAGAAATATTTATATTTGTACTAGCAAAGTATTTTATCTTTACTTCTCAACACATATGCGCCAATAAAAAATACAAATAAACTGCTATGTAAACTGTGATTGAGTGCAACCTTTACAACAAAAAAAAGAAAAAACCGTTGAAACGAATTACTATGTCGATTGCCTCAAAGCCGCTTTAGCATTTCAATCCCTAATGAAATTATATTCTTCGTGAGGGGGTGTACAAGGGTTATTCCTGGAAGAGAGTAGGTGGTGATATATCCAATCCCTAAAATTAGGCAAACACGAAAAATTTTTTTATATATCAAATAATTTAATTGAACAGTTGCGAAGTCGTTAAGTTTTCATCTTTTATAATATTGAAAAGTAAAATAGAGATGTCACTCAAAGAGCTTTTCCACAACATATTTTATATATTTTCGTATAAACCGACTTCTTCGGGCGTGAATTTTTCGAACATGACAGTATAAATCCTTAAGCACTGATGCGGTTTTTTTTATATATTAATTATATATAACTTTATATAATTATATATTAACAGAACTACGTTAATATTCGACGTATCTCATCAGATTCGCGAATTCGAAAAAAATTCTGCAAGAGATATTACTGATACTCTGCATCGGTGCTCGAAGACGGGAATCCGATCATTACGAGGTAAACATAATTTGCCTTTTTTAAATCTTTCTTTGCAAACAAGTTAAAATTAGATTGAAACGTTCAAATGGGACGGTACCAACCTGGCGAAAGCGCAAAGGTAGCAAAGAAGGTAGTCGCCGAGAGATGGTCAGCGTCGCGAAAACGGAGGACCCTTACGGCTTCGTCGTGCTCGTTCCCCTCTTTATCGCACCTTATCTGCACCGGCAGGCTGCGAGCCGGTGTCGGTCTAAGCGCGAGACTGCACGGGGGATGAGTTACCCCCCCGATGTTCCGCGATTGACCCCCAAAGGCTCTGACTTGGCGGCTCGGACAGACGTCCGTGCGGAACGGCAACGGGACGGTGCGGGAATCGCGCGATGGATGAAGTGGACGACAAGAAGATGCAGAGATCGCCGTCGACGTGTCGCGGACGTGGATGTGGATGACGGCTCGACGAAGAAGGACGAAGGATCGTGCGAGGGCGAACGCCGCGTGAGGTGACCGAGGCGAGAGGCTCGGGCGAGAACCGTGTGACAGTGGCGAGAACAGCCGGAGATCAGCCCTTAAATACGCGCCGTTCCAACTGCCATGCGCGTTTCATGGGGCGCCAGAGAAATCATACGTCGACGCGTAACTTACCCTCCCTCGCGCTATCCCTCTGCCTCCCCCTAACGCACGATGAGCGGGAGGACGAGGTGCGACGCACATTTTCTCATTCAATACGCGCGGAATAAAAATTTCATAGTATTCTAACAGGAGGCACTTACATAAGACTTATGACGTCCGACGTCGCGAGGAGACGTCCCGAGTCCCGATCGTGGTCGAACTTGTTGCTTTCGCGGGAGGGACGCGAGACGACGCGCATGCAAATTGGATGAGGAGTTTTCTGAGAAATACCGCGAGGCAATTCGATCTTCCTGCGATAAAATGACGTAATAATAATGATAAATAAAAAACAGTGACAAGTGATATCCTATAAATCATAAATAAGACAAGCCACATATTGAAATTATATATATTTGTGATATATTAATTAATTATCATATATTAAATTAATTGTGCACATTTATTAATTAGAGTTACGTGAAGGATAATCTTTTATAGTTTATGTCGTATTTACAGTTTTAACATGTTCTCTCCATATTTTTCGTTATAATTTTTAATTCGTCTTCCTAACTGACAATTTCGAAGTCAGGAAACAAAGAAAAAGTTTTTAATTAATTCGTATGGAAAGTGCGATATATACAAACATGTTTAATCTTTATTTCCGTCTTCATGCGACGTGTCATTTGTCATTATCGTTTATCGTAAAACTTACATCATTATCAAGATCTTATGCTGATGATATGCGTCGTTTTACTCGTCCATAAATTTAGGTAAAATGTGTAGCAAATGTATGTAAATAATAAATAATGTCCAATTTATGTGTAGTAAATAGTATGCAATTTATGCGATCACATACGTGAAACTACCTCGCGTATACCTATAATATTTACGATGTCGGAAATTTTTCTTGGAATAATCTTTCACGTGTCTGCTCGCGTATATTATTAAGCTTATAACAGAAAGATCATGTATATGTTTTTGTATAAGTTTCTCTCTGTCAAAAGATTTCAGTAGGTTTTAAAAGCTTTAGCAATAAGCGGGTTTATTTCAAGGAAATTAATATTTCATTCTGCATTTAGTTAATTGCCTAAGACTCGATCTGTTTTCTACAATTTTGTTTCTTATCGCGACATTCCTTGCAATTCAAATGTTTATCGATAATATTATTGCATTGATACGGTTCCAATCCTTAAGACTTGGATTTTACTGGAGTTCGATGAAGCATTATGAGGCATCAGGTGCGATACGAAGCGACGCGATTAGCAATTTTTCATCAAGCTATAGGCGATAGAGTCGACTCGGATACTTCCCACGTATTCTCGGAATTTCCCTTTAACCGATTTATATCCATAATCGTAAAGCTTTTATTTCAAATTTATTGACGTTGCCGCGAAAGAGGTCACGTTAATGTAAACCTATAGAAATAAAGATACATCCTTTTAAGAATTTTTATTGGAATTAATTCGTAATTATCCCAGTAAACAAAATGATACCAGTCAGCAGATTGGTAACAGATTTGTCAGCAGACCGAGAACAACTGCGTTCGTATTCAACTTCTGTTCTGTCAGCAGAGTCTGCTAACGTAATCGCACAGGAGATTGGCAACAGAAATCGCGCAGACAGCGCCTACTGACAGGCAATGCAAACAGATTGGTGACCGAAATCGTGCAGAGCCTGAACGGTTCCAGCAGGATCTGCTCGATTTCTGCCACCAATCTGCTATCTGGTTATATACTTATACTTCTGTTAGCGTTCTGCCGACATCGAACTTCGCATCTCGTTCTCGATGATTACAATATATAATCATACATGCTCATGTATGGCCATATAATATTGCTTAAGATTATATTTTCCATTTCTTATATGATCATATATAATCATATATTTACTAATATAAACTAATACGAACTAATATGAACAAATAATAGGTTTTTTCCTCGGAAAGTAATCATCTTCGACACGAGATGCTCGCGTAATTGCGGTCGGTCAATATAATAATTTCATTGCATAAATACAAGATTGGTTTATGACAATAGATATTTACGTAATACGAATAAAAAAATATACGCGCAAAAAATAAGACAGTAAAAATGAGATCAGTAAAAAGCTGTTGCTGTAGTAATACTTATAATAAAAACAAGGTAATCAAAGCAGAAGATTGAAAGATATAAGATAACAACGTGGGAAATGGAATAAAAAGAATCCTTCTTTCAAGGATTTTTATATGAATTAATTCGCGATGCAAATAATAATTTCATTGTATAATCACAAGATTGATTTGTAACTCAGATATTTACGGAGCACGAATGAAAAATGTACGCCTGAAAGATGAGAGATCAGCAAAGCTGTTGCTGTAATACCTATAATAAAAATAAGATAGTCAAAGCACAAAATCGAAAGATATTGTAAAATAACAACGTGGTGAACAGAACAAGAAAAATATCGTGAAACAGAACGTAAAAGGTAAAATGTAAGCAAGACCTAAATAAGAACATATACGTACATACAAATAAGAATTTGCGCCACATAATTTTGCCCACTTTTCACGAGATAAGTCCGCAGATATTTTTCGGTTTACATAAACGGAAGAGAATCTCGATCACGTCAAATTTTCTCTATGTATATCACGAAAATGTCTAGCACGATATTCGTTCGCATTCCACCGCGGCGGAAAGGGTGCAACTTGCGGCAACTTCCGAATACAATAGCTAAGCGATGTGTGCATTGGCATTCGTCCCTTGTCGACCACGTACAGAAAACCGCGTCGCAATTCGATTTCACGGAAGATCGAGTTCCATCGACTCCACCATGCGCGGGGACGCCCGTGACACCTCCGCCCGCGTCCCGCGTGAACTCATTTTGCAACATGCACTTTATGAGATTTACATTTTCGTCACTTACGTGACGCTTATATATCGGCTGCCGCTCTACGTATAATGCAATTTGTAATGTCCTTCTCTTTCCCCTGTCCTTTCCATTTCCTCCTTTGTCAACCGGAGCGAAAGAAATTCGCTTACTTATCGCTTGTCGTAATAACGTAACACGGATCGCGCATCATTCAAACAAATGAACCGACCTCGTATACAGTCGATCAGTCAAATAACGTGAAAGCGCCTTATAAGATGCGTGCGTCTTTTCCCCACGTTGCCGGTATTCGCATCCCGAGCGTATAAGTAAATTCACATCGCGACATCTTCTACGTCCGCGAAATTGTGCTTTTTGCGTGTATCCAAGGAGAAATATCTAGCGCGTGGCGAAACGCGAAGGAATCAAAGGGAGGAATTGGAGCGGCGTTTGCGAAACGTTTCGTTCGTATACGCCGGGGATGCTGCCCCTGGGACCGAAAAACTGCACGAACGTTTCTTCTTCTCGCGTCGCGTCGAGGCGCGAGAATATTGCGTCTCGAAACACGGAACATGGAACATGGAACACAGACCATGCCGTCATTTGTATATCATTTGCACACAATATGCAACGTGTAGTTCATATGTGCATACGCCTATTGTGTGAAGAAGATCAACGAATATTCTCCTTCGTCAGAGCCAACTTGCGGCGATGTTTATATAACACACAGTCGCTTGAATAACATAGCCTCGCAAAAAGTAACCTCCTTTTTTTCCGAATTGGAAACAAAAACGAGGAGGAGAATAATTTTTTACACCTTCACGCAAACTTAACACACGCTGTCACTGTAATTTCAGTCATCGAAGTACTCCACCGTGACTTATTGTGGACTTTACTTGTAATTATAACTCGATTATTCGAGTGTTAGAGATTATAACGATTGTGCGCGTCAATTAGGCGCACGAGTTTGCATATTATTAGTACGTAATTGCGCTCTAAGGATAAAGAAAATCGTAACGCGCACGTCTCAAGTTTGCACTGATTTTTGTTTGCTATACGTAAATAGCATCGTGGATACATCGTAAATATATCGCGGTATTTCGACGATTCGCGTGTTAAAGGTTAAAGCTGCGTGAATAATTTCATTCGTTAGAGACGAGTTTGATATTACTGTCACCGGCGAAGGAAGAGAGTCGCAGTTCGTTTCAAGTTTGCGCTAAGATATTTACGACGACGTATTATTTGGCCTAGACACCCCCTACTCAGGTGTCAACTCTCTTTTCTTTTGCCTAAATATTTAATCACCACTTTCTTATTTAATCACCACTTAAGGGCCACTTCGACCAAGCTCTGATTAACTTAATCGTTGATTAGTCCATTGGAAATGACCTATCGCATTTGCCAATCTGCTTAATGAGAAAATGTGATTGGTCATTTCCAATGGACTAATCAACGATTAAGTTAATCGGAGTTTAATCAAAATGGCCCTTAGTCTGTTTAATATGCAGCTAGTTTGTTCAAGGATAACGATAAGTCAGCCTTATCCCTAACTATATCGAATAAGGTATTTTACGTACATTGTATTATATCCTAGGTAATGCTATCTATGAAATTTCTAAATTTTTGAAGAATTTCAAATAGCTATCAAAGAGATGCTCCTGCTTATGTTGATTGCCATGAAACCGTAGAGATAAGCTATGATGTTGCAAATATTTTCCACTCTTCTTTTGTGAATTTGACAACATGAAGAAGATGCTATGTTTCTAATTGTTATAAAAATTAAATACCTCGTTTTGATCGACGGCGAAAGAAGGTACGTGCCTTTTATGCGTACCGTCTGCTTGCGAAAACAGTAATCCAAATAAATTATTAATTAGTTAGTTTTTTATTTATTATAGATTAGTTAGTTACAGACGCAGTAATACTCAATTTTTGCCGATTATATAAAAAAAGAATTGATTTAAATATATCTTAATGCTTGCTATCATTATTAGATTAATTTGATTTCATTTTAATTTCATTTTAGTCTCATTTTAATCGTGTAAAAGAGTTAAACATTTGAGTAATTTAAATAAACAGTTTTCTAAGAAAAAGGAATTTTTACAACTTGTACATACTTAAATAATTATCTCCTTACGGTGTTATCAATTGACAATATCAACTGAAATTTAAATATTTTAAGTAGTTTAGAATTAATGGTAATTTTATTCATTTTAGCATTGAGCCCGAATATGATAAATTTTATTAAGTTAGTATTTAATATTAACAGAATATTTTAATATTTTTAATATCATATCTCTCTTGTATAATTCACATCGTGTAGGAAGGTTTTTCAAAGAATTAAGTTTCAGAAAAATAAAAAAGAAGCAAGAGTGGCTAATTAAATCGTATCAGTCAATTCTAAGTGTACTCTAAAGTCTAGAGTCTAGAGTCGCTAATAAAAGACTGACTTAAATTTTTTTCAGAAAATGTGTCACAAAATTAAAGCTACGATTAATTAAGAAACAGCATAAATTTGTTAGCACATCCAATTATAATCCAGTTGGATTCTGCCATTCATCTTGAGTTCTCTGCAGTTAGCTAGAACTCGATATCAAATAGTTATCATAATGTTTTAAAATTAATGCAATGACCTGTGGATCAACGATTCACTCAGGAAGCGTCACGTCACGGACGATTTTACATATTTGGCTTTCAGTTCTGAAGGAACGGCTTCAGTTTTCTACGAAACACATCTCCTGACACATCTCCTTTCCATAAGTGTATCTATAAAGTATGTATTGTGCATATTTGTCGTCACGATATTATAATATAAGTTACATATGTGTGTGCGTGTGTATGTGTTTGTGTGCGTGCGTGTATGTGTGGCTCGCGTGTGTGTATGTATATAATAATAATGACGCGATAAGAAATTTTAAAGCGAAGAAAAATTGCGTAAAAAAGAAAAAAATATTGCGCGTAAAAATATAATATCGCAATAGAGATTACTTTTCGATTTTTTATCACTACGATAATGTGAATTTATATTATTTTATTAATTTAATCTGAATCTTAGCATTTACATTTATTTCAGAAATAAAAGATTATGGTAAAGATTGCATTTAGCGATATCTATAACATTATAAATGTTAATTAACATTACGAATTGTCAACGTAATCGCGTATGATTTCCTGAATTTAACACTTTGCAACACAAATTGTGACTTAGGTCATTTCTATGTATCTATTTCTATGTGTAGCACATTACTGGTGCTTAAAACATTTGCATTTATAAATGTATTAATAATTTTTTCTTGATTCTATATGAATATTCGAAACGTATAGGACTTGACGTCACACCGTGGATGGACCCCACTCCGTGGACACAGAGACGTTACTGCTATTACAGACTGTAAATATCTGTGTTCGGACGTAGCTCGGATCGACAGTTGCAAAATGCTGCATCAGATGAATCCCGATTTCTTGGACGCCAAGCCCGAAAGCTCAGGAAAAACGTGCCTCGAGTCACGCATCGTGCGTCCGAGGATATCAAGAAGAGGAGACGGCAATGGTATATATTCGTTTTTACGTTTTTATGTATCATATTGAGTAGAAAGTGGGCTGGGTGTAAATTAATAAAACGGAAACACAACAACGCGAGGTGGGAGATACATTAAAATGCGTGTCGATATGTCTGTTACGTATTTAATATTTCCAGCATGGATAATTTCAGATTATTCTCGAAAGATCAGAATCGTAAATAATTACACAATAGCCCTTCGCGAGCAAGGTCTATAGTTTATCTTGATAAGAGAAGATTATTTTAAACGGAATTAATGAGAGTGTAAAATTAATTCCATATAATTACTTCGTCAATAGATAAATTCAATTTGTGGCCAATTACAAGCTTAAGGCGTAAATGCAAACAACACATTTCTGTTTCTTCTTTCCTTTTTACAAGAATATTTTATACGATTCGCGTCGATTGACGTATTTGAGTTCTAGCTGCTATCAATACAATGTCTTCTCTCTCCCGCATTTTGTATGCAAACATATGTCTGTATGACGTATAAATATCGGGTCAATCCTACAAGTCGTTTCTTCAATATAAATGACGAAAAGAATACGCGAATATAAACTTCTACTAAGTAATTGTATATATCCTCCATCGCTATTTATAATAATGTGCTGCCTATTTATTAATTTTTGAATCTTTTCGTTCAAAAAACTTGATTAATTGCTCTGAAGTGCAAAATTCAAATGCAATTTTGCGAGCCTTTGTATTTCCGAAGTTTAAATAATTTTGCAGGCCTTAGGAAAGTCTGAGACATATATTTGGCTGCGGCAAAAACTGTCAATTTAAAATAATTTTGTCAGCAGTTGCCACATCCTTTATATACATATAACATTGTGTTGTATAATATTTTCTAATAAAATATGAACATTTTTTGCCTTAGACAGTTGCCTACTGTCACTGGTAATATTTGACCATTTAAAGTAAAAGCCGAAGTAAGTAAAGATAAAACACAAGCAGAGGATTATTCTTTTGATATGTTAATTTTCATTGACACAAGAGTGTATTAAGGAGTATTTCTATCAATCTTAAATTTAAAATAAAATCAAAGATAAAACCAAAGCTATATAAGAAGATCAAATGGCTAATTTATGAGTACAAAAAAAATGTGGGTTTTGAAAATACGAGTTTATTAAGTTTGTTAAACAAAAGAATTAACAGTAATTATGTAGCTGACTAAAAACAAATATAAAATGACCCGCCGATATACACCAAGTAAAAAACAATGAAAAAGATCTCATGTTCATGTTAAGATAATTTTAAAAGTATTTAGAAATGGAAATACTTATACTACGAATATAGAAAAGTATATTCTTAAAGAGCTTGCTATTACTTTTCTAACATAAACATAAGATCTTTATCATTGTTTTGTTTTACTTGGTGTTTACTGTTTTATTTCTTACAGCTACATAACTTTATACATCAGATAGAAAGCTATCGGTAACTGTCAGACACCTACTTTTCTCACTGTTAATTTTGACCAGTTATGTAAGTTTTTAACCTCAGTTCTTCAGTCTTATATCATATATGCTTTACATTGATAATTATTCTTTTTTGCCTTTTAATCATACATTTAACAACTCATCTTTTAAAATTTATATACCCTTATCTTTAAGTTCGATTTTTGCCATAGTTTTCAATCAATCACTCTAGTGTTGTTTTATTTGTAATCTCCTTATGGTTTCTTTATTTGAACTATATCATTATAAAATTTAATTTTAATCTTTATTCTTGTTTTAATTTTGATCTTTATATATTCTTTTCTTTATAATTTTTTAATTTTTCAAAATACAGGGAAAGAGGCAATAATTAAGAACCGGCGCGGTAAATAGGGCGCAAAATTTTATATATTCTCTTAATCGATAGATGAATAAAGAAACGCTCGTATGTCAAAATAAATAGGAATAGAGGCCAACAATCGAGCAAACACGTAGATGTCAATTTAAAGTAAATTTAATAAACATACTTATATACAACGGAACGTTTCAACCGCACAGGGTCTTCTTCAGCCGTTTTAAATTAAAAATTACATAGAGTCGCGCAAAGTGAAAATTAACATGTTAAAAAGTAATACAGTAAAAAATAAATAAATTAATACAGTAAAAAATAAATAAATTAAAAAGTAGCCATTTCTCGATAATAAATGACAAAGCCGTCTGGAGTCACATCTCACATGAGAGCATTCAAATTAAACCTTGTATATGAATAATAAAATTGTATATAAATAAGTATCTGTGAGTCTATTGTAAAATGTAAAATTATATATATGTGAATTTCTATAGTCATTTCGCAAATATGCAGTCAAAGAAGAGTCCATAATCTATTTTTCGTTGGTTGGCGAAAACGAACCAAGTCAGAAGTTAAAAGGCAGAAATCTTAAGTCCATCAACGTTGTACGTTCTGAAATTCGATGTCTCAATAGTGGGATAAAGTCTATGTGATTGTTAAGTATGGACTTACAAATTAAAGAATTGCGTCGTGGTCCGAAACTAAGTGCTCTCGTGATCGATGTTCGCTCCTTTACGTCTTAAATAATAATGACAAGCATTCTCATTAGGCAAACTCACTGACATCTAACTATTTATTATTTCGATGACTAACCTTCGCCGTTACCTAATGAGAATGTCATTATTAAATGTCACTAAATAAATCTTTTAAACCGCGTCTTTAGCACTTTTTAACATATCCGTGGTAAATTTATGGAAATGACTTCGTATGGACAATACAGTCCTTTCAGATAACATAGATGTATTGTAGATCATACATACCTATGCCTCACGCTTTTTATTCAGAATTTTGTTTAAAAAGGTTAATGTCCTTGCAATATATTAACAAACTATGCCGATCAGCATAGTAATTAGCAACAAAATTGTGTTATTTAGTAGACTGTCTAAGTAGAATGTATCTTACACTTGCGTTGCCTCTCTAATTTTGACCTCCCCTTCTTTTTTAAGAAACAGTTCGGGGTAAAAGCATTTATCAATATTTCGCAGTGTTGGCACTGTACGAAAGCTTTACATTTTGCAACACTGAACATGTTGTTTTCGCAAACTGCCTTGAAAACACAGAGAACTTTACGGATGATTTCACTACGCATCCAGATTTTACTCGATATTCGCTCGATTAGCGCCGATCGTAGCGAATTCCATCGGTAACGGAGATTTATTGACGCTACCTAATGCTTAAATTAAATTATTGGGCGCATCTGCTGTCTTCCCGTTGCAGCATATCGTTCTCTCCACCTGTTCTTCTTTACTCCGCTACGTTACGCAGGTCAGATACAAATTAAGAGCACGTAGATATAATCAACAGTGAAATAAAATTGTTGTTATGCTTTCCAGAAAATGTTTTCCAATTTATTTCTACACAAATCGAAAAAAGATGACTGATGCATGTGTGCAATGACGTGAAGTAAATAATTCGACATTCCCGGTTATCGGGCATGATCTTATCATATCTAATCTTATCATAGCTTATATAGTTGCAAGTTGTAGTGTTCATTTACCATATGCTTCGAACGCTGATTATTCTTGAAACGTAGTCTTATGCGAAAATTGCGAAACAATTGTATGATTGTTAAGATATCAATATGATATATTTGTCTTATTTTAACAAATACGCGTGTGCATGGCGGTGCATATAGGCGTTTTGAAACAGGTAACTTATAAGCTTATCTCGAGAATGAAAAATAAATAATACGATTAACATGTTTAATATTAATATCATTCTCTCTTTCGATGTGTGCAAAGAAATAAATCCGTGGAGAGCTTACTTAGGACAATGAAAATAATCCCGACCGAGAGAAAACGACCTACATATCAGGAAACGGCTGAACGATCCTGTTGTTTTATTATTAACGCGTATTCTTGTTTTATTATTAACGCGTAAGTATCGCGTGTGTGTCGGGCTGTATAAAACGAGCACGCTTAAGGCCTAACATAAAAGTTTATCCAGAAACATCAAGCCTTTCTTCCTATACCAAACGCTAAATCGTGGCACAACTTAGATTTGACCACACAGAATCCAGGGATCCGAAAATCGCTCACAGCCATCTGGTTGGCTATTGTCACGACTCGCTTCTGCGAGTTCTCTCTAATAAACTTGCTTCCGCCGAGTTGCGTAACGCCCCATTTCTCTGAAATAAGGTGTCACACAACCTGATACACCCTGCGAACTCCTCGGTCTTAAACCCCCGGAGGACTGTCGCAGAAGACGTGTTTGTAAAGAAGAACATAAAGCTGAAATATTCATCGCTAGTAGATTCAAGTCGTGATTTTTCCTCGCCAGAACTTTGCACGTAATATTTTAAAATAATTTTTCCCTCTCCTCTCTCTCTCTCTCTCTCTCTCTCTCTCTATCTATCTATCTATCTATCTATCTTTCTGTTTCTTTCGATATAAATAATTTTTATTCACCTGTGTGCACCTTATAAATATTGTATGCTAATATCAATTTTCTGCAAAGTAGTTTATACATCTAGTGATATGCGATACGGTAGTCCTGTCACATATAATGAAGAAAGAGAATAAAGCAGTGTAAAGAGATTTCTCAAGGGAATGAACTAAATCTTAAATTGAGTAGATTCGATTTTTACGGCTGGAAACACGGAAAAAAAAGATGAGCTACTATAGCTAAAATAGTCGTAATATATAAATAACTAATATTTTTTGCAATAAGAGTAACATTTTTTGCAGCGAGAACAAAAGGTTTTGCTACTATTGCTAAAGTATAGCTCTTGCTGCAAAAAATATTAGTTATCCATATTTTACGACTAAATTTAGGTAAATTTTTTTCCGTGAATGCATAAAATATAAGTAAACCAATTGGGGAAGAGAGGACCGCTACGCTTAAGGCTACGAATATTTTAAGCTCGCTTACCTGAACTACGAATCTGTTATCACAAAATGTTTTTCCCTACTTAAATATTTAAATACACGTTTTCGTCTTTATTTGCGCACCACGTCCCGCGCTAGACTCGCATTCGCCGTTAAATCTCTAACATTTTCACGAGTCTAATTATATTATTGTTAAATATATAAATTAGAAACATTCTTGTATATCTTCAGTTAAGTCGTTCAGCTGAACAGTTTTTTAATTTAAGGCTCACGAGAAAAAATCTCGGTGTATATACTCACTTTTTACCGTCGGTTTCCCTACTCGAGAACGCGCGAAGTTTCACGCTGCATCGAATGCCGGATAAAATATATACATTTATTTGGCTTTTTGACCCCGAAAGAAACTTTTCGAAGATACACGATTTCGTCTTTCGTTATCGTCCAATACAACAAATTGAATAAATTTTCCTGTCATCTCTCTCGCGACAGATTTTTCGAATCTTCACTTAAACAAAAAAAAATAAATAAAGGAAGAAACGTAATCTACGCGTCGTAAAGAGTTCGAGCTAACGTCCCGTTTTCATTTCCAGTCACCGTTCCCCAGTCGCATTACATTTCTTCGTAACGGATAAATATCGCGGTGGCGGCCCCACGGGATGCGTGCGGCGGATGTGTGGTTACCGGGAGAATCGGAGTGCGACGAGACGAGAGACGGAAAGGTGGTCCACACGGTGTGCCCTGCGATTCTCTCGGATATTCGCGACCTCGCCGACATTGAGGTGTATTAAGACAGCGGTGTCTCGCTCTCGTCGTATCTCCGTAATTCACGATATGCGGAAACAAACACGTGGGCGAGGCCACGCGCTAAAGAAAAGGGGATAGAAAATTGCTACGAATTTCTCGTGTAAAGCGCGATGTATGCGCGGCGCGTTGGAATGAATTATTCATGCTGAGTAAAAAGTGTCGGCGAGTGTCGGTATCATCCGCGCCAAGGAGGCATTTTGAAATATACTGTAACGTCCCCGCGCCGTTAACTCATGATAATTAAACGAGGCGATAAGAAAAAGGGAGTTAAGATCGCGTTGACTGGATAATTAATATAGGATACATTGTAAAAAGATAAATTATATACGTAAGGGAATAAATTATACGAAATTTAATGTAGGCTCCTCGACATGAAATCTCGATGATAAGAAACGGGGGCCGAGAAATATATTGGCGCGCAAAAATTTACGTCGATATATTTTATATCGCTCCGATAATAAAGTAGAAGAAATAAGAATTTAATTGCGCAGCACGAAGGACGCGCAAAATTAATTAATACAAATAAAGAAAATATTGTAATATAATTGATTTAACTCTCTAACTATGTATTATTATTTACTTCAAAAACACTCGAGATACTTTACTCTTTTAAAGCAGAATGCGATCTGTAGTTTTTTACTTAAACACCTTAAATTGCGCTATGGAAAAACTTATAATACGTAGCAACATTTACGATACATTTATGTCCATTTCTATCAACGCAGGTTAATTTTAATCTTGGTTTAACTTACCTGTCATCTTTTCCTAGTTCTAAAGAGTTAGAAAAAGATTCGAATATTTTTATGTTTGAATTTAAAACAACGTGAAAAATTTCAAAATAAATAAGAAATCTTACAAATGCAGTTATGTTTATTGTGTAAAAATTATTTTACTATGTATGCAGTCAAAATTATAAATTATAATAAAATATAATAATTTAGAGATACTTTTATCAACTTTTATCTACAAATTATTATATTTTATTATAATTTATATACTTTTATCTACAAATTATCAGATTTCATTATAATTTATAATTTTAATTGCATACATATACTACGTTTACGCGAGCGTTACTTCTGTAGTAACTTACGAGAATTCTTTCGCGTAAACGGGATTTTCCTTCGCGTAAACGAGTGATTTATCGTAAGTTACTACAGAAGTAACGCTCGCGTAAACGTAGTAATAGTAAAATAATTTTTGCACAATAAACATAACTGCACTTGTAAGATTTCTTTCTCATTTTGAAATTTTTTACGTTGTTTTAAATTCAAACATAAATATATTCGAATAATTACGCTAGTTCTTTCGCAAAATATAAAACGTAGGCATGTGTAATATTTTTTAATAAAAATTCTGTATTTTTCATGATAATATCAATATAAGTATTCCGAGACACAACTAAAGTTTTACAATACATTAACCTACATGTTTTCCTGTTATCAGCAATTATTTTTGCAGTAACATTCTTTTATGGAAGATAAATAGTATTACGAAACGTACTGCAAAGTCCTTTAAAATAGAAAATGATAAGATATATAATACAAATTCGTTGTGTTGCAACGCAGTATTAACGCGGAGCTCACGGGAACAATGTTTCTTGTTTGTCAAAATAGGTACCATATTCGATAAAGTTCCCTGCATATTTCGTTGTAACGTAATTAATGATAATTTCCGAGAAGTCAAGTTTCGTCAAAGGTCGGAGGCAGCCGTCAGTCGTGTTTTGTGCTTGTGACGAAAAGGTAAGCCGTCGCCGTCTTAATTACTGTGTTCTTGCAGATTATATTATGAACCCGCATTGGAACGAGTGCTCTGCGTATGAAGAAGCATATAAGAAGTCATTGGAGTATCCGGGAGAGTTTTGGGGCGAGGTTGGCAGCTGTATTGACTGGAGTAAACCTTGGGACAAGGTTTTGGACAATTCCAACGAGCCGTTCACGAAATGGTACATCGAAAAGAATCATGAAAAGAATCGTAACTCTAATCGTAATAATGTCAAAATAATTGCAGTGGCAATTTTTTTATTGCCACTGCAATGAATAAAGGCTTTCAAAAAGTTCCAATTCCGATTAAAATTTTGTTTGCATAAATAATTAATTTTTCCTCTTTTTTTTGCGATAAGGCTCGTTTAAAATACTCGTCCTTAAGAGTTATTGAAAATCGGATTTTTTCTCAGAGAAGAATCTATTCCAGATTGAAGAACGTAGCTTCAAAATCATGCGTTACGCGAAACTATATTTAAGTATAGATATTAGACGCTTTACGCCACACAGAGAAAGCTTTGCGGAGAGAAACAGTTAATTAATAGAATAAAATCTCTCTAATGGCCTCGTGGGAGCACTCGTGACGGCGAAAAGGGCTACAGAAAGCTCGCTTATCTTTCGCGCAGGTTTGTCGGCGGTGAACTGAACGCTTGTTACAACGCGGTGGATCGCCACGTGCACGCAGGGTACGGGGAGAAGACCGCCCTTATCCACGACAGCCCTCAAACGTCGTTAATACGCAAAGTGACGTACAACGAGCTCTTGGAAAAGACGTCCGTGTTGGCGGGCGCGTTGGCGGATCTGGGTGTGCGCAAAGGGGACAGGGTGATTATATACATGCCGCTGATCCCCGAGACTATAATTGCGATTCTCGCCACTGCCAGGCTCGGGGCGATTCACTCGGTGGTCTTTGGAGGTAATTAATAACAAAAAGTAACGGTGGTCGCGGCCATTACGTTCAAGCTTCATTTTACCACTATACCACGTGATTATTATTTTTCACATGGATCGCAAAAAGTAGAATCGATAGTAAAATGTATGCAAAGTGTGTAAAAACTGACTACGATTAAAATTCGCATATTTACTTTCTTATATATATCTCGCATATATTTCTTATCCGTTTCTTTATTTTAAAGACTTTTTTAATCTTAAAAATACCTGTTTTTACATAAGACGGATAAGTCCATATATCCTTCAGATGTGTTTTAAACTGTCAAGTCACGTCAAACAGCTTTATAGAGACCCAAGTTGCATAGCAAGATATTTCGATTATTAAACAATTATCAATTCAGTTATGCAATGCGATTATACTTGTAAATACGCGTTTCAGGCTTCGCAGCGAACGAATTGGCATCTAGAATAGATCATGCCGAGCCGAAGGTTATTATCGCCGCGAGTTGCGGCCTCGAACCGTCCAAAGTGGTTAAGTACGTATCAAAATATCACTTTATACGAGATATCTTGACATATTTAAATTGCGCTTTTAAAAAAGCAGCAGTTCACAGTAGACTCCTATAAAAAATTTTCTAAGAGAAATGTTAGATACATATCGGATAATTGATATTAATATTTAATAGAAATGTTAATATTAATGTAACGCGTTATGTAACATAATTTCTTTCTCAAACAACGCATTGTCCCTTAAACTGTGCACAATCTGTCGAACTTCTTTCAAACGTTTCTGTTTAGAACTCTTAGCGTCTTCGACGCTTCATTCAGTCTTTATATTCTTCCTTTAATTCGCACAATTCGAAATGCAGGTATACTACTATGCTAAACGGTGCCATGGACATGATCATTGTACCGAAACCGAAGTGCATCGTGTTTCAGAGAAGAAACGTGTGGGAGGCTCCGTTACTCGAGTCACAGCTCGACTGGGACGATCTCTTGAAGCGGTCGAAACCGCATTCGTGCGTAATGGTCGAGGCTAACGATCCATTGTATATATTGTACACGTCAGGAACCACAGGTGTGTCTTAAGATACATACTCAGCTAATAGATAAAGAAACCCAGAAACGTCTCTGGGGATGAAATGACGGAATTTTATATCGTATAATTTCCTTCCTTTGATTTCCTATACTTTGAAAATTATCCCATCGTATTCCCTCGAGACGTTCTGTCGTCACTTTTCATGTTTATAATGTGTTACCTGTCTTTGATCAAACACCAAAATCACACTCCTGTTACGCGATCACGAAAACCTTTTTTTTTTTTATTTGATATCAGGGCATCCGAAGGGAATTATAAGGCCAATCGGTGGTCACTTGGCAACACTCTGCTGGACCATGAAGACGGTTTACGGGATGAACAAAAGCTCCGTTTGGTGGGTGGCCTCCGACATGGGATGGGTTGTCGGGCATTCCTACATTTGCTATGGCCCTCTCGTCTACGGCGCGACTAGCGTCATGTACGAAGGCAAACCCGACAGAACACCGGACGCTAGTCAATATTTCAGGTTTGAATATTTTTCAACGAAAGCAATATTGCTTGGAAAATAAAGAGAAGCGTTTTCTGGTAGGAAATAAAAATTTATCTCATCTGAAATCTAATTTCTTTACCGCCCTGTCAATTTTCGTCGGATTATCTCGAAGAAAATAGCGCGGCTTAAAAAATATTGATTCTACAAATATTTGTTAACTTTTTCATGCCAGTTGATAAAAAATAACAGTTCAAGAAAGTCAATAAATATTCGACAATTTTTTAATCGCATTTTCTCTTTCGAGTAATAATAATAATTCTTCAAAATATTTGCTCAGCGATTCCTTCGTACGCAAAAGAGATACTAGCACGTGTCTGACTTATTTTCGTTTTTACTACTTTCGTGGACTATCCTATGTTCGTGCGACGTCACGTTATCCCTGTATAACATTGATAATTATAATGCATCGATAATTTACTTTAAGGAAGTCTTCTCTTTTTTTCCAGAATCATCGAGCAACATAGCGTAAACGCGTTATTCTGCGTACCCACTGCTCTGCGCGTTATAAAACGAGCGGATCCGGAAATACTATTAGGAAAAAAGTATTCGTTAAAATCGTAAGTTCAAAAGCAATCCACTAACTGCTCCTCTGATCATGATAGTTCCTCAAAATATTTTCTCAGCGATTCCTTCGTACGCAAAAGCGATACTAGCACGTGTCTGACTTATTTTCGTTTTTACTACTTTCGTGGACTATCCTACATTCGTACGATGTCACGTTATCCCTATATAACGTTGATAATTATAACGCATCAATAATTTACTTTAAGGAAGTCTTCTCTCCCTTTAAACTCCCATAAAAACAAATCGGAAAGACGAACGGATTTCTCACGGACAGTTTTCTTTCAGCTTAAAAACGATATTCGTGGCCGGTGAATTTTGCGATTACGAAACGAAAGCCTGGGCCGAAAAAGCTTTTAAAGTACCGATCTTGAACAATTGGTGGCAATCGGAGACTGGACATCCCATCACGGCGCTGTGCTTAGAATACGGTCATTACACCAGTTTGCCCAAGTTTAGTACGGGACTTCCTGTACCCGGATATGACAGTGAGTCTCCTTGATCGTATGCAGGAATGCTTCCGCCGACTTTTCTTCACTATATGACGCTACCCTCGATCATCTCTTTGTCTAAACAATTCCGCTAATAAACTTCTCGTTCGTCTCTGTGCAAAATCACTTATAAATTTATCATCGACAGTACATATCCTGCGCGAGGACGGGAGCAAAGCGCCGCAACACGAACTCGGACGTATCGCGATAAAGCTACCGCTGCCACCAGGATGCATGTTGACCCTTTATCGGGCACCCGAGAGGTTCAAGCAAGTATACTTCTCGACATTTCCGGTAAGTAAATCCGCGACACGTTACCACGTGCTAACGCCTTATGCTAACGGAGCAACATATATTTCACACACATAATACGAACCTACAAGTCTACTTCTTTTACCCCCCCCCCCATTGCCTCTTAAAAATCTTTCGCGATCGCTTGAAAGCCTAAGTCACAGTCTACAACAGGTGTTTTAAGCTCTAAGCTCTAAGAAATTGGCCAATCACAGTTGATTATTATCTTCGAATTCGACTGTGATTCGTCAAATTTCTTAAGGCTTTGTATAGTGCTCAAAATATCTATTGTAGACCGGAACTAAATCAAGGCCAAAGAGATCTTTGCCAAAGAAAGAGACCGATTCCAAATTTGCCGGAGGATAAAATCGTTAAAGCTTACTGGGGATTACCTATATTCAATTCGATGCTCTTGCAGGGTTACTACGACACGATGGACGCGGGATACATCGACGAGTTCGGCTACGTTTACGTCACGGCGAGGGACGATGACATTATAAACGTAGCTGGCCACAGAATATCCACGGCTGCGTTAGAGGATATTATTTTAGCTCATACCGACGTGGTGGACGCCGCGGTTGTCGGTGTACCCGATCATACGAAGGGTGAAGTGCCGCTGTGCCTTTACGTTAGACGAGAAGGTACGCTCGTAATTTTTCAAAAGAGGTATCTCGAAAGAAGCGGTTGTTATCTTTAACATCGCGACGTCCGGCAAGTTTTCTAACCGTGTACATAAATTTCAATATAACTCAATATTAAGGGAATGATTTCAACTAAACTCCAATTATAAAATAATATCTACACTATTTTCTTTAATACGGACATTAATTCTAATTTCTTGTTTATAATATATGTATTTCTTGTCTGAAATAATTAATTTTATTATTTTATACTGCAAGCAGTTCTATCGGTTGAATTAATCGTCGATTAAGGAGAATTGAAAATGTTAAAAATTGCATAAAATTTAAAACAAACTCTTTTATAAATAATGTCAGCGTATATATGAGTTTGTTTAGATTCTTTTCACCGTTTAATTTTTGAGAATATTTATAACAAAGTTCAAGATTTTTTCAAAATTCACTCATTAATTTGATTAAAATTCGAAATAGAAACATTATATGATAATTTAAATATTCCAATTAACTTATCAAATAACATCTGTACTAATACGGAGTAAATTATTAAATTTTTTTATTGTTTAACATACGGAAGGAAAGATTTAAGATTAGAGACGAAAAATTTTACATGTAATTCTGTTATTTGAATTAAAAATTAATTAAATTAGATAGGAGTTTGATCAAAGTCTTAAATTAATTAAAATTGAAATCAAAGCTCTAAATTAATAACTGTTATATATTATATATAGCAGTTCGAGTTATATGTTAATCATATTTATATACATATGATAATTCGAATATTAGTTTGCAGCCGTAAGAACTAGAAACGATTGCAATTTAATTGCTGCAATTCCTTGTACTCTAATCTTTCTTAACAAATTAATAAGAATCCGAAATATATATAATTGCGATTGAATTTAGAAGAATTAACAGGGTACTCTTCTTTCAGACGCGATGAGCAACGAGGAGGAGATAAATCAAGAGCTGGTCGCACGGGTGCGGAACATGATGGGGCCGATCGCGTCTTTTCGCACCGCCGCCGCCATTACCGCGTTACCCAAAACGCGCTCGGGGAAGATAATCCGTAAATCGATCGCCACGTTGGCGCGGTCGAAGCAAGTCAAGGTAGGAACGAGTAAGCGCGATAAAAATCTTCGGTCAAATCTCTTTGCTATCTCGCAATCCAAGCGAGAGATCGTCGCCGATAATCGAACGCGAGTCGTTCCCCATTTAATCTCCCTTCGGAGACTCTGGGTAACACATATATGTACCATCAATTTAAATTCAGAGGACTTAAGTTTAAAAGAAAATCAAAACTATTTTAATTTCTATTTTGTGAACATCCTTTTTGCATTTTTTTTCGATATTTTATTGACATAAAAGTAAATATTGATTTATAAAATGAAACGACTAAAAACACAAAAAAAGTTCTCGACTGTCCCTAAATTGATACCGTGTGTTGAAAGGGTTAACGAACCCTCTTCCGCCCGCGAGCGGAAGCAACGAGCGCGTTATTTCGCTCGGTATTTTAATATCACACGTCGAGTCGGTTGATAATAGCGCGATACTTCGATAACAGAGATCTCTCTCGTAAAATTTACAAAAGAATTAAACAAACTTACCCCTCTCGCCTTTACCCCTTTCTGCTTGTCGTCGCCATAGTTTCAAAACTCATCGGCCCTCTCGCCGCTTCTACCGGGGTCCGCGTCGTCGCCATAAATTTCAGTTCGCCGACTTTTCCAGATTCCGAGCACGATCGAGGATCCAACAGTATTCCGCGAGATCAAGGAGGTGCTCCAGAAGCTTGGCTACGCGAAACTGGCCCCGGATCCTCAATGACCGCGCCTCGTGCGAAACGACTCCTCCGCGCGCGCGAAAAGAAAATGGAAAAGAAAAGAAAAAAGAGGGGGAGGGAGAGAGAAAGAGGAGAGCGGACAACTTCCCGGAAACAATGAGCGTCGTTAATTTGACTGCTGCAGCGCGGCCCCCCCGTCGTCCCCGATCGCAGGGTGTCCAACTGCGATCGGGAAAAGCGTGTGCGCGCGCGCGCACGCGCGCGGGCAAATCAAAAGGGTGAAGAAAGAATCCGTGGAAATTCTTCATTTTCTTCTCCCTTTATTTACGGCTCATTTTTTTCGGGACTTGAAACGAAACGGACGTATATTCGGGAGGGAGGCGGAAGATCCGCGCGCGGACGGTGCAAGTGGAGCAAAGGAAAGGGAGAAGAGTGCAAGAGGCGCGTAACGTGAAAAGGGACTGGACCGATCGCCCTGAAGTTGTCCGTGCTCGACGTGAAAACGCTCGTAAAGGAGGCGGGATCGTATAAACACGAGCAACTAAAATTCGCTCTCGTTAACTTCGCGAACGTTTACCCTGCGTGCCGAGAACGGGGAGCTGCACCCAGTGCATTTGCAATTATTCCATAAACAAATGTAGATAGGAAAAATGTTCTCTCTTTAAGAAGGAAAGTAACGCGAGTTATACGAGTACATATCAAGTTGGCGCGTTTCCTCTTTTTCTCTGGCCCCCGTTATCTATCCATTCCTTTGACTATATATCATCAAGGGTCCATTCGTGTCGCGTGCTCGCGCGAGCTTCAAATGAGTTTAAAGCGATAGATTGCCATTGAACTAGAAAAACTAGATAGCTAGAAAATACTGTAGGCGAGATAAACACGCGCGGAACGCATTTGTGCGCCTTGAATATTTGCAAATCCTATGTGCTACACTTGCTTTTATTCCATATGCTTTTATCTCGAATATAAATATATACGTAGGAAACCCGTTATACTGTGCAGGGATGTACGTGACGTACATCCACGTCCCTATTAAAATTATCAGGGCACACTTTTTTGCAAATTTGTTTTTAATGATAATATAATAAGAAACAGTATAATAATAATTGTAATATTAATTTTATAATTATAAATTGTTGTGTAACACTATTTTGTTGATTTATTCAATAAATTTTCTTTTCCAACTCTTACCACCACTTTAATAATAATTATTCAATAATAATTATAATATTAATCATATATTTCCTTAATGTTAAATCCGCAATCGATATCGATCACTTACTCCACTTCCATGTGTCGCACCTCAGAAGAATAAAAATATCGTGTTTTTTCTTGTTTTATTATCAAGGAGACACGGTTAATTATTTGATCATTATCCGTTTATAATTATTTCAATGCAAGTGCCATCATTCAGCTTATCTAATAAAAGGAACACACGCTCTTGAGTTTTTTTTTTCGATTGTGTATGTCTCCTTAACTATATAGTCGAATCTATTTGCTCTTGTATCAGGCTATAAATATTTTTTCCCCTTTTCCCCCGCTCTGTCCCCCCCCGCCCCACCCCCCACCCCGTTACCCGTTGCGTCGTTGCGTAGCACGTGGACGCACGTATTGTTTGTATAGCTCTGCGGTACATAGGTGTGAGTTGTGTTATATGTTACATTATTACTAAGTCTCCAGAATTTCATCATGCCCGTTCGGTTTGCTTAATATCTCGTGTGCTCGCCTTGCATCGTCTCATTTGTCACATTGAAATAATGATCTTTTTTTTTTATTATTAATCTGTTGTAACACTTAAGCAAGTTTCTTTTCCTTTACTCGACGACTTTCAGCACCTTGCCAATTGCGATAGTTTTATCTGAAATCACACAAGTATATTCATTTACATTTAAACATTATCGCGGAGCAAACAAAGGGGAAAAAAACGGCGGTGATAAAGGAAAAAAATATGCCGTCATCGTACTCACTTTCATCCCTAAGAGTGAAGCGGCCCATTTGTTGGAATAATTTGAATCTTTCGAGACATATAACTCCCGCGCACTCGATTCTCATTATAGCCACCTGGTCCTGTTTGACGAACCTTGGCCTCGTCTTACTTTTATCGCCCGATTTCTTGTCCACCAGACAGATCAGTGCCTTGACCGTGACTTCCTCCGCGGCGCAATGAATGTGCATGACCGCGCTGTATCCCGCGCAAATGATACTCTTGTGTTCTAGAATCACCACTTGCGCGTCGAAGACCTTCCCGGTCTTGATAGGGTTGTTGCTGTCGCATAGGACAAATCCGGGACTGACGTCTTCCTCTTCGATGCCCTTTAGCTTGATCTTGACATTTTCCCCAGGTCCAACAGACGTCACCTCCTCGTCATCCGACCACAGCTGGTCCACCGTTACTGCCGTCTGCGTTTTAAATTTAAAAAAAATAAATTATTCCCATAGACACATACATCATCTCATTTATGCTACAAAATGTAAAGCGTTAAAAATATCACATAATAAAAAAAATATCATTACTTTTCTACATTAGATTGGTGCAGAAAATGATCTGTATCTGTTAAATAGTTAATAGTGAAATTATAGTTCTAAAACAAAATTTTTATTGTTTAAAACAGTAGTTATTGGATTTTAAAAAATCTAAAAAGTTTTTCAATCGTTTCCATAAGAAACTTTGGACTGCAAATTTTAAAAAGGAACTTATAAGAGAAGGCAACAAAAAGTTTGCGCCAACGTAAAATATAATTTGGATTTAGAATATAAATTAATTCCAAATTAATTCAAAGCAACAAAATATATATACGTACCCTATTTGGCATAACGAGCAACGACTGTCCTTTTTTGGCTTCACCTGCTTCGACCTTGCCCATAACTACTGTCCCCATGTCCTTATATTTGTCGACGATCGGCATGATAAAAGGTCCATTGCTCTTGCGATTAAGCGAGGGTAGCGAATCGATAAAAGGTATGAATGGTGGGCCGCTGTACCAATTACAGAGATGTTCGGGTATCGGATCCTTCAAGCCGATACCGAGCTGACCAGAAACTGGCATGAACGTAAGATCTTTCGCAGGATTGAATCCTAATTTACGGAGGTATGGCAGTATCTTATCCCTGAAAGATACACGGTTTTCTATTCGTGTGAATCGATGGAAACGCAATATTATCTCATCATCGGTGATCAAAACACGAGCAAAAAATATATACTTTAGAAATAAAAAGGATATTAATAATTTTAGTAATCTTTCTCTAATAATTCTTAAATTTCCAATTGATTTCTCGAATAAAATCTTTCTATATATAAACGTATATTCTGACAGAAAATTTCTAAATATTTTCTATTTCTAAATCTCGTGCGCACTCGATGCATACCTGCATTCATTGTATCGGCCCTCGTCCCACTCGACAGTAGGATCGTCCATCTTATTCACTAATACAACCAAATGCTTGACACCCGCGGTTTTAGCAAGCATAGCGTGCTCTCTCGTTTGACCCCCTCTGTCGAAGCCCGTCTCGAATTCGCCTTTCCTCGCGGAAATAACGAGGACCGCTAAGTCGGCTTGCGCCGCGCCGCCGATCATATTCGGTACGAAGCTTTTATGGCCGGGTGCGTCTAATATTGTAAAGTGCTTTCGTTCTGTCTCAAAGTAGGCTCTTCCTACTTCAACAGTCTTCCCCTTTTCCCTCTCTTCTTGGTTTGTGTCCAGCGCCCAACTTAAGTACCATGTTTCTCGACTTCTTTCTTTCGCCTCCCGCTCGTATTTCTCTAAGGTACGTTTGTCAACCATTCCCGTGAGTGCCATGATCTGACCTCCGATAGTTGATTTCCCAGCATCTGCAAAACACCATATATAGTGCCATCTAACAATCGACAGCATAAAATATATATCGAATAACTCTCCTCCGTGAACTTTTCTAGTACATTTATATTTCATCTATATTCTTTATAAATTTATTACTTACCCACATGCCCTATGAAAACAACGTTAACGTGTTCCTTTTTGCTTTTAGTGTCTTCCGCTACTTTGACAGGTTTCTTTTTGGGTACTTTAACAACCAGCTCTTCGTCCTCATCGTTATCAGCCTAAAAATAATACAAAGTACAATATACCACTAATAAAATAACCACTTAAAAGAAATCTGTCAAAAGTCAATGCAACTTATCTAGAACTGTATAATAAAATATATATATCACTATCAAAGAAGTATGCGCTCAAGTTTTCAGTCAAAATTATACTTACTTCCTCATTTTCCGGAGTAAGCAAAGGGTCTCCATCAACTGCCGCTTCTTCCCAGGAATCTGCAGGTTGATGTTCCGGACTGGTATTTAGTTGATCGTTGACGTTCGGCGGTGGAGCCCCTCCCCCAGCAGGAGGTTCCTCAACTCGACTGCCAATTGGATCTGCCAGAACAACGGGCGTGGAGTTTCCTATAAAAAATAAAACACTTCTTCAAAATCTTCAGAATAATATATACTCAAAATAACACAAAGAGATACATAGGTTTCTCAATACAGATAACAGATTAAAAAGAAATTTGATTAGATAATGATATGTACAAGTCAATAAGTCATTTACATTAAATCTTGTGACTCTCTACGAAAATAATTAATTTACCAATCACTTTGTTAATTTTTATCTTTCCCTTCATGTCAAATATTTACGATAATTTCCTACATAAAATCGAGTTAAAGCTAAATATACATATTTTCAAATCTTTCTAAAGCAATTATAAGAAAATATACTGCAAAGCTACAAAGACAGATATCAGTTCGGCTTGCGTCCTACCAATGTTGTACACAGTACATCCCTAAGATATTTATTCAAACTTTGGCACGGTATTTTACCGACTATTGAAACTAAACGCAAAACGTAGATCAAACGTACACAGATAGTAAAACTTTTTGCGCCACGTCGAAGATTGTAAGATTAATGAAAAGACTTTGATCTTCAATCGAGGCGCGTCGAATGTCATATAACGCGCTAGATTACAAAGGAGCGGGACGTCATTAAACAGAAACAATCGTAATTAAACACCCAACAAGATGATAAGATATACGCAGCGACACAATCTCATCCGCCGTGTCTCGCCTCTCCTATTACAGCTTTCGCTCACAAGGTCCCATATCCCATATCCAATTTCGACAATGGTGTAACGAACCGAACTGCACACTCGGCAAATAACGTTAACGTAAAAAGAACAGTCGCGGTCCGAAGGCACGGAGGGCGGGGGGTCAGAACGGAGGATTCTTCTCACATACAAATGAAACCATATGGTATCCGAGAGCGTGACATACGGCGTGGACGCTCCGCGGGATCGACCTCCACGGAAACGTGACGCAACGAGGCGTCCCGCCATGCGTTCGCGATCGTTCCAGCGCGGAGACGGGGGACCTCGCGCGGGGGTGGCAACGAGACGAAGGGGTTATAGTCGTGGCGACGGGACCGCGTGCTCGTATGACAACACGACGAACGCGGCGCTCCCCCGCGCTCTCAGGCGGAGGAGGGGGAGGGTAAATTCCGCGATCAGCTGGATGGGACACTGACCATGGTGTATCTCGACGGGCACGGAGGTGGTGGTGGTGGTGGTGGTTACGGTGTTCATGACGGCGGCAGCGGCGGCGGCGGCGGCGGCGGCCGCGGCAGCGGCTGCGGCCGCAGCCGCGGCGACGTTGCACGGACTGCTGTCGGCCGTCGTGGTCGCGGCGACGTTGCTCTGTGGCGACGAGCTGATGCAGAAGGAAGGCACGAATTCCGCAGCGTTGACATTCAGGGTGGAGAACTTGCTCTCGATGGACTTGTCCTGCGACGTAGGCGGGCCGACGATGTCGCCGTTCGTGTCCGCCTGCTGTTCCCACGAGTCTGGTGCTATGCTGTTCGCCATATTAATCAGGTTGTTTCGGCGCACACACAGCCGGCCCGCTAGGCTAAACGGATAATACGATTCTCGCGATCGAGGGAGGGTGGGAGAGAACGAGAGAGTGAATGAGAGAGAGAGAGAGAAAAAGAGATAGAGATAGATAGCAGGGTGATTGGGACACGAGGTGAGTCGCACACGCCGCAATGTGAACCACCGCGCGCGCGTTCCGTTCCAATCCGATCCGATGATCCACCGGGGGGGTTACCGGGCTCGGGACGGGTCTTAAAAAAATAGTTATCTTTCCAGCGCACTCTTCGCGTACACACACACACACCCCGCGTACACGCGCGTACGATCGCTACTCCGCAGTCCGCGTGCGTGCGTGCGTGCGTCCCCCGTGGTCTGCTTCGTTGCTGCTCCTCGCTGCTGTGCTGTTATTGGTGCTGAGATGGTGCTGCTGCTGTTCCGCTACCGCCGCACTTCGACCTTCGAGACCGGAAGTAGCGGAATCGAGACATCGCGATTCGCGACGAACCACATGGCGATAAACACGGGCGCGCGCGGACGTCGCGAGCCAATCGCGGACGAGAACGCTGGACCAAACGCTGGGCCGCTTTTAACTTAACTAGCGCGAAGCCAATCGGACGAATGACCGAGATGACGGCTCAATTAAAACCCCGTAGCTCAATCAGAATAAAGAAAACTAATCTCGAGTTTAGTGAACTTTACTCCGATTGGTAAAATTTCAATTCACTCTCAAACCTAATTCATAATCTGATAAGAGGAGTTACGAATTATTTGATAAATCGATATAATAATAATATAACCAACATAACTCTCTTTAATGAGTTTTAACAATTTAATTTTGTTATTTGTTGAACAATATACCATGTAATTTTTAAATATATATAATAACATATGTGCATTACTGACACAAAGTAATTTTCTTTTAAATATCGAAATGAACGGAAATTGTAAGAATTGCACATAAAAATCTAAATTTAAATCGATAAAGGAATATGAACGGCGAAGAGATCACGATTTAGAATTTCAAAAATTTTATTAATATTTCCGAGAATTTTTTATATTTCCAGGAATTTGCTACATTTGTTAAATATTTTATTGCTATATTTGCAGATACAATTGGCAGCAGAGTATATCGTACGTGTTTTGTGTTCTACCATTCTACACCGCTCAAAGCTTGTCCTAAATTTTTTTTGTCCTACATTTTTTCTCTCTTTCTCTTCCATGTATAATTATACATTTATCTCATTTCAAGTGCAGAAAGCGTAACGTGGTGCATCTACAAAGAGCAAATTCATAAGCTTCTGTATTCAGTCCATTCTGGCCCATTCATTCAGTCGCTCGGTTCCGGAGTATTTAGACTGTTTGGAGTCTTCGATCTTCGCGAGCGTCGCGGAACGTTTTTCCGTAATTTTTCCTTTGGCTTAGCGTTGACGAGGCCAAATAACTCACCGAGATCATGTCGCACATAGATATATTGGCGTCTATCCTGAAATCCATGGACAAGCCGCCGCCAGTGAACGAGAAGCAGAAGGCCCTCATGAAAAGTTAGTTGATTCCCAACCTAAAAATGCTCGCTCTTTAGAAAAAGTGGGAAAAAAAAGAAAGAAAAGAACGGTTTGATATTTTATGTTGGCTCATGCAAATTTATTTCGATTATGCAGAACAGCAGGAGGAATTGCAGAAGCGTCAGAAAGCGGAGGCGGAAAAGTTGAAGCTCTTCCGGCTGAAGGTGAAGTAGCTTATAGTAGTTGCACTTTCATACCTTTTGTCTAACAAAGCCTAATCAGTAATCAGTTCGTCTAACGCGTTACCTTCTTACGTAGGTCGAAGAGAAGATTAACAAGTTTCTACAGGATGACGACGCGAAGGAATACAAATTTCCTGTCATGGATAAGATACACAGGGGCATCGTGTAAGTGCGTTGTTTTGGAAACATTTATACTTGTGGAATATTCTTTTATGATATATCAATGTCCTGGGCTTCAGTTATGACGTAGCAGAAGTAGCGAATGTTCTGGCATATTCCTTCGGCGAGGAAGGCTACGATCGTTACAGCATCATCTTCAAGAGGGAATACGCACCTTCGGAGGATCATTTAGTCGCGCTGCACAATGGCGAAGAGTGGAACGAGGAAGTTGCGAAAAGACTGAAGGAGGAGAGAGAAAGAAAGGCTAAGGAGGAAACGGAGTACTCGAAGTCTAAGAAACGAAAAGAGAATTTCGTGCCCAACAACTACTACAAGGACAAATATCAGCATTTGATCGGCAAGGAAGCCGCCTTGGAAGCTGCTAGGAAAACGGAAGCCAGTAGTAGTTATGGATGTGGTGCGTATAGATATTAATACTGATATACGAGTTAGAGCCTGGTGCATAGAAAAACTTGAATAGTAAGCAAATTGATAACTATCTTAAGTTTTCGACAACGCTTGACTGTGATTGGTCAACTTCAGTTTTTCTATGTGCCAGGGCCCTTACCTAACTTTTACTGCAAACTCAACCTTTCCGTTATGGTATGACTCCATTGGAAATTATTATAAAATAATTATATAATGTGCATTATTTTAAGATCTTACAACGAACAAGCAATATTCGTATTTGCAGTAAAGATTACGAAACATTGTTATAAAATTGAGTGACTCGTTCTATATGCATGTAATGTAATAATGGAATTGTTTTTTTCTCGCAGTTCCTAGTGAAAACAAGAAGGATCAAAGGAGTATAGAACAAACTCTGGCCGATATACGCGCCAAGAAGAGGAAACTGGAAACGAATAATGAAGCCAGCAATTGCAGCGACAACAGTACAAAATAGTGCTATTATATAAATAATCATAGGCATACATAAATTATATATCCAATTAAACGTGTAAATAATTTCAACGTATTAGATATGTTACAACGTTATTACAAGTTACTATATTATACGCACCATTAGGGAAGCTGCGTGGTAGTCTGATTTGTTTAATTTCCCTTGTTCATTAAATATACTACGAGGTACTATAATGGTTCTACGATGGCATTACAATTAATGTTTACCTGCCTGGATTAGAAGTGCAACGAGTCACTTCTATATCGTCTCACTATGATACGTGTATTTATTACTGAGGAGAGAGAATTGAGTCTTTTATATACAATATAATACATCGTCTCGCATGTGCATATATATATATGTATATACATATGCATAAGCATTTGTTTCTGCGATATTTTTCTTCGCCTATATAAATTATAAACGGCTCGGCATCTCTATTTCCAATTTAGAGATATTCCGTGGTGGTGTATTTAGGAACTGAAGTTCTCGGAGCCGGCCTCGGCTTCGTAGGCGATGGAGACTCGAATACGATCTGTTCTTTCAGAGCAAGCAGCTTTGTGAACTTCTGGTTCGTCGTGGATTTGTACAGTTCCAGGCCTCGGGCGATAATAACGTCTCGCACATAGGCTGCATTATTTTGTACTAATTTTCGCTAAGGGAAAGAAGTGAAATCTTGTAAAATTCGAATTTATTCACAATGTGCAATTTAATATAGCAGGGAGACACTCGTTTTACCTCTTGCTTCAATTTCGGATCCGTAAGCGAGACGATCAAATGCTGAACTTCGATTCGCATCACGGATACGAGCACGCCGTCTATCGTAGATATAAGCTCGGGTGTGGCTACGCTAAGACAGTCTTCTAACAAACTGACGTAGATCTTGGAAAAAGTTAATATATTGTACGTCAACGGTATCCAATAATCATTTGTCTGAAACGCTGGTACACCGATACCAAGATCATCGAGTTCGGTTAACAGCTTCTGGAGATTCTGACTAGTTTCCAGATTCGTCGGTCGCCAAGTGTCCTCCGCTACGTGACGTTTCACCGTATCGGCACAGTTATTTCCCGCGTCCTGGATAGCTTTGGCTAACGGTGATCTAAGTTGCCCGTCTAACTGATAACGAAAGTCCATGCCAAGCTGGGTCAACTGAAAATTGAGTTATTATAAACTTGTGTTGAAATTTGCGTTTATAGTACGCAGACACAGAGGCCATATATATCTAAATATAGTACTTCTGCGAATAGGACTATCGCTAAGATTAGAATGTATACATACCTGATCGCAGTGACTTCGAACAGTGACAATGCATTCTACCAATGTGCTTAGCGTAACTTGTGGCACAAACAGCTGCTGAGCTAAGTGCGACGTTAAGTGCTTCACCTCCTGGCTGCACCATACAACCAAGCCTTGAACGACAACGAGCAAGTCAAATAAATCCACTGTTCGATCGTAAAACATCTGTGGCTCTTATCGATGCTAAATTACCGGAAGTGCAATTTGTAGATTTAGGGAAGGTTTTCAGGAATTCTCTCGCTATCTCCACTATATTGCTGAAGGCGATCGCGCTGAGCTGCTTCACGTAAGCCACGGTCGTACCATCTCGCTTGATCCTCTTCAGTCGCGCCTTCAGCACCGCGCTGCACAATCGCAGATACAAGTGGCACGCTTGTGCGCTCCTATTCAGCTGTATCAGGAGCTTGACCGCGCGTCGTGCGCTTCTCAAACCGCCGCCCTGCAGCGATTTCGCTTCCGCGCTCAACTCCAGTTCCTTGGTTAGCACGTTCACCAGCGAGCGACCTCTCTCGTTCACCTTCGTCTGGATCTCCGTCAGCAGGGGCGTTGATTCAGTGTCCTTCAAGTAGACTTTTGCCTTCTCCAATAAACCGTAAGCTTCCTCGAAGTGACGTTGCGCTATGCAAGAGTCCAGATCCTCGGCTACTTCCAGCACCCATTCCGGCGGCGGTTCGTAATACTCCGAGTCATCGTCATCGTCCATCCCTGGTAAAAAAATTTCAACGATCTTAAAAATGCTCGACGAACAAAAACTCAAGAAAATGAACGAAAATGAATGAAGATAGGACACGTATCGCGAAACAAAAAATTCCTACGGAATGCAAGATCTTTCTGCCTTACCTAACGTATTCGATTCCAAAGACATCGAACGAGACGGCGCCGCTTTGTCCTCCTTTGGATGCTTGTCGTTATCCGGTGCGTCGACTGAATTCTCCTCCGCCAGCTTTGCTCTTTTCGCTTGCTCGCACTTATCCAACCACTCTTTCTGTAAGATAAGTATATTCAAATAATACTCCGACGTGATTTACGATCGTTGTTTTCGAGCGCACTAACTTTACTTGTCGCTGTGGCACACTGGAACACTCTCGTATCGGAGAACGCCAACAGTTTGAACGACAGCTTCACGGTGCCGTGATCCCTCACGTTGACGATCGCCAGACTTTCCAAGTTATAAACTGCCTGCATTTTGTATCTAGGCGGGCCGCGTCTGCCGCCATTCGCCAGCCAGGACGCGACCATCAGGACGTCGTTGAACAAGTATGCGTGAATTCTCTTTAACGGCGTACCCTCGATCGGATCCAACTCGAGCAAGGAACCTTCGTGTAAGCACACGCGTCCTGGAGTCTCGGCTAAGCTCTGTAAAAAAAAAAAGAGGAAAAAAAGAAGAAAATAAAGCATATAAATCTTTCGTTGATATTTTACAAAATATTTCGTTCGTCGAATGCCAACCAGAGCGCCTTCCACATTTTCAATCAGCTGAATGAGTTTCTGCTTCTGCTCCTCCTCCTTGGACACGGAGTCAGCCAAGTTCTCCTGCTGCGACTCGGGCAGATCCTCGAAAACAACCCCCGTCGTTCTGGTGGAGCCCAGCGTGCTCAGCAAGGCACGCTGCTCGCTCAGGAGCTGTGACAGCTGATACATCTCGCTCTCCAAGTGCGAGATCTCCTTGGCGGTTTCGATGAACTGCATGTAGTTCTGGTAGACATTCCGTTTCAATTGAGCGGACGTATTGTTCGCCAGTTCCTGAATCTTCGCACGCTGCTGCCTCAATTCGTCCGCACCGACGCATTGCGCGCTCAGCTCCTTCACGACTGTAAGAAGAATCAAACAGCATGACAGATACAATTCACGTTTATTGTCCTTCGCATATTTGTATATTTTTATATTTATCCTCAATTTCGTATACAATTAATTGGCAAACGAGCTATTTATGTGATTACGTCAGATTGAAGAGACAGTGCGCGATTGAGTGCGATATAAATTCTAAATATTTCACGAACAAGTGTCACATTACTGAAGACAAAGTACGATCAATGCCGTGACGATTCCTCTTTTTCAAACATCGAGTTTCGCATCCCTTAACGCGGGGTATGCATCCCCCCGATAACTCACATTTCTCCGGGTTAAAGTCCTCGGCAGCGAAAACCTTCGCCAGGTTATTATCGGCCATCGCGAGAGGATCGGTTGTCCGCGGGGGGGGAGTGTTTTTACTATCGTCAACAGCACCGGTTACGTGCCCCTGTCATGTTACGCTCCCGTCGAGTCGCTTCGCCGTCGCCTGTCACAAATAAATCAACATGATTTCGCGTCGGTTTACACCTCCGCCCCGATCTAACCTCGCTCGACGTATCCCGGATCCCGGGGGCCAGGGGCCAGTCCGGCCAGTGCGCCGCCGAGAGCGCCAGAGCGGTCAGCGGAATCGGGACGATCGGTAGTATCGGAGTTCTTCGTTATCCTCATCACACTTTTACCGATGATCGGACAGCAGTTATTCGCTAAGATCAATTACCGACAAATAGTATCTCCGTCGGCGAACCTATCGAGTCGTGTCGAGCGCTCGATTTCGAACAAAATGCGCTAGATAACGTTATCGCCGACTCCGCTTTACCCCGCGCATGTAATTCCGCATATTTATCCGTCAAATACAATCCCGACGCGTATAGATCGACGTTCAATTCGCTCGAGAAATAATTCAATTCGCATTTTCGTGGCCGCGTAAACGATGATATTCGCGAGACGAGTTTTCCGGATTGAATCGGGATCGATCTTCGGTAGCTTATAAGGACGTATCGCAAGTGTTCCTTTCAGCTGGGAGTGTGGCGGCTCCTGTAATCCGGCTACTCGGAGGCTGGTTGTGTTGGAGGGTCTGAGGTCGGGGGCACCTGCTGGTACGGGGTTCACGTTGACTGGGCGTCCGCGCTAAGCTCGCCATCAATATGGGCACCCCGGAGGAGTCCGGGGTGACCAGGTTAGCTAAGGAGAGGCGAACCGGGCCAGAGGGGAAACCCAGCAGCCAAAAGTCTCCGTGGCGGGCAGTAGTGGGATCGCGCCCGGGAGTGGGACCGCATCGGCAGCCTGGTTGATATGATCCGACACACCAACTTTTTGCACTTTTTTTTCAATTTTCCAACGATCCCCAAAGCCCTCCCGTACGCTTTTGCAAAAAATCTGATTTTTTCGAGGCACTTTTTGTTGTATTTTTTTTTATATATTTATAGCTACACGACGTTCTCTAATGTTTACCGAGAATTCGAAGACAAACTTCGAATTTGCATTGCTTTTCTTGAGTCAAGTACGAATATCGTTAGCCTTCGGGGATTATACTGATGTGTTATTTTAGCATGTTTTATTTAAATAAAAAATTAGAAATTAAAGAGATTAAAATTTTATATTCCAAGAAGGGTAACACTGATTCTTGTGTGCAGACTGAACTTATATATTTTAAAGAATGACTTTATACTCTAATTTGTATTAATTTTAATGCAAGTGCAATAGATGTCTATTCAGATATAATGATATAATTTTAAACGATTTATAATTCACGCACATTTCAGAATAGGATTCTGTTCATGATTTTATTTGCCTATATTTCCACGTTTTTTTAATATGTGCTAATTTTCAATCACTCCTCGTATTATACAGCACATAAAATTGTGAATCGAACGCTATCCTAAACTCGTGACACGAATAGATGTATAATTAATGTCTAAAAATGACCCTTGGGCAGTTATATTTATGCAAAGTCACTTCGATCACTATTTTACGCGGTAAATAGGGCAGGGAAAAGAAGCATAACATGTTGCATTTGTGGAAAAACTTTTTTAATCCTATTATAACCATTGTCTTGCAATGAAAATGATAATGCTGTCACATAAGGATTCACTCTTGCGGCAAGGAAATAATTTACAGTACATAATATAAACACTTGAATTGCATGTTAATCAATTTCTTCCTGATACAGTAAACTTTGCCATCGCAGTCGGTTTATTCGTGCTCTTATCTAATATAAAAAAAATCTACGACTTCTGCTTTTCTTTCTTCGCTTGCTCTGCCAATGCTTCTAATCGGTCGTGTTCCGCGATTAAGGCATCCACTTCATTCGCCGGCAGTATTTTCGTCTTTGTCTTACCATCTTCGCGCGTCAATATCGCCATTTCCACTGCAAGTAAAGGATACGGACTTACAACTCAACAACTCTGTTACAAATGATTACGAGCTATTACAGAATGATATCGAAAACTGTGCGTGATTATATTAGCTTAGAGAATCGACCGCACTGATTTACATATAAATGAAAATTTACCCTTTTCGGCAGAGAGCTTGTTCATGTCTAGAGTTTTGGAGAGCACTTTGATAGCGAGCGACATTGCGTCTTTCAGGGTGGTCTCGCCCTCTTTATATTCCTGCTTCAAGGACGATACCGCCGCTGCCGAATTATTGCCGATACACGTCGCCTTCCAACCGCCGTAGTTCCCGCTGGGATCCGACTGATACAACTGATAGCCGTAATGTTTGTCCCATCCCATGTACAAGATAGATACGCCAAAGGGTCTCTTCCCACCGTATTGGGTATACGCCTGTTTAACGTCGCATAGCCACGAGACGAGCTGCTCGCAGGGTATAGCTTCGCCGTACTGAAGAAGGTATCTCTGCGCGATGAGGCGCAGCTCGTTCGTCAGGACATTCGCGTCCGAAGTTATGCCAGCCACCGAACAAACTATGTCGTCGTTCAACTTGTAGATCTTTTCGGAGAAAAACACCTCGTCCAGTAACTTGTTGGTGTTGCGTTTCTCAGCCGCCAGTAGAATACCGTCGTTTGCCAGTATGCCCAGACAAGTGCCGGCATGGCTTATAGCCTCCATGGCGTACTCGACTTGGTAGAGTCTCCCTTCCGGTGAGAAAATTGTGGTACGTGTGTCATATCTACGTGCCTGTAAGGTATAACGAAATACAGTTGATTGGCCTGTCTAAATTTAATTTTTTTTATTCTATCACGGATATAAGGAAGCAAATGTGAGTGAAATAAAACCGCTATCGATCAGAAGACTTATCTAAATAAGTGCTTATAGAATTTAAAAGACAGCTAACGTATGCATTCCCTCATGTTTTGTCAGGAGTGTCAGAAACTTTAAACCAAATACATTGACTTCATTTTAATATCCCGTGTATTAAATATGCGTCATAACAGCGGTAATTGCAACTGCGATATGTTAATATTTTAAAATTATAACAAATGTTAGTCTTGATGACAATGCACTTCCTACATAACCTATGAGAAAATACTGAAGGTGCTCCAAGAATATAACTCCAAAGCTGAATAAATGTAATGTTGAGCCGCAGTGAGGTTCTTCAACTTACCATTTTGCAAGAAGTTTTACGTTAATAAAGTGTCTATCAGTTGTGTATCAAATGCCGCTCACGAGTCCAGCACTCTGACACTTCGACTTCGCGGAATGATTGGCAGGTTGACCGAAACATGAAATTCTCGAAAGTCGTCACGCAACTCGATAGGCATATCGATAATACTTGAAATCGATATAAAAATACGGCGGAAAATACGAAATGAACAGTAGAACGTAATCACTCATCTTCCTCGCGTTAATACGATTTCATCTTTTGTTCGTTTTTTTCACGAGTGGGCAACGATATGTGATGGGAGAATTAAATACTTTCTATATGCACACTATTTATTTATTATTTCTTTTTATTAAGCCTATAATAGTATTACTATTAGTATTACTAATAGTAGTATTACGATTAAGCTTAACATACGAATAGAATTTATGCTTATATAGATTAACAAATATTCAGATCATGAAACATACACATATACGCAAATGTATCTCTACGGTTATACAGATATATTCATAATGTTATAGCCCTGAACAAACACATAATTTTTTCTTTCGCAACTTAATCTTATAGACTTCTCTGGAATATATAAAGAAACTATTTTATATCTTTTTTATTCTACATATAGACTGAGATATTTGTATAGATCACTTTTCTGTTATATGTTAATCTTACTTTCTAAATAACTCATAAGATCAAGAGACACCGCAGTGTCTCGCGTCAAGTACACGCGGAACGAGACCGACCGTGACTCTTTTACGCGACGCGACGGGTTGCAAGTACCCGAGATGTTGAGATCTTACGTCTTTACGTGTATAAATGAAAAGATATTGTTAAAAATGATTAGCGCCATTCATAGCGTCGTCTTTTAATTAAGCTTTGCACTACAGAGGGGTGTTTAGTACCATGAGAATTATACGAGACACATTGACATCAGTGATTAAAGAGAAATAATTATTTTCTTGAGGCAATTGGCCTGTTCGTTTTCGCTGCACTTCTGAACTAGCGCAATAAGTTAGAATGAAACAAATATACTTTCTTTCATTCTAACTTATTGCACTAGTTCAGAAGTGCAGCGAAAACGAACAGGCCAAAATATCTCTTCGCTTAGTCCACTCTTAGTATAAGGTCTTTCAATTGCTGGAGTATTCGTGCATTCTCCTCGGCAGCAGCATTCTGTATCTCAGCTACATAAGTTAATTGATCATCAAATTTGCTCAAGATCTCATTCAACGCTGGTTCCTTTTCACCAAGGTCTTTTTTCATTTGTTCAAGCATTGTTGTCTTCTCCGTAGGCTGTACCTTTTTGGCACTTGACTCATTCTTCAATAAAGCCAGAAGTTTATCAGTAACTCGATCACCAGACACGCTCGAAGTGCTTGCAATACATTCGTCTCTTTCTTTCTTTTTTTTATCAATATTAAACGGTTCCAAAGTTGCAGCTGCCTCAGTTTTCTCAACTGTTTTCTTAACTGATGTATCTTGATTTTGATTAGAAATTGAAAAATTTCCATTTTCTCTATTGATTTGCTGGAGATAATCTTTTAAGGACATTTTCTGAAAATATAATTTACCAAGTAATTAAAAAGTTGAAAGAGAACGATACATTTATGATATTATTCATTTACAAGCAAGCTCAATCAAATGTTTATGAATGTGTTTTATACATATAAAAAGTAAATTATATTACCGTTTCCGTTTTAATTCCGATGACATTTTTACGCGGAGGCTGTTCCATTTCCAATTGCTCAATATCATCATCTTCAGGAGCTAATTCATCATATAACATTCTATGGAGTGAATTAGCATGAAATTCAGGAACAAACTTAGCTTGTATATTTGTGTTATGATCATCATCATGATCATCCATTTGCGTGCTCTTATCGAAGCTCTCATTTGGTGAGAATACGCAGGATGAAGAAGTATCACGAGGAGGACGTAATGGTACTTCGTAAACCTGAAATTACAGAAGGAATAAATATATTTATATAAATTATATTGATTATAGTGTACTCGTAGCGTTATTTATTTAAATACACATTAAAAAAACGTTTGCATGAAATATATTTCACCGTGTCTTTCGTTAAAGATGAGACTGCGCTCGCAGAAGAAAATCCTTTGAGATTTGCTATACGCATTCGTTCGCTTTCCCTAAACTTCCTTCTCTCTGATTTTGTCAATCCAGACACGCATCGAAGCACCGGCTTTTTCGATGAAACCTCCATCGGATCGTAAGCCGGGACTTCTGGTTCCTGTCGAACAAAACATATGGAATTATATAACGTAAATCGGTATTGATTTAAACTAGTTGAATCTTCACTGTCTTCTATACCTCTTCCCAATTTTCAGCTGAGTCGTATGCGTTCATAATTATTGGAGGCTCCTCTACCTTTGGTTTTTCACATCCGGGATCCACATTTATCAATTTTCCAAGACTGGAACACGTCGCAATATGCTCCTACAATATTAAAATATTGATTAAAACATGATATTAATTTAACAGAGATTTTTCAAAGTGACCCACGTATTTAAACCATACAATTTGAATGTATAAAACAGTGCAATACCAAAGGAAAAAGTTATTTCTTCCGGCACATAAGAATCACACCGAGCATTTCCCAAACGTGAATTCTGAGACACCTTGTTCATATGTATGTACACATGCCACGTGCATACAAATCTGTACTTTTCGTCTTACCTTAAGAAGATGACGATCTACTATGTGAGTCTTGTCCAACGGACACTCTACCTTGTCAGATACTTTACTAGTTTTCTTGCATTTTGATATATGAGACATATATTTATATTTTCGAATGCGATGCGCAGGATTGTAGGGACAGGACACTATGAGATCTGCCTCCATTTTTAGTATTCAATTCTAGAAATCAGAAAATCAGTTATTACAAAGTCATTCTTCTTTCCTCATCATTATCATATTATCGATATGAGAAATTCCTCGTTAAATATAAGAAATTCTAGAAAACATATGAAAAAAGAAATTACTTTCTAATGCGGTGCCTACCATTGACAATTGGAAGGTAGAATTTTTAAAGTTTTTCAAAACCTCTCAATTCTGTATTCGGATCAGTACTTTTTTAATATAAAATTATCTGTCGTTTCTCAATTTTTGTATAAAATACTTAACTTACTTAATACGAGTCAAAAGGTAAAATAATCCCCTGTCAAATAAAGGTTACAACAAACGTTCCCCAATCAAACAGACACATAAATATCCTTATTTTTGTTACATTGTTATTAACAAGGTCAAGCTTCTTGTTGTGGAAGAAAATCACGATTATAATATATGTAAGAAATAAAGCGAGTGCGATATATCTATATGTAATGAACATAAGTTTGCTCAACCCTCCGTCTGTTTTTTTTTGCATCTTTGGAGTATATACGTGGGTCTGTCACGTTTAACACTATTTTTGTTGCCTTAAAACATTTAGAAAAATCTGGATAAATTCACAAAACGTCTGTCTACATTGTAATTGTACGATTTTACCGTTATTTTTATAATAATCATCGTTTATTTAATATTTTCTGGCAGGTTTGTGCAAGTTTTACAATTATACCAGCAGATATAAATTTTGCATCGGACGCCATAGACCCACGTATGCAGACGGAGGGTCGAATAACAAACTGAACCTCAGATATTCAAGCAACGACCAATCTTGTCCTCTAATCAATAAATATTATCAAACATGTCGCGTAGCTCATACTAGTTCGTCGAACGGAAACTTTAATATATGTTTAGCCGAGCGAATCCCCAAAGATGCTTTAACACACACACACACAATTACACTTGTCTACCATACTTACTTGAAAATCTACGTGAAATGAAGGAAATTTCGTCGAGGTACGCTTATACCGTGAAGATCTACTTTATCTCTCTTCTTCCTTTCCTCTATAGCAAATTTTTGACCTACCGGTGTCAACAAAACGCCTCAATACACTGTAAATCAATATTCTTATTTTCTACTGGCCATCCATCTCCTTGACCGATATTAATGGCGATTGTTCACGATCATTCTCACCGATTGGTTTCCAATGAACAGTGGATCAGTCCACCAAATTAATCCTCCTGCCCCTGGCGAGTCGTTGATGGTCGTTGAGACGCAAGCACCTCTCACTGCCTCTTCACAGAGTCTTCAGCAGTCTTCAGCTTGCTTCAGCCTCTGATCTCGGATCCCGCGTTATCGCGCTCAATATGTTTACTCGAAGAGAACAAACGTGTGGCAGGGCAGACAAAGGGAAGTCTGATGTGAATGACGTAATAAAGAGATACCCTTGATATGTAAGGGTAGGGAGGGAGGGACTATTGCACTTTTTGCACTTGAAACCTTCGCTTTCTCTCTCTCTCCCTTCAATGTCCGAATATATTTTTTATCTCGTTTTAAAACTTTGGGGGATTTCAGGCTTCGGGCAAGTTCAGAGAAACAAAAGAGAAACGGATCGACTTTAATTTCCGAGTCGTTACAAATTGAGAAGAACGTTCGTGGAGTTGTCAATTTGTCTCTCTTCTGCTCTCTTTTTCTCAAACCACTGGCAACAGGTTATCTTTTATTGTTGCTTTTCAAGACAATTGAATCTAGGCATAAATCGAAAGGCGCATTTCTCGATATTTCCGTCAAAATTTCAAGGAGAATATATTTCGATAAAGGGATAGATTCAACTCAAATCTTGCGGATTTATAATCCGGAAGTGGCAAGAAGAAAATCATCGTGGTAATGGGTCGCGTTTAGCAGACACAACTGTTGCACAACTGTTGAGTTCGTCTTATTAACACTCCGCGTTGATTGGTTGGTTTCAATGGTTCTAAAAGTAAGAGCCAATCACGTTCGACTGCTACTCAGCGGCTTGGTCTGCTGAACGCGGCCATATGTAATTATCCGCGAATCGAATTTCCGGAGCTAGATTCAGAATGGCGCGAAATTTGAATAGGATTCGAAACTCGCGTCGAAGAATCCTGAACTATGGAAGCAAGCGATACAAGTGTCGTTTTGTCTTTGTTACTCATCATTGCCAAAAAAGTAAGATAGAACGATGTTTGCGTCGACCTGTGTCGCTTACTGGAAAGCTCCCAATGACTCGGTCATCGACGAGACTGCAATTTTTTTGACGATTGAAGAGCAAAATTCCAATTTTGATTCACCTTTTATCTAATTGTCTAGAAAAAAAAGGAGATACAAATTTTATGCGAATAAAATATAATTGTAAGATATATTATTGATACATCTCTTCTCTCTCGTTTCAGGCTTTAGATTCACTCGCTGAATATATATTATCCGAAGCAGTAATAAGGGACAACGCCAATTTCTTCATACACTTCAATCTTTATTTTCCATTTGACTATAATAACCCGAACTCTTTATACACTCTCATAGCCTAAGTACGTGTAAATATAATAACAGAAATTAACATATCGTAAAACTCATCGTATCCCTATTGTTTACAGATTACGCTACTGTAATTCGTGGAATGATTGCGCACTCATTAAATTCTCGCAATTGCAATTCCGTTGACAATCCCTCCAGGCAGGAATGGTGATTTCTGTTAAGTCTTATGTCGTGCGCCATTTTCCAATAAAATCGTTAAAAGGTACGAGTTCTCACACACGATGCGCAAAGCGATATGTTGCACGCAGAAGGTCGCAGGAATAATATTACGCATCGAAAATCGATATTAATCAAAAACGTCACTTTCAACGAACACGGTGTCACTTAATTATTTATCCCAGAACCTCAGAATTATAATGATGCATGCGTCGTGATTCGTCACGTGATATAAATCCCTTTCCAACGTGTGAATTACCTTTTGATATGAGATAACATTAGAAATCATGTCATAGACGAGAAATACTACAGAATAACTACAAATTTTATTTAATAAGATTTCATTAGGCTCGTATAAAGAACTTTTTGCATAGTGGAGATTTAAGAATTAGTGTTTAATGCGCACACACATGTTTGTAAAGAACACACATCGAGTTCAATCAATTTCCATATTAAATATGAAATGCAGTTTTTATTCTTCATAAAAAGTTACCAGAATAAATTAAGAAACTGTATGCAACACGCAAAACGTTTACGTTTAAGATTCGAGACGAAAGAGAAACTATTTAATATTTACATTTCAATTTTAGATTTTGCGTGAATAAATTTCCTAACGATATATATATGTACATAAATTTCAAAATTTACTTTAAGAGCAAACATGTGTCTCAGAAAGCTAATTCATTCGAGCGCTATGCACACATTTATAATTAATGCAAGGCAATAAATATATAATAAACAGATACATACACGTTTCGGTAAAATAATCCAGTACAAGTAATTCGCGATCTGTACTGTCAATATATTAAGATATGTCATATACACAAATTAGCTAACGAAGATTCCTCAATATTCGGAAACACACTCCTGCATGAGCTTATACAGATTTACATTAGTGGAAGTCAGAAAACCGATCTACTGCTACTCGTCATTCAATTCTTTAAAATTCGGTAGTTCTTAACGCACGGCAAATTTAGTCGATCTTCGGATGAACGATTAACATTTCTCATTTTGTTAAGTTCATACAGGAATTCATTCTCGCTTTACGACGCCACGTAATAATTATGCATAAATCGGAAATTCCGTAGACGATCAGTAATGCCCATGTACGATGCATTATTACAGCTCACTCTTTCTTCGCAAACGCTAGGGCATAAAACTATACGAGTGACTTAATGAATGAGGCATTTAAAAGAGTTCTTCAATTTGTCAATTTCCTTTAAAAGGAATACATGCTTAATCGTATCAATGTACGGATTTAATGTACAATATTGATATTTATACATAGTTCGAGGAACTTTTCTTACGCAATGTACAAGTGATGTATAAATTCATAAAATATTCCATGTACATCAATTCCAATATATATATATATGTATGTATATATATATATTTTTATATGTATGTTTTGTGGACATGTGATGCATATAACATTTTAAAATTTTAGGCACATCGAGCACACAAAAATGATATACGTACACAACAAGCCTTAGTTACAGGAGCACGGTAACTTTTTTGTACATATATATCTTCCAATATAATTAATAATATACAAACTAAACACAGCAGCAGTTTTATGATTTAGTTAAACCATAACGCAGCGGAACTTGTATATATTATTGTATATATTCACGTAATATCTAATAATATGTATTGTATATATATTATATATCATTGTGAGAATTAACACTTTATAAAATATTCATATTCTATTTCTTTAAATCTAAAAATATTTATAGATTTGATTACTGCAATGTAGTAACATTAATATACGTTTTGTTATATTTGATGTTTTGTACTACGAAGATATATTCGAAAACTGATTAGTTTCAAAACTGTGATAATGAGTTTTGCATAACAAATAATAACAGTATTCATCGAGAATTAATTGTCAAAGATATTCATGTAACTATCTTATACATAAAAAAAATCAAAATTATTTCACAACGATTCATTATATCAAATTTCATATTTTAATAATTATTGTATCTCTATAGGACGCTCTTTTATATACTTTCATTATATTATTCTATCGACGCTTTTTAAGTTCACTTGATATCATTTGAAATGCATGTTGTACACACATTTTATATATGAATCTTTTCGATACGAACCTTTGTAATCATTACATTCGCAGATTTATCAAAAATTAACAATCTGTCGTCGCTATTAATAATTTATATTATATATAATTTTCTGAATATTTTGTTCTGTATATTACTGTAACGGTATAAATTATTGTATCTGTAGTGATCATGCGTTTCATCAGTGCAATACCAACAACCAATGTGGTATCAAATTACTGTACTGATTATGCAAAAAATTATCAACTTTTATATCAGGCAGTATGACAACGTTGAACATTTTGGTTTTGAACCTGTATTACACGGTGTGTGTGCTTGTGGCGATGTATCTTGTTTCAATAGCAACAATAAACTTTAGTACATTTTGTACGTTTCCTGTAAAAAATTCTGATTTCTCAATCAAGAGTAGCGACTCGTTAAAATATTTCATCCCAATCTCTCAATACATATTTAAAAATTATATAGTTGACAATGCGTGTGCTCCGATAACTAAGGCAAAATTATGTACATGTGTATAAACATGTTCTGTAGATCAAGAATCTACAAATATATATATAGATTTACTTATTATATATATGTATATATATGTATAGATCTTTATATATATATTTTTTTATATAATATATATAACACGATACAACAAATACTGTTAGGTGTATCTTAAGGCACTCGTGCGAATAAAATCTAAAAACATTTGGAACAAATAAAGAAAAACAAAGAGTCTCTAACTTCAATAACAATTCATAAACGTACACACCTAACTACTGTATTTAGTTAAATTGGTCCAGAACTAGAATTGATGAAAACGCTTTCACTCTCTGTGTTAAACCTCGTAAGATAAATTAGGAAATATCGTTAAACGATCGCCGAATACAATCAATCGACCCTGTATTAATATAACATTTCATTGTAGCCTCTTAACAAGTAATATTATTAAAACTCCGTCTAAAGCCAGGAACTAGCGCTTTAAGGAATTGTTTCACCCTTGACACACTTTTTCACACTTCAATTAAAATTGTACAACGCAAACCTTCTCGACTGCATCGTTTACTGTCGCGATCGACATTCTTATAGTAAATACACTTTAAATAGTTTAAAAATCAAGTGCGAAACAGGTGAAAAGGGAGGATGAAACTATCACTGTAATAAAACCTGTGTTAACAGAGACTTTAGGGTTGATACATATTGCGGAGCAACACTATCCAGTGCTTGAACACCGCGCACATTATGAGATATAACGTGTATGTTTTTAATTTAGCTCGTATTGCACGGAGAAATTATGTCGTATAATGAGATTGGCCTTAAATCTTGCTCACTTTAAAAATTTGTCTAATATTAATATCACGAGTTTTGCTTCAATAGATCTTCTGTGTGTTATGGCAATATAGGTATTCATCAATATCTAATAACGCTTGGATGCAGATCCTCTCCACAATCTTTTCTAACGCTTACCACAGCTTTTGCATTATTAACTATAATATGAGCTATGAGACATTGTTTGTTCTACGTAAACTGTTACGTAAAATGTTTTAATAAATTTAGTAATGACAATACTGTCATAATAAAGGTTTTTCTTTTACGAAGAAAGTATATACACACGCGCGCATGTATACTTTTTGTCTTCGTATTTTACGATACACGATTTAATATCATTACTTTTAAAATAACATCGATAAAATATATAAATAAAATAACATTCAAATAAATTATTACAAAGAAAATTTCATCAACAATGATAACAACTTGGAAACAAACAACAAAGTAAAATGTTAGGCCATTTCGAGTGCGTTTAACACCAACGCACAGTGAGAATATATCGACAAATCGACATGTAGAAATTGCAAACAGTGTTATTAAGTAAATTTTTCATTATGCAAGATAAATTATTTTAATATCCCATAGCTCAGATTCTTTCATATATATCTATATGTATAATATAGGAATGTTTCATTTTTCTCCTTGCACATTATCTATCGCTGTTAGCAGAGACGTAATTGTACCATAAAACGTATTTTTTTTAACATAATTTTAACCGTATACATCTCTTACTAACATAATGTTGCCAGTGTACATATTTTTGCAAACTGGAATGACGAATTATATCCATATGTACGCGTGTATATATATATGTATATATATATATCTACGTGTTTTATATATAAGTCTCTCCATAATATAAATAAAAATTCGCAGTGTGAGCACATTCAGCGGTTGAATATCACTCGTAAAACTTTGTACAAATAAAAGACCGAAGTCTCTTTTGAAAATTGTAAACAATCGAACGTGTATTATATAGTTTTGTTAAAATCTTTGGCTAAAACATCTAATTGCGAGCTAGAAGTGTACCTTGGGTAACTCTTTGTTAATGATGACCCACATCGGTTGACTTAGCTAAAATCAGCAAATCTTTCAAAGCGTTCGTTATTTAGAAGTTAAAATTTCGATGCTGACGCCATTAACAGTGGCAGCTGGGTCGTTTGCGATCCAGCCGCGATATAAAATATTCGTATCATCTTTCATTATAACGTTTGTAGAAGATTGCACTATAAGCCGTTATAATCACAGTAACTATATATATATGCTTGTATAATCCAAATAACTTACTCGCGATTATTTATCAACGTCGTTTTCTTTCCTAGGACTTTGCTGTGTGCGGTCGAGGCACTTTGTGACATCCTACGAAAGAAAATAATGTAAAACATTTACTATATTATATGTATTGATATCAGTAATAAATATTAATTTATTCGATACATAAAGGCTAATTATTGTACCGTTATGCACTGAAAATAACCAATAATACTAATACTGAATAATAACAAAAATACATGATGTAATATACATATATGAACTGCTTATAGGCAGTTTAATAAAAAGGATGCAACGTACCTGTACCGCAATTTGTAATGGCGTTAATTCACCTACGGAACAATCACTTCGTACAACATTCGCCGGTACTAGTCTGGGGCAAGGGTTGCCTGTAAAGAGCGTGAACAGTGCGTGAATGCTTCTACGTTGTGTCAGTTCTATGTGACGGTGTTGGTATCCAGCCAAGTGCCGTCGATGCCGCGATGTTGTAGGGAACCACCTTTCGCACAGGTTGCAATATCGTCTGTGTTTTATCGTCGCCTGCAAAAGAAAACGGGATAAGAAAAGCTCGAGTCCATGAAAAGAAAAGAGAGTACCTCAAAGAAGATATTTTCTTATATAATAACTTAAATAAGATCTCTCACCTTTTCATGGTAAACTAATTGAGTTATGAGCTCGACAATGGACATCTCGCTCTTCTTGTGAACGTCCTTTGTATTGCTCTCAACTTTAATGCTCGACGTTATGACTTTGTCGTCCAACAGCTTGGACTCCGCTGTATCGAGATCTTCGCTATCCTGAATCGTAATGACCGGCGGCGATCTGGAAGTCTCTCTGTCTGAATTCGTATCGAAATTTACGTTACCCTCGGGCTCTAATATCGGCATGTTGTCTTCCTTGGGTATGATAATTTCTTTTGCGTTGCTCGTGTTATTCCCCTGATCGGTGGATCTCGATATCTTGGAATTTTTGGACGACGTCCGATTCTTTTCTTTCCGCTGTGCATCTTGATGGGGATCATCGTCGTTTCGACCTGTCGGATTCTTTCTTTTCGCATTTAAGTGTACGGTACAAGCTACTAGGCTCTCGTCCGACACAGCCTGTTTAAATGTCTTCAAGGATATTGTATTGCATTCGGGCGTGTCCGTTGTTACCGTCTTCTTGGAATCTGCTTCGTTTTTCTCAGGTGATTTTGGTTTCTTCTTCAGGAAAGAACTTTTGCTTTGCTTGGAATGTTTTCTATCAGACTTCTCGGCATTAGGTATATTCTCAGTCTTGTTGTGTTTATTTTCCGTGGGTGTACAGCCCTTATGAGGCCCAATGTCGTTATGACGGTCTTGAGAAGCGTCATTCGAAGGCACGTCCGGGAAGTTGTTGATATCGAAACTCGAGCCCTGCTTTTTCTCCGCGGCTGTCTTTGGTCTCGCGTTACCGTTCGCGCTGTTCGGCACGTCGTATCTGGATTTCGAAAGGCACTTCTTCAGGGTCTCCTTGGCCGCCAAAACTTCTTTTATCAAGGAGTCATTGCAGCAGAAATTCTCCCTCGTCGCAGCGAAACTCGTTGCCTTGCAACACGGAGTTTTCGAAGAGACCTCTCCGACAGAGCCAGCCGCGCTGTTCTCCAATGCAGATCTGTCATCGCCGCTAATATCGATCTCCACGACACGTTTATCTTTCCCAAGCGAATTCTTGCCGCCAGGGGAAGCCTCGGATTTGTTATAACGTTCCAACTTCGCAGTTTGATCGCTCGCCTCTTCAGATGCATGACGCGAACTGTAACAGATGACAGGATCAAGTTTCGGCATAGATACATCCAAAAGATCTGTATTGCTGTTGTCCGTGATCTCTAACTCCAGTTCGAACTGAGTTGGAATTGCGTCCGCCGAATACAATTGCTCGGTGTCGCCATTCTCGATCATATGCCTTTCCAGCTCGCTATGATTATCGTCTGGCGAAGCAGGTAATATCTCTATGGTCGACTGGCTATCGTCCGAAGACTCGACTTTAATGACAGTGCTGTTATCCACCTCGAAATTATCCAACATACTCGCGGAGTCGTCCTTAAGCAGATCGATGTCCTGCAGAGGAGTGCAATCGTTGTCCATATCGCTGGAGCTCAAACGTTCCTTCTTTATCATAATTTCGCTGGCGTTCTTGCTGAAGAAAGAATCATCATCTCGCTCCTTCCTCTGCTCCTTGCCCTCTACTCCAATTTGTAAATTATGTTCTTCGGACGATGTTTCGCTCGGACCGGTTAATTTTGCGAAACAGGTTTCTATCTTCGATGTTGCCTTCAACTCTTTTAATGCGAGCTTAAAGTTCGAGCTGCTTGGGTGTTTGAGAGTATTCTTCTGGTCAAGCTTATCTAAAATCGTATCTTCGTTCGCATCCACCGCCTGTTCGCAATTGATATCAAAACTATCAGTCTTGTACTTATCGCATTGAGAGGTAGTTTTCTGTGAGTTAGCTTTTTCAGATGACTGATTGATATCTTTATCGGGCGAAGTAACGTCCGTCTTCGATCGTGAATTATTGTCACGAGATCTTGATCTACGTTTATTGTCCTTATCGTTGGTTGACTTGTAACCCTTGAACGACGCACTCTTCTTCGGCGTGGTGCAGGTCTTGGTATCCCTAGAATCCGTATCTGGGGATGGAGCAAAATTTACATCAATCCTCGACATGTCACTGAATCTTCTACAGTCGTAATCTGACATTCTCCTCTGCTTATACTTAGCCGGAAGTAGGTCGGACGTTGAATTCGACCTGGGCAAATTATAGTCACCTTGCTTTCCTTGACGATGGCTATCCTTGCGACTTGCGGAGATTTTGTCGATAGCTCGTAACGTAACGGAGGTCAAAGTTAACTTCAAATCCTTCACCATGCTGTCCAAGATACGGTACCTTTCCAACTTGACCTCCGGTTGCCATTTCGCACTCTTGGCGATGACGTTCTTGCAGCCCTTGCTCAGCTCGCATTTGAATTCCGCGCTGGCCGACGTTCTCTTGATAATTACCTTGGGAATCTTCTCGGAGATGCGCAAGGAATTCTTCTTCGTTTCGCATTCCATCGCATTCGTTCGCATTGAATCGGAGGAATTACTGCGTCTCGTAGAATGTTCTGTCTCATCGCGTCCCGATCTTCTGTACTTCTTGACCGGCACTTCCGAATGGCTCGAGCTCTGTCTCTTCCGTGTCACTTCTGGAGATGACGACCTGTTCCTTTCCTGTTTCCTCAATTTCAGTATAGGTATCTTTTCCTCGTACTTTCCCGAATCTCTCGGCTCCTGAAAAGTCATACTGTTGTAAACCGAATTATCTGCGAGATCGGATCTCGAGGTACTCTTTATTTTTACCTTTGATATGGTGATTTTCTTAACGTTCTTGCGTTTAACGCAAACCTCGTCGGCATCGTCGGCTCTCACTATTTTATTAGAGTGCTTCTCATCCAATTTAATCTTCATCTTGGGAATCTTATTCCTATTGGACTCCTGCAAAAAACTTTCGGAATTGCTCTCGCATAAATCCTCGTTCGTGAGTGAAGCCCGATCCAAGATATTTGCTTGAGCAGGAGTTCCTTCGCAAACCGCTGCAATAGACGGAGTCCCTGGACGAGATCTCGCGTTTCTGATGATCATCTTTGGTATCTTCGGTTGGCAGACCGATTTGTTAGCTATGTCATCCTGTGTAACGGAAGAGGAACCCACCTGCGTAACAAACTTCGAGCTAGTCTCGCTTTTCTTGATGACGAGTTTAGGGACCATCTTTGTGTTAGCGTTGCAATCTACCGCGCGCAAGTATGCTATCTTCTCACAGCTGCTGGAAGAAATTTCATTCTGCTCCTTGTTTTCGTCGTTATTCGGCGTTGCTTCAGATTCCTCGATCGCTGCAGCCGACTCGACCATTGGCACGGTCTCGTCGATCGCCTTGCTTTCAATTTCAGTTATTACCTCCGCGACTCGAGGCTCCTTGGTAGCTGACATCCTCGACAGGGACAAATGATCTAAAATTGAATTATCCTGGAGCGAATTAACCGCGCCTGTAAAATCGATCGACTCGTCGATGCTACACAAACGATTGACGGCGTCTTCCTGGATCTGGCTCGTCTCCCACACCATCGGCACCATGCTGTCTTCCTCCGTGAAATCGTGCTCGGCCATTTGCGTCAGCGTGCATCTGTCCTCCGCATAAATTCCGCAATCGGAAGAATCCATGCATAGTAACTTGGAATTGATTATGCTGTCGCAATTGGGATTCTCACTCGCCTCAGGTTGTTCACACTGCTGCTTGTCGCCTTTAATAATGCTCTTGATAACGGTGAACTCCGATATATTTTGCTCGCGCCTCTCGCATGCGAATAAATCGCATACGTTCTCTTCCGCTCGTAGATTCAAAGCAGTGGCTGGTGTAGATATTGCCGTAGAGCAACAAGTGTCGACTTCATCGTTTCCTTGATCCTTCAATGAAACTTCAGCTTTTTGTCCGTCGTTCTCCGGCTTTTCCAATTGCTGCTCGTTGCCTTCTTCGTCGAGGGTTCGTTCTACGAATGCGACATCAGATGGATTTTGCGAGGCAATCGGTTCGTCTTTTTTAGATACCGCAGAATCTCCTTTGTCACGAGTGTCTTGTTCATCTATCTGATCGAAATTAATCTCGGTCAAAACATTCGATTCCGTTGCAGGCGCAGTTTCTTCTTTATCTTCGCGAATGATCGAGGGTGATAAAACTTGTTGAGATACAGTTTCCCGATTCACGGCAGAGTCTGAATCATCTCTCGCCGAATCATCGATTTCATCATCTCGTTCATTCGAAGTAAGCGCGGATTCTTTCACAGTTTCTGTGTCTTTTGGTTCATCAAGCGAGTCCTTAGATTCAACGTTTAATTTAGACGAATTTACGACTTTGGTAGAATTTTCATCCGAGCTTTCTTTCGTATTTGCAACTTCAACATCGAATTTATCTTCTTTTGGAGAGACGCAACGAGGATGCAAATCTTCTACTATATGTTCCGTTAAGGCTTCCTTGTCTTCAACATAATTCGTAGAACAACGGTCATCTTCTGGATCGTGAATTTTTTCATCTGTTATTTTAAAAGAATACGATTGCGCTTTTTCAGCGAGTTCAATCGGGTCAGATTCGTCTTTATCAAACTGAGATTCTTGCTTTTCTGTATGCTCATCGTTACTCTGCGTACTCGACGATAAATTAAGCGTGCTTGCTGGTTTATCGCTAACTGGTTTATCTGCTGACGCATCGTTTTGATTATTACATCCACTTTCTTGCTCATTACATAAAACCGCGTCCGATTGTTCACACTGCAAATCATCATCCCGAATTGAACGTAGATCCTCAATGTAATTGCACGTTGTGTGATGTAATGTTGGCTCATTCACGTCACAATCCACCTTACGATTGCCGTTGTCGGAAGAATCTTGCTCTGCGGGCAGAAACGGGAAGGGATCCAGCCGTTTCTGCGCGACAAATATCTCGCTGAAATTTAAGTCTTTAATATTATCGCTGTTCCTCCTGTCGATGTGGGAAGAATACGACTTAATTGACTCCATCGTCTCTTCCCAACATGCGGCTCTTGGTTCCAGAAATAAATTCGATTCAAATACAGAGCTTTCGCCATACCCTTTCTCGTACTCGAGATTGTCCGCAAATACTTTCGTCTTACAAGATTTAACACTGGACGCAGGTTGGCTGTCTAGATTGTACTGCTTCTCGAGGAAATCCAAATCCACGATATTCTTCTTGTTAGTTTCCTTGCTCTCCTGACCGCTCTTGTTCGCGTACAACTTGTCCGCGTCATCGTTGAAGAATTCTAAATGCGACGTACTTCGAGCTTTCGCGCAATTAACGTTTTTGTGAGCATTCTTACTTGACATATAATCAACGTGTTTTGTCGCAGGCTTGGCGTCGACAGGATCGACCTCCCTCTTCCTACCGGCGACAGTGACGTCGCGATTTCTTTTGAATATCTTCCGTAACTTGGAACAATTGTAATAATCGTACGACGGAGATCTCGCAAAATACTGCTCGCGGGAGTTACCGTAACCGTCCTTTACGCGAGCCTCCATAATCAACTCGCGATACGTGAATCGAGGATTAGGACTGTAAGTTATCTTTCCGTCTTTGGTGGTGTACACAGGAACTGTATTTAGGTTCTCCAACTCGTCCGTGCTGGAGAAGGTCGGATTCACGTAACCGCTGGTGCTCTCGTACAGGTCGAGGTTGCCGAATCTACCGTCATCCCTCTTTGGTCTTTTCCATCTGTCCGCACGCCTGTCGCCGGCCTCTGTACTTTCGTTCGGAGCAACGTCAAAGTGATTGTAATCAAAATGCACAGGATTATCGTAATTAGTACCTTCCAAGCTGGGCTCGACCGTACCTGAAGAAGTCGACGGAACCGCGTTTAATTTAGACGTAGCATCATCTTGAAAATTTCTTCCACTTCTGCATGAAGAAGCGACGGTCGTTTCTTGGTGCTCTTTCTTCTGTACGTTGACATTCCTCGATCCTAAGTATGGTGAATTATCCGAAGAGGCTTTCGATTCTTCATTGCAAAAGTTGCTAACAGCGACCTTCCTTTCTGCCTCTTGACTCTTCCTTCTGACCGTTGCGTGCTCCGATCTTGAAGTTTTCAAGGCGCTCGATGCTGGTTCAGATTCGGTATTAACATTATTCGAAAGATCGGTATTATCTCGTAAGATCATATCGCAACCAGGTGGTTCTGTACAGGTATTTGAAAACGTACCGTTATCTTTGTATGCGTCATCGATCAATTCTTGTTCCGACATCGAGCTTCGCCTCTTCTTCGAAACAACCGTCTCGCTGTTCGTGTCCTCCTTGAGCTTCATTTCCGTATTGTTGTGATTCTCGTGAGCTTCATTAAATGCAGATGCTTCCGTTACAGTGGACGGCGATCGATTGCACTTCTCGTAATCCCGGCGATCCGCTTTATCGCAGACCATCTTCTTGTCGCACTGAATCTCCGTTATACTCGTCGAGTTCGATCGGGCTCCATTCGAGATCGAGTTAGTCAAATGACCGATCGTTTCAGCGACGGCATTCTTGATATTCTCGTGCAGCAATTTCTCCGTCGTGTTCCGTTCCGTGCACGACACGTTTATCTCAATCTTGATCGCGTCAAGAGAACCGCCGCTCTTCGCCTCTTCTCTTAAATGCTGCAATCTTTTCTGGTGATCGTCATCCTTGAGCTTCAAATTCACGTTCGTAACTTGAATGGCAAAGTCGGGGTTCATATTCTTGGTTACAAACGTCTTCAACATGTTCGCGCGCTTTTCTTCCTGTTCCTCAGACGATTTGGATCTCGCCACGTCCTTCTGACATAGTTGATTATCGCACGGTGACTGCGACGCGGATCGCTCGTCAGGATTCGACGAACGATGACATTTCTTGCTCGCTGCATAATCCGAGGACTCCTGCGTATCCTTACTCTTATCATGGACCTCTCCAACGCCAAGTGACTTATACTTTATTCTTCTATATTCCTTTAGAAGCCGCATCCTTTCTCCGCTATCAGCGATGCTAATGTTCTCGATTACTCTCGGTTTATTATGCGATTTATTGGATCCTTTTTCGACAGTACAGGATTTATCCTTATGCGTAGCCGCCTCTTGAGTATGTTTATTGTGATGTACGATGGTTTCGCCGCATCTTTCCTTCGCCGTCGTATTCTCCGATAAGCATATCTTTTTATGAGAAATTGCCTGGTCGTTCGAGATCGACTTCTTGCGATTCGCGTGCCAAGAACTCCTCGAGTCCTTCGCATCGATTCTCGTTGATCTACTAGCGCTCTTCTCCGAGGGAGAATCCTCTTTCGCGAATGATGCCTCGGGTCTTCTCGACTTATCTCTATGTGAATGTTTCGCGCTGTGTGATGTAGATAAATTACTTTTAATAATCTGTGTCGTACAGCTATCTTCCGCCCTGGAGCTCCTCGGAACGGTGTCGTTCGTCGGCGATAAACTTCGCCTACTCATTGTCGTCGCTGTCGCCGTTTGACGGGTCATTTCAGTCGATATGCGTCTCCTGCTGGAATAATTAACGTCATCCTGACCGCCATCAAAATTAACAGGGTCGGAATTGCTTGTGACATTTTGCGACGCGTTATTCGCTTTCGTCGAGTCATTGTACCATGGCGCGACTTCCGTATTCGTTTCTGCCTGTGATTTTTTCGTCAGAGCATCCGAGTTTGCCGCTTGAGATTCATTAGTGCTACGCTCGCTCGTTAAATTTTTATAAGCCTGCACCGATTTATTCGACGCTCCCGTTGACACGATCTTTAATTCATACTCGCCGGAGGTCAGAGTCATGCGCATGCTAGTGGCCTCCACAGTTTCCGTTTCGTTGCCGAGCGCGAATACCTTCTCGCTGCTGTTTGCCGAAGCGGAAGTTCCGTTCTGAGTCGTGCGATTTTTTTCCTTACCGCTTTTCATAGACGTTACAGGTTCATCCTTATCAGTATTCGTGGAAAATTCAAATGTGTTAAGAATAGCATCGTGAGCGAGCATATTGTTATCGTCGCCCTTGTTTTTGAAGCGATTCTCCGTTTGATATTCACCTGCTAATGAATCGGCTGATTTATTCTTGGCGGTCCCCTCGCCGTCTAGGTGATCGTAGGGCTCTCCCTTCGTCGGCGATTGTGTAAAACTGATCATGGGACTGTTCGGTATAATCTCGATCGGATTTGTTGATATCGTGAGATCCTCGACGCGCTCCGACGACTCCTCGTTGTCGGAATGGATCGGCGTGTTCAGCGTGGTGGAGATCGGGGTGCATTCAGACGTAGCGAGGTCCGGCAGGCTTATATCGTCCGGATTATGAGATTCCTCGCTCGCGAAACTGTTCTGCTTCTTCAAATTCGTATCTCGGGCGGAGTCCTTCGCGGATGTAGGCAGGACAGCGAGCGCCTGGTCACTTACCCGCGACGTTTGCGACGTACTCACCACCGTTTTAAGCGGCGAGGGACCTTCGACGACGTATGTCTCCTTGCTCAGGTTCCCGAGATCGGCGTTGTACTCGGTCGTGGTCGGCTCGGTCGTGCTGCTGGTGTCGATCTTCTTGATTTTGTCTGCCTCAAGAGTTATCGCGGCCACCTCGACTTCCGTTCCCTCTTGGAAGAACGACACCGCGTCTTGCCTCTCCAGAGTATCGGTGACCTGACCGTTGGTGACCTGCAGAATACTACCTATTTCTAAATTGTCGACTATGTGTATCGTTGGTACCTCGTCAGGCCCGTTGCTTATGCACTGTATGATATGGCTTCCCGGCTGTACAATAGCTTTCTTTGCGATGTCGTTGCACGTCAGGTCCTTCGCGATCTCGACGTTCTCCGCGGACGAGTAGGATATCGTCAGGCAGTCCTGCGCCGGCACCACGCCGCTATCGCTCTTCTCCTGATTCTCAAACGTTATCACGTTCGGGGTGATCTCCTCCGGTTTCGAGACCTTCAAGCCCTCCAACGTCTTCGTCGAGAAATCGACATTCTCGTAACCCACAATTACCACCGGTGTCGACTCGTTTAGAATGGCGCTCGACAAACTGGTACCCGCGCCGTCCTCGTCCTCCGATTCATCCCAGTTGGCGAGAAACTGCCGTACGTCGAGCTCCGGCTTGTCGGCGAACTCTTTAGACATTTTCTGCTGTACAACCGTGTTGCTCGCGTTCGCAGCCAGATTGTCGAAACGCTCGCTTCCTTTCTGGACTTCAAACTGATTCTGATCGAGACTCTTTTGCGCGGGATATCGGTCTTGCTTCTGCATACTTTCAGCGCACAAAACGGTCGCGTGACCGTCATGTTGTTGCGATACCATTTGTTCCGGCTTCTGGACGTTGCGATTCGCCATTTCGGGGACGCTATTACCGTCCTGCTTGCCCAGCTTGTCCACCGGACTGCCCATTGGCGCCTGAGAATTCACAGCTTGTTGCACTCTAGGATAAGTTTCGGGCGCGTAGTTGGCATTGATTAAAACGCCATTCTGATCGAATTGAAAATTTACCTGCGGGATAGCAGAGGTATTGACGGTCGACGCGGCGACGCACGGAGTCTGCTGCATCTGTCCCTGATATGTGATAGCCTGCTGTTGTAATTTCAATAGATCTTTATATCTATGAACACATTCCTTATACTTGGGATGCGACTGGTACCCGGGTATGGTCCTCGCCAGCTCCCTGAGATTATTCTCCGCCGCGAATCTCTGCATCGCTAGTTGCTGGTGAAATACCTGATACCGCGAATGGGAGGGAGTATGCATAGTCGTGGCATTCGTTTGCATTCTGTTCGCCATAGACCCGTTGTCGGCGGCCTCCTGACAGTCATGCGTACCGTCTGTCTTCAAATTCCTCGGGTACTGTGAATTGAAGTAAGTATTCTGCGTGGATGGCATCATACTCGGGTTCGGAACATTCGTGGACGGCATGCTGGTCGGCATCATGGCGCCGCCGGTCTGATACGGCACCTGCTTGTTATATTTCTGCTGTGGCATCGTAAATCCCTGCTCCGGATGCTTAACCATCCCCTGATTCGCTACGTTCATGCCGCTCATCTTGGAATACTCTTTTACGTTGTAAGGATACTTCTGGTACTCTCCCGTGTAATTGTAGTTTTGCATGGGGTAGTTCTGTACCATGCCCGAGGATGACGGATAGCTGCGGGAGACCATGCGGTCCTTGCGATACTTGAAATCAGGGAAGTTCCTCCGGTGAGGATCTGCGTTAGGTCCGTTAGGCGGCGGCGCCATAGGCGACATAATCTCCTTGCCATCAAAATTGTCCTTCCTGAAATTGTACTCGTTTCCGAATCGTCGAGCGTCCGCTTGATATCCGGCGGACGAGCGAATGTTCTCCCTGTAAGACGCGTTGTTCTGATAAGAGCAGTACTTCTCCCACTGCTGATAGCTCATGTTGGGATCCGGATTGCAGCACAATCCCTTACAGGGGACGAAGGACGGCGGAGGGCCCGTCCTGTTAGCGGCGTGCGAATTCACGTTGGTGTTTCGTGACCCTATCGACGCGTGCGGCGCATTCATATTCATCACGTTTGGTCCATTTAGATGCGAGATAGGCCCGTTTAAAGGCACCTGATTATTTCTATAGCCTAGCTCCTCGTTTATACCGCCTATCGCGGCATTCCTCGGGTCCATAGGACCATTCAGATTGTCCGCCATGGGATTTCTTGTATTCGAAGGCCCATAGTGGCCAATGCAATTCTGCATTTGCACCATCGACGCCAGGGGGTTGTTGTCGGCGGCATTGTGGCCGTGCGAGATGTTGCTCGACAGATGCGGCTGAAAGTGCCTCGGATTGAAGTTGGGATCGTTCTGGTGTTTCTCAAGTCCCTCCGAGCTGAGATTCAGACCGTTCAACTGCGTCGGGCAGGTCGGATTGGTAATACTGGAGATAAACGATAGGTGTCCCGAATTGACATTTTGAGCGGTCGATGTTACGTCGTTTATTCCTGACTGTGGAGGATTATATTGATGCCAATCTGGCATACTTCCACTGTAGTTCATTGTACATTGTTTTGCTATTATTTTGCTGTGATTACATCCTGTCCTCCTTGTTCACAGAGATCTCTCCAAATATTAAAAGCAGGGGGCTACCTGAAAAGAGGAGACTACGTGTTACTCGCTATACGATTACACAGAAGTTATACATATACTATTAATTGTTTTGGCATTATAAATATGAATATCTTCGGTCGTGCAAGCAGAATCGAGGAAAATTATTTCTAAAAGTAATCGTGTACTTTTTTAATATTGTTAGATTCTTGCGCTATGTAAGAATAATTATCTTTACTCGACGAATAAACAAAATAATTTGAATTCAGGATGCAAAGGTCAGATTTTGATGAATTCTGAAGTACAAGGGACACGTTATCTCTTCACAGTCATTAATCAAGTATCTCGTTCTCGAATTTGATTCATTCTACGGACCTGATATGTATCGACGAATTGTTATTAAGTATTTCAGAGAAAATCAGAAAACCTGAAAAGTGAGTTTGCGATTATAAATACGTTGCTTCGGTCACTCAAGAGGAGCAAAGTGCTACATTCTTTGACTATTGCTTCTATAGTCAAGAGGTCACATCCGTCCCGATGGAGGATTGCGAAGGGTTATAAACGCATACCGCAGGTATGACCTAGATACCTCTTTGACATCTTTGGCACATCAAACCACGCACACGCACGCACGTATATATACATACGCACACAGCGCATACAGACGCACACATACACACACACACATGCGCCTCGCGGAGCATGGACGAACGTGCGCCGCGTCGTCAGAATGCAAATGATCTCTAATGATATTCCGGGACGGGGGCAGAGTTCCGCCACGCGAAATCGAGGCGAAAACAGCCTCGTGGCTGTCAAAGCCGCGGACCGAGAGAACCGTGCCCCGCGCGCTCCGACCTCGACGCTGGAGCGCGCACTAACAGGGTGACACCATATTTACCGAGGTTGTAGCCATTGTTAGCAAACCCACCCCGACCCACCCCAGCCCGCGGCGCGGTCTGTGTTTACGTTCGGCCGTCGTCGCGGACGCAGGAATCCGCGCCGCGCGAGACCCGCGGATTCCGCACCCGCCGAGGTGCTGGAGGAAACGCGCACCTTGTCGCACGCGGGGCCTTGAAGGTACTACGACTGACAAACGCAGGCACGCACACACGCACACACACATACACCTGCGACAGTACGACGGACAGTCGCGACAAATTGTCGCGTTACCGCTCGCGACGGGCACGCGAGTCCGCGACGATGACGATGGCAACGACAACGACGACGGTCTGATCGTCGAGATCGGGACCACGAGTGGCACGGCTCGCGGGGGCGAAACTCACGGCTCCGAGACTTACCTGCACGATAACATCGCTCACAACACGCACGCCATTTTGGACACGACTGCTCGCGAAAAAAAAAGAAGGAAAAACATGCGCGCGCCCTCTGCGGCGGGAGGCGCGCACTTCGCCCCCGTTTATGCGTGTGCCATGCTGTCCGTGTGTGTGTGTGTGTGTGTTCACGCGCGCGCTCACGTGCGCGCACACCTGTTTCGCACCTGAGCGCACGTATGTATGTACGACGTGCATGCGTGCGACGGACAATGGTAAAAATATGACGCTAATCGCCTTACGCCTTGCTTAATATATTCGCGAATGCCGTTAACTCGGTCGCGACCAAGTGGTTCGCTGCCGCAGGCGTAAACACTTCTCGTTATGAGGAACGCGGTTTCCACTGAAACTTGATTTTGACGCGTGTACTAATGAGTCGAACGTGTCTCCTTGTACCGTGAGATCATCTCGGTTTTTTTTTTTTTTCCATTATTATTATTTGATGAAACTTGAACTTTTTGCCTTACATTTCTCAGGCGCCGTGTATGTACATACATGATGCATGGCACGAGTTTTGCATAACTCGTTGCAGCTTATAAAACGTGCATATAAAATATTCGACCATTCTCTACTATGCTAACAGAAACATCTTATTCTGCACATTCGTTTATTACAGGGATATTACACAGACGGCTGTATACGTAATAATTTACAATTTATATTAAAAGTTTATGTACAACTTCAATGCGCATTATTGCTTTTAAGCCTAGACAAAGATGCTCGTAGCCTAATATAATGTTGAGTATATGAGCGGATTTAGGAGACATTATCTGCACAAAAATAAAGAATCTATTACCTATCCAAAGAGTATACATGTCTAAATTACTATTTATAATTATTAAATTATAATTTTTTCAATACATTATGAAATGAACATAATGCGTCATTGAGTTCGATTGATAAACTCTGAAAGAGATAATTTGTTCGCATAAAAAAAGTGCTTTCAAAGTTATCGTAGGTAAGTAAATTATAAAAGATACCGCACAACGAAAAATATAGAACTAAGAAATCCTAATCGCTAATATCGGTTTCTCATATTTTTCCATTGTGCGAGGACCTTAATACGCGAGTTAAAATCTATGCACTGCAAAATATGTATTTGCTATTCTCAAATGTAAAAAGTAGGTTCTGTAAGAAAAGCATTAAACTAATTGCTATAAACTACGGCACTCGATATTGTCTCTCATCTTTCTCTGACATCCCTCAAGGATTTAAGTTCAATTTGACAGCTTCTTGTCGTATCACAGAGATGAGTTCTTGGTTTATTAAAAATATGAACCTCAGTCCTGCAATCTGTAAAAGGTGTACATAGAAATGTAAAATAGAAAGATTTAATTAAAAGAACATTTAGTTAAAAGAACAAACTATTATTCGAGAAACTATACAAATTAAATTTGTTGCGTTTTATGCAATAATCACGTAACAATATTGATGTAATAGTTACCTCAATTACACTATTGTTATTCAATTTCATTTTGTTGCCAGCCAAGATTGGTCTGCTGTCCACAAAAATCGGTCGCTTTCCCTCGGATGACAAAAAGAAGTCTCCATTATTCCTTAAACGGATGGTACCTTGTCGACGCGAAACTTTCCACGCTGGACCTTCCAAACCAAGATCCACGTCGACGGTATGATCCTTTGTAGAACGTCCTACACTTATCTGGACAAAGATACAAAAAATGAGATGTAAATCTTTTAAAATATAGCAATAAACTTCATTATACATAAATAATATTAACGAATAACCGTTCTACGTTTGCTTCTTACCTCTCTGGATCTCATGAGATATCGGACGAGTCTTCCCCTTAGAATGGCTAAGGTTTGATTATCAAATTCTGGTGGATTGACACCTGTTACGCTGTCGACAAGTACCTGCCATCTACTAAGCTCGTTTTCCAATACTTTAATTTCTCTCTTGTTCTTCCTGTCCGCCGTTGCCAATTCGGCGTCTACCAATTCATCTTTCGGTTCCATCAATTCGGTATCGTTGATCATATCTTCGGCGTCCGAAAAGCTCAATACGTGTTCACCTCGTGGTAAACTTTGCACCGTCTGATCTGGTAATAAGTGATACTGTTTCATCAACTGCCAATGGCTGTGTAACGCCTTTGCGGTCCTTGCTGGATAAAACGTATGTGCATTTGCTTCAAGCAATTCTTGAAATACTTCCAATGTTGGTTGAGAGGTCTGACGAGAAAGATCACATACTCATAATAATGCAGTCATTCGAAAAACGCATTGAAAGCCAACTCAGTAATTAATTTACACAATAGATTATTTATGCTTTCTACAAAAACATTTGTCATTTAGAATCTACTAACACCCACCGATTTAATAGTCCCTAACAGCTCCTCCTCCGCTTTGCTATACAAAGTTCTTGCTTGAACACTGGCTATTAGTTCAGGATGCAAATTACGCATAGCTTGCACAGCTACACGTGAAACTGCGCTATCGTATAATAATGCGTACCATCTTTGCTGTATCTCCTGCAATGTGAAGCGACAGGAAAATTTTGTGCCTCGATGGACCTTAAACAGAGATAATAAGAATATCAGAAGTGTATTTATTCTCTTATCGGCATAGAAGAAACAAATTAGAAGCAAAGAGGAGGTAGAAACTAAACAGACAAATACCATTCTCAAATCATTCGTCTGTTGCACACCAGTGATCAACGCCAAGTCGTCGGCAGGTTTCCATCGTCCGAGATCTTTGGTGGCGTTGATGGAGTGAGAATGATTTTTACTTTTCTTATTCTTCCGTCCAGGATTCGAGCCGCTTGGCCTGCTGGGCCTGCGATTGACTCTGTCCGACTGTACCAAGGCGGTCGGTATCGGTATCGGAGTAGGTAAGGTCTGCGTTGGGAGAACGTCCATGGGAGAACAACCGGCGGTTACGGAAATCATTCGCGATTTCGACGTCGACTTGGCGCTCGTGGCAGGCGGTTGCAGATTGAACGTCGTCTCCACCACCTCATCGTCGAACTTCTTGCGTTTTATCGTTCGCGAGGAGCTTTGGAGGAAGAAAAATATATATCAACAATAGAGGTACTCTGTTTACAATGCATGCCCTCAGGCGTCAACGCGATCAATACGTCCTACCTTCTCCGTTTCCCCGTTGATAAAGCGTCCAGAGCCGACGATCCGATGGGAATATTCAGAAACCCGTCCACGCTGTGCGTGAGTCCAGTGTGGTTGAGGCTGGTCGGTGTCGGTATATCCATCGTTCAGCAAAGCGAACGCGGAGACCGTGAAACCATGAAACACCACGTGACTTCTGCCTGACAGACCTCGGTCCTCCTCGCGAACAAATCACCACTGTTCTGATGTATCGCGTTGTGTCACACCCACGCAGCTATTCGTGTTCAAAAAAAAAATATCAACAACCACCGTAATATCAACACAACACACTCGGGCAGTTGACGCGAAGTGAGTCGTAGAAGGATAGACGCGAATCACGCGAGGTGCGAGGTGCGACTCGACGAGACGGCGCGAATCGATTCTCGAGCGATCGATATACCGAAGGAGGCGCGCGACGTCGATCGCGATTAGTCGCAGCTCCCGTTCGCAGGATTTTTAAACGCGCGCTCTATCGTGCGTACGTATAAATTAATTAATTAATTAATCGAAACGGCCAACGCGCGAGACGTTACGGAAACGCCGTCTGTATAATTTCCACGACGGATAAAAATTACGTCGTGCTGTTTATGGTGTTTTATCGGACACGTGTCGCTCTCGAGTTTCACGCGTATTTTAGAGAACGACGGGATTGTTATTCTTTTCTCTCTTTGAGGGCGATCTCGTTTTTGATGAGAAAAAAATGGCGTTGGGGGGATCAAGGGGTGTTAACCTCGCGCTAATGTGCGTGTCCCCGACTCGCCGCATTCTCTCGAGGGACATTCGAAAAAGGCGGAGAGAGAGAGAGAGAGGAGAGAGGAGAGAGGCCCGGAGAGATCGTGTTCTCGCGGATCCTGGATCGGTCGCCGCGCATGCGCACCAGGCCCCGCTCGCGCGAGCGATCGGATCACGCTGGGCACGCTGCTTCCTTCGTGCAGTATGGCCCGCTCGATTCCGGTTGTGCTCGTTGTCACCACGTTCGCGCGGCAGGCTCTCCGTTCACCCGCAGGCACGGCGCACGGCAAATAATCACCGGCAGCCATGGACGAGGAATGGGGTACGTAAAGCGAGCGTGTTCGTATCGTGTAATCGCGAAACGCCCCGCGAAACGAGGGGCGATTCGTCTCGCGAGGGAAGACTGACTTTTTAACCTCCACCCCCTTTTGCTGCGCCTCTTGCAGATGTGGACGATGTGGACAACGTCGAGGCGAAATTCGACCTCGCGATGAGATCGAACAAGTGGGAGGGCGAGGACGAGGAGGAGGAGGTCAAGGTAATGCCGACTTTCCGACCGTGCGACCCGCGGACCGTCCCACGCGTGTCCGCGTGCTGTTCCCCCCGCACCTAACCTATACGGCGAACACATGTTTCCCACACCGCGCCTCTCGGTCCTGTCGATTATCAGATTTCTCCCGTTAATCTCTCGTCCCCTCACCCGCATCGTCTGTCAGAACGACATGTGCCATCTTGCGATTATCACGGTTGCGAGAGAATGAGAAATTTATTAATTATACACATGCATAAGAGGACAACAAAATTAAAACCAAGAAGGAATCACTCATGGAGTTTTTTTTTTCATTTGCTCAATATATCTAAGATCTAAGTAAAGATGTATACCTCCTTGCTCCATATATTTTTTGTACTTGGTAGAATCATTCATATATAAGAATGAATAAGTAAAATACATTTAAGGATTTATATATTGAATAATTCTTTTTTTGTCTTAATCTTTATCGACATTTACTCCAATATTTTCTTTCAATTGTTAAATGTTTTGTACAAGGCTATATTTAATCACATGCATGGATAGTTAAATAACTTATGAATAATAGCTTTTTCTTATATCTTGCTAATATATAATGTTAATTTACTTGGATTACTTGAATTGCTATTGTACATCTTTATTAGACCTTTATTAAATGCATTTATACTAAAATTTAGTTAAATTAAAAGATTTGTACATTGGTATAAATATATATTAAATACCTAAAGTTTGTTACGTGATAATGGTGGCACAATATTATTTTAAGTTTACGTATAATGACGACAATCTCTCTGTTTCATATTAAATAACCTCACCTAACAGGACAGCTGGGAAGATGTGGAAGAGGAGAAAAAGGATGTAGAGAAAAGGGATGTAGAGAAACCAGCAGAGGCCCCAAAAGCAAAGCCGAAACCTAAGAAAGCATTAGCTGAAAGAATTGAGGAACGTGAGGTTGGTTTCGACGCTTAAGGTGCGCGATTCTATTTGTATAATTTTACTCATGTTTATTTATATATGTAAAAATACAGAAGAAGGCAAAGGAGGAAGCTGAGAGAAAAGTGAAGGAAATAGAGGAGTCGCTTACGCCAGAAGAAAGGCGAGCTGAGCTGCTAAGGCGTCAGAGGTTGCAAGAGGAGGCGGACTTACGACTGGCGATGGAAACTTTCGGTTTGTCGACTCTAGTAGACTTTAGTGATCGTAAATCACATAAAAAAGAAAAGAAATGACTTTTTAACTAATGATCTGACTATTTTATACTGTGAATTGAATAGCTTTTTTTTTTTTTTTAATAGCTCTAATGTAGTAATTTTTATCTGATATCTGAAATAGACATCTCTTTTTCTCTCAGAGTTATGTTAGACGGCAGACGCTTAATTTGATAAAGAGAAATCTTTTGATAAAATATTCTTATCTTTTTATTATTTTATATATCGTAGGCGCACATTGTCATTGTAATACTAGGTAGCTGTGTTAAAAGATTACTCTAAATATGCATGGGACGATATATAAGCATTTTTGCTTTCTAACAATGATAATGACTATTATTTTTATATAAGTATGATATTTTTGACGAATTAAAAAAAAAATATTAATGTTAAACTAACTATTTGGATTGTGGTGGCACGCAAGACGAATTGTTATACATATACGTTAAATTAAATCGTACAGGTATTGTACAAGAATATCTTGGAAAAAAAATGCTAAATGCAACATACACGTATACACACGCATGGAATATGTACATATGTTTTTCGTAATATTTTTATTAACATTAATTTAAGATTGTGGCATAATAGCTTTACATAATTGTAATTATTATAGCCACCACTAGACTTACAATCGGTTTATGATAGGAACTGCATCAAACAGGGGCAGACAGACAGACAGAGAATTATATATACAAGCATTTAAACTTATTACAAGCTCTACATTTAAATTTATTACTGATGTTGTTGTATTTTAATAAAAGTTGCTATTCTATGCAGTTTGTTGTGTTTGCATCAGTCTTTGTAACCTTGTCTCTCATCTGTTATCTGTCTCCTGTACCGTTCCTGATTGTCTCTTTTGATGCATACATTGTAACATACAATAAAATACGTAAAAATCTATCAAATGCAATATGAGTTATACGTCAAATATATAAAACTTTATATTTGTTACATCAACCTTCTAACTCAAAAATATAGTATATTTAATTATAATTCTAAAATAGCAAAGTATCTCTCTGCAATTTTATAAACTTTATTATTATGCAATTTATCGGGGTGAAGGAATTTTTACAAAATATTATATTTTTAATAATTTAACACAGTAATTTGACTCGATTAAGTTGACGTGAGAGATATTACTACATTAGTTATGACATTTGATGAAAAATCCTAATATTGATGTGTGTTACATGTATGTATGTTATTACACAATTTTATGTTGCAGGTGTGACAAATGCGACAGAAGTATCGCCAAATGAATCGCTCGATACTATGGTACCCGATACAAAAGAAGAATTTGAGCAATTTGGCACAGCACTTTTACAAAAAATAAATCAATTTAACAAACACGCAGAGTATCCACCATTCGCAGAAGAACTTATAAAATCCATTGCTCTTAATTGTTAGTATGTCTGTTAACGATCGATATCTTAACGAACGGTAATGTCACTTTCATCAATAATTTTTATATTTGGAAATGTTTCTTTATTCCAGTATCGTCAAATTACTTGAAGAAAGTGAAAACTATAGTTGACAACTTACTTATCGAAAAGCAGAAGATGGAGAAGGGCGATAAGGCGAAAAAGAACAAGGGAAAAGGAAAGGCCAAGCTCAAAATCGAGGGTGACAACACCTTGTTAAGCGAATACGGTGATTATGTATATGACGAATTTGACGATTTTATGTAGCGACTTTTCACACATTCATACATTCTAGTCGCCTAAATACACGCAGAAGAATTATTAATTTGCAGAATTTATACAGAAACTTTATATTTGTATTTTCTGCATATTGAATCGTAACTAAAATGTACAACGGTTTAATCTACAATCCATGATATCGTTCACACCTAAGATGAGGAAAAAGAAAACAATAGAAGTGAAATCTAGCATTATAATATTATCGGCGAAAATGCTTAAAAATGAACACTTTACCGATAGCTGCGTGATAATGTCGCATTGACACGCAGTCATTCAGAACAGTTAGAGGTTCTACGACTTACTGTTGAGTTTTTTTCGGATTTTTATCCGCGCGTCCATCGTTGTCTATTTTCAATTTTGATGTTAATATCAGCAACGATTTTAGCATGAAAACATTGGGATTGTCGCGCGACGTACGAGCGATTCTAACTTATTGATTATGCATATATTAACATCAGGCAGCAAAGGATAGAACATTTACGTCCTTTTGTGTTGTAACCGCATCTTAATTTGTTTAAAAAAAAAAAAAAACAGAAAGAAAGGAAGAAACTCCCCTTTATATAGCTGCGCCATAGCAGACTAAAATCGTGTAATTATATTGTGGAAGTTTTCTATAACACAGCTTATATATTCATAATGCATACACAAACACACGTACACGTACTTTTATTGAAGATCGATTAGAAATAGATCGGTTGGTTTTGAAAAGAGTATATTCCTAAATAAAGGTTGATTATAAATTACGCCTCTACGATTCTTGCTCATAGTTTATTACGATTGTACATTCATCGCGGGGAGAGATATCTTTTGTATTTTGTTTCAACTGTGCGTTTCTCCATTTTGTAAATGGTATCTTTCGGCTGTTGATAAAAGGAAATTGTCTACTCTCTAAATCGTTCAGCCTAGAGAAATTATGCTCCCGCGTTGCGATGCACGCAGGAACGGGCGATATGTATCGGGGGGGGGGGGGGGGGGGATAAGGGGAGATGTTTTGAAAATAATGTTCATAAATCCATATGTAACACGATGCAGCATTAAATATCTGAAATCTAGAAGATATCGGGAAACTATTTTCCAGACAAGCGAGTTATATGAACACTTCCTGAGATCTTTCTTCGGGTATTTACTGCTGCGCAGAGATTGATATTGATTTAATAAACATCATTCATTTGACTCTTCGTTTTTTTTTCGCAGCTCGTCGAATAGGCGAATTTTCAATGTTAAATCCCCTGTCCGTACATTCTGTCAATTCCTGTGCACCGTTTCCTGTCATATCGTTCAATTTTGGTCCATTTTATCTTGCTTGGTGTTTAGATCGTATAATTTCTCAACTCGGTGAGATGAAAGAGAATACCTGCTAGTCCATCGTTGGGTTCACCTGTACATACATGTGGCTAGATTAATTAGAAATAACCTATCTGCCGAGTTTCTCTTTCCCTTTGCTCGCTCAAGAATTGTTGCGGTAAAAGCGTGAAATCAGTAATTATGTACTTATTCGTGAGTTTACGCGTACGCTAACTTCCAATTAAAGACAAAAATAGTTAAAACATGAGACAATTGATTTCGTTATCACACGTATGCGCTTATTCTAATTCGGCGAATAACATAACCTCAAGGTTTCGAAGAATGTCAAATATCTCACAACGTAAAAATATAATGGGCATTAATTCTGGCTTACCACATTGCGATAAATAAAACCCATATTTTATTGAATTAAAAAATTTCTTTTTTAAAATTGTATTTAATATATAATTAATTTTATAATGAAATAAATTTGAAGTGAAAAATGACACCACACTAGGACAGTTATCCTATTTTTATTCCTTTATTTCATTTAAATAAAAAGGTATCGAAATATGCACAATTACTGCGAATTTTACGCTTCTACCGTAGCATATTAATACTGTAAAAGAAACCAAGTCTTTTTTTATTCATATTTGCGGTCTGCGTTGCGTGAGAATAGATACTGGTTGATAATGTGAGGGAGATACCAAGAAACTTTCGAGATAAACGTCTTATCTCGAGTTTGTGTGACCTTTCGATCATTTGTAAAAAGTTGTTCGATTTAGGAAATGGCGATAACTGTGCGTTTACTATCCCGCAATGTAAACAGAGCGTTTTGTCAATCTACCGCCAAATGTATTGTCAATTCCAATTCGGATACGAGAGAATCGAGGGATGGCGCAATCAAGGATTGGAGAGTGGAATTGTACGACACCATGAAGGTCCTTCCGAATTTCATCAGCGAGAAAGAGGAGGATATCCTGGTGCGAGAGGTTGACCCTTACATGAAACGACTGCGCTACGAATTCTCCCATTGGGACAATGTTGGTAAAACGCGTGTGTTTTTATGTTTCTCTATATATCTGGATTGTCTCGTCGTGAATTATATCAATATTTTGGATCTTCGCAGGCAATACACGGCTATAGAGAGACCGAATGGAAGAAATGGAGCGAAGATAGCTCACTGATTCTCGACAGAGTTCGCAGGGAGGCGTTCCCACCGGAAACGATGCATCTCTCACTTGTGCATATACTAGACTTAGCTCCTGATGGATGGATAAAGCCGCATATTGACAGTGTCAGGGTAACGAAACATTATTTTCATCCTCCGAGAAGAACAGCGCGATGTTTACTGATAGCAACTTCGACTAAACTTTGATTAACTTACTCAATGATTAATATTTGCTACCTTTATTATTTTCTTTGTTCTTTATACTGTACTAATAGGGTAATGAAACATTATTTTCATCCTCTGAGAAGAACGGCGCGATGTTTACTGATAGCAACTTCGACCAAACTTTGATTAACTTACTCAATATTTGTTACCTTTATTATTATTAATATTTGTTACCTTTATTATTATTAATATTTGTTACCTTTATTATTTTCTTTGTTCTTTATACTGTACTAATTCTGGTTACGTGGATGAAATTATCATTTCTTGTTGTTTAAGATGTGAGAAAGAAAATTAGGTCAGAGAATATAATGATTGGAAATGTTGCTTCAAACAATTTCAGTTGAATTAATTGGCCATCAGTCAAATTAATCAAAGTCTGATTCAAGTCGCTTTTAATACGATTTATTCAACACCTTGATACGATTTCTCTGAAACATTTTACAGTTCTGCGGGGGCATCATTGCGGGATTAAGTTTGTTAAGTGACAGCGTGATGAGATTAGCAATGGAAGGACACGAGAAAGAACACGTTGCGTGTTTCTTGCTACCGAGGAGATCGTTGTACATCATGAGGTTCGATTTATCCGCTATTTTTATCGTGGGCGTTTTTTTTTCATTATTATCGCATCATTATAGATATATTTGTGCATTTTTAGCGGCGTCGCAAGATACAAGTACAATCACGAAATCCTCAAATCCGAGGAATCGTACTTCGAGGGACGACACGTGCCAAAGGGCAGGCGCATCTCTATAATATGCAGAAGCGAAGCTGATCCCGAAGTTACTTAATTTATTCAAACGTCGCAGTGTCAAAATACCTCTGTAAATATTTAATCGCGACTGGTAGGAACAAAGGATTGTCAATAAAGTATGTTGTCCGAGATTGACACACGACATGGAAATTTGATGCTAAAAATGCTTCTGTATCTGATCTCGAGCCACTTTATACTCGCAATAAAAACTCACGTTCAATCACGTCGTTCAAACTCGCCGCCACGAATGGTCGGTCCACGTGATCTCGCGCGGGACGACAGGTAGCGCTGCCGGTCGAGTCGCCGGGGATTCAATCGGCGTGGCGCGGCACGCGGCGGCACGTCTACGGGATCGTCGCTCGTCGATGGCGGGGCCGTCGTGGGCCGTCGTACGAAACATGGCGTCCGCGAGGTTATTGCTGTGAGTGCTGTCCCGTTTTCTGTCGTTAAATGCGGCATCGTCGCGCGGACTCCGGTCTGACGCGAAGCGTCGTGTCCTCGGGACCGGCGAGGGCGTCCGCTTGAACCCCGCCGCCACCCGGGTCTCGGGGGCCGCTCGGTAGGCGCGATTAATCGGCGGCCAGGCAGCGAGGAGACACAGAGCCCCCCGTCAACACGGAGTTGGGCGCTTGTGGGTATACACACACCCTGACGCGCGGGACCAGCCTGGGGACCGAGCTCCGTCAGCTCCGAGCGTGTCGCGACCTTCTTCATCGTCCCCGGCCGAGTTGACCGTTCCCGCGAGCCGCGACCCCCGCGGCGAGGGTTCCCCAGGTAGGGCGAGCGGGGCACCCCGTGCGCTGCCGCCGCCGTCGCCGTCGCCACCGCCGCACACACGGACACGCGCTTCAGAATGCCGGTCCCCCCCGTGATGAGATTGTTTTTGTACACGGGGTGGTAGAGGCGCGAGAGCCCGGGGGAGAACGCTCGCACGTTCCTCGCGCCCCGATGGAAAGCGGCGCGGTGGCACCGACGTGGTCGCGCAGCATTGTCCGATTTCGCAGTCGCCGTAGCGTCCGCGACCGAGCGAGGCCGATGTAAACGCGGCCGACGGTGTTCCGGAGGCACGGGACCGCGTGTCGTTGTCGAGGATGCGCCCGACGACCGAGCGACGACGATAATACACATAACATATGATCCCAATGTATCCCCATCGTCGGGAAGCGGCAAGGTAAACATTAAGCAGAATAGTTGGAGAAACGGGGAGTGCCCACCACACTGGGCACGTTTTTACTTTTCTCGTTGCGTGAACGAAGTAGCGAGATACCGTCGTGCGCGCGGAGAGAGGAAAAGGGTGTGATTTACGCTACAGAAGAGTGGAGCAAGGAGAGTGTTGAGCCATATGCCGCCAGCCGGGCTATCGGCGAGAGGCTTGTCTACCTTGATGGACCACGGACAACCGGATGCTCGTCATCGGAGCGAGCGTTTCCTATTTTACTCAGAGAATGGCTCCTCACATCCTCATAGTCCCAACACGGCCAACTCATCGCCACGGTATCAGTACAACAGCAGAACCAATAGTCATACTGCTAGGTAAGGAAAACAAGTCTCTAAGACGTCGAGTCTCCACGAGCTATACTCCTTTGGTAGACGCGTCCCATGCATTTGTGACACATTCTTCTTGCAGTTACGGGTCCACATATGGACGTACGTCTAGCAACAATATGTCTGATAGCAGTGTTTCTGACACGCATAGCGGCGGAACTGCGAGAACTATCTCTCAACAGACTAGTCCATCCCACGGCACACATTCCTCTTCTCAGTCGCGGCAGGACAATAGCATCACTATCTTCACAGCCCTCTTCGATTATGTCGCTCAGGGTGAAGATGAGTTATCCCTGCAGAGAGGGGAAACTGTTGAGGTAACTTATTTTCAGACGACAGCACGTAACTGTCTTATAGTAGCATAACGTAGGAGTGTACGAAATTACAAGACACAATTATTATTTTCCACGATAGGTTTTGTCTAAGGACGCTAAAATCTCAGGCGACGAGGGATGGTGGACAGGAAAGATTCGTGGAAAAGTGGGAATTTTTCCGGCAAACTTTGTTGCAGAGGCAGAAAGCATCGATCAAGTTTCGTCGGTGATCGATAAAGTTCAGCCAATTGAAATCGACTTTGAGGAGTTGCAACTGGAAGAAGTTATAGGAGTCGGAGGATTTGGAAAAGTATACAGGTACACCCGTGAACTAATTTATAAAATGCACAAAGCCATTACGTTTTAAAAATATTTTATAGATTCCCGAAATATTGATTTCAAAGCACTAAAAATAATTTCGAGATATATAAGATATTTCATCGAGACTCTTTGATAAATTTGTTTACTCTTTCTAGGGGTTTTTGGAACAAACACGAGGTAGCTGTCAAGGCTGCGCGTCAAGATGCGGGCGAGGAACCTAGTGCAACATTAGAAAACGTTCGACAGGAAGCGAAATTATTCTGGTTGTTGAAACACGAAAATATTGTGCAATTAGAAGGAGTGTGTTTAAAAATGCCCAATATGTGTCTCGTGATGGAGTACGCTCGCGGCGGCAGTCTTAACAGAGTTCTCAGCGGCAGGAAAATAAGGCCTGATGTATTGGTCGATTGGGCGATACAGATCGCGAGAGGGATGGATTACCTTCACAACAAGGCACCCATAAGTCTTATTCACAGAGATCTAAAAAGTTCCAACGGTAAGATATTTTAATATTAATGATAATTTGTGTTTAGTATTAATAAACAAGATTCTGTTACTTTTATTGTAAATAATTTTTTTTTTTACATTGACAGTATTGCTAAGTGAGCCGATTGAAAATGACGACTTTCAATACAAAACTCTGAAGATCACGGACTTTGGTTTGGCGAGGGAAGTCTACAAAACGACTCGTATGTCTGCGGCCGGAACGTATGCCTGGATGGCGCCGGAAGTTATTAAAAAGAGTACTTTCAGCAAAGCCAGTGATGTATGGAGGTCAGTTCTCATTGCCAGATTTATTATTTAAAGATTGCAAGTAGCATTTAAAGAAAATCCTTTTCTAGTCGTTTATTTAACTGTGCTTACTTCCCATTAAAGTATTTGATATATTTAATAATAGCTATGGCGTGTTACTGTGGGAACTTTTGACGGGGGAGACACCGTATAAGGGTATCGATGCTCTGGCTGTAGCATACGGTGTTGCTGTCAACAAGTTAACTCTACCTATACCATCTACCTGTCCTCAACCGTGGAGTCTTCTCATGGAAGGTAAAAGCTTCGTAACATTTAAATGAGATCAAGATATTTCTTCTGAAATATCATACGCGCCTTCTGGACGAATATAATACTAAAAATGATTTATTATACAGCATGCTGGGCATCGGATAGTCACGCTCGACCGGGATTCACGGAAATCTTAATAGCTTTGGACGAAGTGCGCAGCGCATTCGCGGCAACGCCACACGAATCTTTTCACACGATGCAGGAAGATTGGAGGCAGGAGATCGAACAAGTTCTGCATGGATTGCGCATGAAGGAAAAGGTACACGCTCTATTTAATGTTACGCTAATTATACATTCTCGTATATCAAATCATTCGATGTGATATAAACGGTCATAATTGTGCAAATAATCTTTGAATTTTATATATGTATGTGTATATAAATATGCATAATGAATAACATTTCCAATCGTTATTTTAAATGCTTTGCAAAGGCATGCCGTTCTTTAGAAGAGGTAAGACAAAAGAGTTGGTTAATATATCGTTGTTAGAGAAAGAATTATATATTTATTTTTTTTACCATTTTTTTTATTAATTAAAAATAAATTATTCTAAATATGATGAAAGGTTTAAAAATTATTATTAAATTTTCTGACGTATTTTCTTTTACTCACAAGGAGCTGCGCTGTAGAGAAGAGGAACTGACGAAGGCACAAGTGCAACAGAGACAGCACGAGGAAAATTTGAGGCAACGGGAACAGGAGTTAGCCGCGCGCGAGATAGCCATATTGGAGAGGGAGCTCACCGTGATGATCATTCAACAGCAAAACACGCCTACGCCGAATAAGAGACGTGGCAAATTTAAGAAGTCGCGGTTAAAATTAAATAAGAAGGAACCTGGAAGCAATATTAGTGCTCCTTCGGGTAAGAATGTCTGCCTTTCTTATACTTTTATTACGTGTGCAATCAACAAGATTTCTCAGATTTTATTTATCTGCACGTAATTGTATTCTCTGTTTGAAACTTATGTTAGACGTGTATTGTGAGTTTGATACCGGGGGCGTATTGTTTAGATTTTCGTCACACGATCACCGTTCAGGACACGGCCTTGGATCGAGGCAAAGTGAGGAATCCGTCGAGACCGAACAGTCCCCCAGGCTCGCCCAGCATTCCGAGGCTCAGAGCGATCGCATGTGAGTAGCTTTTTACTTTGAAATACTGCTTTTAGTAGTACCGTGATTATGACAATGTATTGTGCAATATGAGTGAATTTACGAGCGAATCAAACGTATTGGAATTGTAATCGAACAATTTGAATGTAACACTGTTTGTACGTGGTAGACACTTTGTACTTTTATTCGTGTCGATATTTTTTTTTCGGCATGGTGTGCACAATCATTGTTTTTTTATATATATATGAATACTCTTCCATTTTATTTTCTATTCTTGCAAAAATCACGATTACTTTGAGCTAATGTATTATTTTAGTATATACTCATCAATTGCTGAAATTAGCGTGCACAGTTATATCGTTTGACATATACAGTCGCTTTCCGAAGAGTATATCCGTAAAGAAGCTTCATCTCCGCGCCGAATAAGCGAAGGAGATGAGAAGAGTAGTTAGTATCGTAGTGAGTAGCACTTTGTTTCTTTTTCTTTCCCCGTTTAGTACCGGCGGACGGAGTTAAGGGTAAGACTTGGGGACCGTCGACGCTTCATCAACGTGAGCGCGGGGCTATTATCACCCAGCCGCCGAACCCCGCCTCTCCTGGCGGCAAACGCTGGTCCCGTTCCGCGCCAGATCTCGAAAAGACACCTCTGCGTACAGCCCTGTTGGCGAACGCACACCGCTCCCCGCTTCTGCAGGAAATAGGTAACCCTACCACCAGAAAATTGTACTCCTCGGCCAATAACCTGATAGACAATCAGCCAGGATGTAGTAGCTATAACGATATACCGCAAAACTCGCTCGACAGCATTGTGCTGGGGGGCAAGTACTGCGACATAGGCGAGGACTTTGTCATTTTGGACAACGACATATACGAGTCCGTAGTCCTGCATAACAAAAATCCCTCGAACAATCTTAAGGCCCATTTCTCGGAGGAGCCCTCGATAATCAACGACGATTACCCGTTAAAAGCGGTAGGTCACCGCGCGGCCGTCACCGGAGGGGTCACAGTCTCGAAAGTCCCGTCGCCCAAGTGCCAAAAGCCGCCCGAGTGGGAGCCCTCGTACTCCACGAATTTCGTGCAGAACGTAGCGTCCACTCTGGTGGGTACCGCGAAGCGGGTCAAGAGTAAGAAGCGCGACAGGAGCAAGTCGAAGGAGTCGAAGCGCAGGGACAGTTCGGAATCGCGGCTGGCGTCCCTGGCCGATTTCTTCCGGTCGCCGTCCGGCTCGCGTAAGAGCTCCCTGAATTCACCGCGTAGCGGCGAGCGAAAGAACTCGGTTACCATCAAAATTAACGACTACGACGGTCTGGAGTCGAGCCCCGAGAATTCTATCGGCGGCAAAACCCAGCAGTCCCAGCACAAGTCGCGCATTTCCAAGAGTCCGCTGCGGGTGTTGAATAAGATGAAGACGTGGGGCAGCCGGGACGCGCTCGACGACAAAACCACCGCGGTTAAAGTGGAGTACAGCGTCCTGGAGAACGTCATATCCATCCCGCAATTGAGCCGTCGCGACTCGGGCGAGCAGGCGGTCAACATCGGCGGGGTCGCGGTGCCCAGGTTTCTCGCGGCGAACTCGCGCGAGGGGATAGACTTCGAGAGCCTCGAGTCGGAATTGTGCAATTTCGACTCGGAGCACTCGAACGACAGCTCGAGGTCGAAGAGCTCGTTGGGACCGTATCAGGAAACGACGGGCTCCAGGCACAAAAGGTCGCCGATCGCTTTCGAATTGGACGCGTCGCCCGCGAAACCGGTCACCACCGCGTACCGTGGTTTAGACCACGGCATCGAGATGAGTTCCTTTTTGCATCACAAGTCCAGAAGTAACGAATACTTGCGCAGCTGCGACGGCGACAGCGTCGCGCAAACGTCGTCGCCTGGTTGCCTCCAAGAGGGGAACGATCATCAGAGCCCGCGTGCCAATTACAGTCCAAAGAGAAGTCTGCCCGCGTCTCCCCCGGATCACGTCGGTCTATGTCGCTCGACCTCCGAAGATACCGACGTCGTGCCTAAGAATTTCGCTGGCGAACAATTCCCGAGGAAGGGTGACAAGTAGTCGCGCGCGGCTTCGACGAAACGGATGTACTCCCGCGACTTTTTACACATATACAGGGCGTTCCCGTGCGTGCTGCGCTGTCTCTCTTTTAATTCCAAAATTCAGATCCGATCCCTTTTGGGACACGCGGGCCGTACAGTATCCGCGATTCGTTTGTGAAGGAAGCGCAGCCGAGTTACGAATGCCCTGTATTTTTTTTTTAACAAGAACGCAAGTAGAGCCTGCAGCTCGAAACGCATTTCGATGGCATGCCTCCTTTCCGCCGCACATTTCTTTTTTTACATGGTATTTGAATGACTTCGTACTGATCGTGTGTTTCTATTCTATCGCAGGCCTCTCTGAGGAAAGCATCTACCACACCCGTAAGTTTTCTCTTCACGCAACAGTTGTTATGTCGTATTTCTCACTAATGTTTCTCCTTCCATCACCTCCATTCACCTATTTCCTTCTATCTAGACTTTTATTCCGAATTTTATTTCTTCCTTTTCTCATTCTCTTTTTTTTTTACCGAGCGACGGTTTGTATTGTAAAGCTCTAAGGCAAAGATCTCAAGTAGACAATGTCTTTTTACTTTCGTAACTGAACGTTTTGCAATGAAGCCTTATCACGTAGTTTATTAGCTATTGCTTAGTGGTTGATCACATAGTGATAAATGCATGTGTACACCGATCGATAGTGTCTTTTCTCATTGTCTCTGCCAATTCGTTTGCGGAACGACGCAATCAGATTTGTTCTGGATGAACTGTACGGACTTCTCGTGGACGTCTGATTGAGCGATACTCTCGTTGCCCCGTTAATGTCTCGCGTCTATCACATAGTATATTCCCAGGATCATTTTATCGGGATGGACTTGGTCTCCTGTGCAGCGTGAACTTATTCAGACTTGCGAGGTGGTTTGGATTAGATTCGGTAAGGGACCAGATTTAGAAATTTAAGTTTAATTCGCCCCCTCCCCCTCTCCCCCTGTTCTACGACGAGAAACGCGAGGAAGCTGGTGTATTTGCGAGGTTGCCTAGGGCTGCCTCGGAAAGACGGAAAGTATATCGAGCGTGACGCCGAACCCTTAAAACGTTTATGCAGAGGGCACGGACTTGTTTCTTTTTGTTTTTTTTTGTATCCCCACCCTTCCCCCTTACGCGCTATATAATTTACGAATTATTTATCCTAATTTAAGCCAATGTGATACTCGTAGTCCGAGTAAGCTAAAATCTAATGAGAATATTAAAAAGAATATATATTAAATATGTATATGTATACACAGTCTTTCTGGTGTTGGTTCTTTTCTGATATTTATCTGGAAGACATAACATTTCTAACAAGCAGATCTAACAGCCCACTACTACGCGAAAGAGAGTCACACGCTTCGTCCATTACCGCAAAGTTCAACTTTAACGGTACTGTTTTTACATTGGAGCGTTATCAGGTTGTATGTCTGCATAGTCATAATTTTTATCGAACGAAACGAAATCAAAATTACATCACATATATATTGTATAGATATATGAAAAGAGAAGTAGAGAGCGCGAGAGAGAGAGAGAGAGAGAGAGAGAGAGAGAGAGAGAGAGAGAGAGAGAGAGAGAGAGAACGAGAGAGAGAGAAAGACGGAGAGAGAAGTATATATTTGTTAACGTAGCCCCTCTTATTTCGTTGTCTTATGTGCATTTAGATTGATTGGAAATTTATTAATTGTTAAATACAACTTCCACAGCGAATTGTTCGTTTCTGTATTTGTTATGCCAAACTTCCAACGTTTCCGAGAGCAAAGATCTTTTGCACACATCACATTCGACACATGGAACCACACACACACTTGTATTTAGAAATAGAAATTTTTTTCAATAAAACCTTTTCAGTTGGACACGTTGAATTTTGTTTTTTCGTTTTGCTGAATTTTTACGCTCGGTCTATGGTGATAATTGCTTTATTATATTTGACGATAACAGATTATCGGCATAATATATCTCTTGTACTGTCCTTTTACTGGCGTTCGTGCACACGCTGTAGGATTTTTAAACGATTACTTTTATTTATAATGAAATATAACGGATTATATATTCATTAACGCTTACAACTGCACATGTGACGTGAACAGGATTATACAGTGTGCCGAGAGAAAGAGAGAAAGAGACGGCCGAGCGTAAAAAGAAAATAATCCTTGCATGCTTCCAGTAGGATCCTAACTGTTAACTCCGATTGGGTTTGGTTCCTTTCTCTTCCTCAGGTCCTAGTCTCGCTAAGGAGTAAATATTCGCGTGTTACATTTTTGACAGTTGCGAGAAACGCAAACGTTAAATGCTTCCGCTACGATTAATTCCGGCTTTATGTGACTTTGTTCTTAGTCGTTTTGTTTTGAGTCGATGAGAGTTGAAAAGGTGAAATGAGAAAAAGAATGGTCGTAAGTAAAAAAATGTACAAGACAGTATCTTTACAGTAATTTATCGCTCGATTAATTACAGACTATCCTAAGTAGCGTTCGGAGTGTTCCATATTTTAGATGCGAGCACAATGTCTTTCGGATTTATCTCTAAACAACTTTGAGAACGTAGTATGTATCGCACGAAATCTACATTAAGACAAAAATTAGTAGATCAGTAGAAACATTTATCTTATGCGTTGAACTTTGCTTCTGTTTATAAAAATTGGCTAAGTCTGATATCGGCAGTTAAGGTATACTTGAGGATATTTCACATTATTTGGAATGTTAAGTTTAAAAAAATGCACATGTATTTGATTATTATATACTTTGTTGGCTTAGCCAATTTTTAATATACGCCTTATATGTTGTACAATTTGGGTGCATACCTTTTAACGGGATGTGTTCTTAGTGCCAGTAGAAACAGCTAATGCGTGAAGATAATATTTAATTTACATTTTTACGTCTTTAATTGCTTGCATGCATGCAGTAATAATAATGAGTAAAACTAGTAAAACGACTAAGCATGCGGATTGTCGCGCTACTAAACACTGAGTCAAAGTTTTGAACGTATAAAAAATGTATTATTATATTAAAGATCTAATTAATCGCGCGGACAAGGTAAGCAATATGTTTTCCCGATCGCATTTACGAATTACGAAGAGGGAGAAGAAAAAGAGGCGTACATTATGCTTATAAATGAAACCCTTAATTTGTCACTTGTAGATTCGCTTAAATGATCCTATTACTCTCGCGAGCGGACCGTGCGAGACTGCTACGCCTGTCATCGCCCCAAAAAAACAACCTGAATATCTTTTATAGATTATACAGCATTACCGCCCGATCTGTCGGCCGATAACTGGATAACGTCGGAATATCCTCTGAAGCCCGGGCTAACCGGGCCCTACATCATGCCGATGCCCGTACCCATGCCCACCCTCTACAACGGCGAAACGAAAAAACCAAAGCTAAGCATAGTCGAGCTGGTATTGTACAACATCGCGGCGATGCTGGCCGGCGTAGCCACCGGCTACGACGTGAGAATGTCGAACATATCCCCGATACATCCGCGCCTCTATCCACGGATGGGCGAGTGCGACGAGGATCAGCCAAGGTGGTGGTTTCAAGCGGACACCGGATCGAATCGCAACTCCTACCTCGGCGCCGATTACGAGTTCAGCTCGAGCAGCGGCTATCCGCACAACACTTATCACGGACGGGCACACCATTGCAGGTAATCTGGCAAGAAAAGAATGTTTTTTGCTAAGAAAAGAGGAAGTGATTAAGCAATGGTAGCCGGTTTAATCTACACATGAAGCGACAGCTATACTCTACTCACATAGATTAACGCAATTATCATTGCAGGCCGTTCCTGAGTAACATGGGTGGCATAGCGCCCGGCCTTCCATCCGTGGCGATGCCGGATAAGCCGTTGCGCTTTACGGATTCCCCGCAGCACTATACGAGTAGCACGACGGGTTCTAACGCCCCGACGCCAAGCCCGAGAAGGAAGAGCAGCAGCAGCACCAGCAACGAGGATGCGTACTCGCACGATGCGGCCCGCGTCGATCGTATGGAGAGGGTGCCAACGATATATATGGGTAACGTCGCCCCATTCCCGGATTATGGACCGCCAATGTATACCGTCGTACCACCGGAGTACTATCGGCCCCCTGAACCGACGTATTTCATACCTGCGGAGTATCAGTAAGTATTAATAAAACATGTATCAGAATGATCGCAAAGTCAATGATAAAACTTTAGTAGCGTATAAACTTTGCTTAATTAGTTTCTTCTAGATTGTAGATACAGTTTTGAAACCGACTCGGGGAAAATCGAAGTCATATGACAGAGTGTCATTGGAGCACGGTTTTAGATCAATAAGAGGTCTTTCGTTGCTTTTCAGCGACCGGATGCTCGAGTGCCCCGAGTTCCCGCACGCGTACGACAATCCGAGCAGCATGAACAGCCCGGCTAGGCCGGTGTCCAGGCTTTTGCCCTACACGCATCACCGCACCTCGTCGAACGTCTCTAACGCCAGCACGTCGAGCCAGAGCAACGTCAACCCGACATTCCGGCTGGAGGACGAGGACGACTATGGCGTGTATTCGCCGATATCGTATTACCAGCGACCTTCGAACGTTATCTCCAACTTGACGACGACGTATGGCGGGAGTATAATTAATCACGAGTACGGCTCGCCGTTGCTGACCCGTCAGAACTCCCACGACTCCAACTCGAATTCCGGTGAGCGGCCGAGCAATCTGGAGGTGGTCACGCGGTTACGCTCGAGCCTGAAACGATCCAGTTACAATCCATACAACTCGCCGAGCAAGAGCGTGAGCAAAAACAACTCCGGTTCGGGCACACCGACGAATCCAACACCGCCGGATTCGCTCACGTCCGAGGACTCGAGCTACGTCTCCGCCAAGGACAGCCAGATTTCCATCGGCCGGGTACGCTTCTCGCCGGTAACGTTCGATCGCGATGGCGTGTCGGCACGCGAAGCCCACAGAGAAACGCTGCTGGACATCCCGGTTCACGGTCAGAGCCAGGACGTCACAGTGCCGCTGCAGGCCAACCGACGCCTCAATCGAAACAGGAAGCCGAGCATCTCGGAGCTTGAGAGGGAGTTCTTGTCATAGCACTGGCTTATTTAAGGCCGCGCGGCTCCCTCTCATGTAGGACCAGCTGGACCAAGCGGGTTCGTCGATATTTTATCTATTTATCGATATTTCTAGCGAATGGTAGTCCTAGGACCGATCTCTTTATGCCTCCGATTATACAATTGCGATTATGAAATCTTATGATCGTCGACTGGAAGAATTTGCAAAATGAATTGCACGTTATCGAAGCACTGCCTCTCGCGGACGATTCTCAATGGTAGTAGTACACTAACAAGTCTGGGAATTATTACATTCCATACAACACACAATCCAGCGAAAAAATCACGTAACGTAGCATAATGCGTGATTGGACGCGAATTTTTAATTTGATAACGCTAATGATATTTGATATACGTGTCGCATGTAGAAATACATATTACACGAGCGAAGATTGCGACGCGACGTGGTATATATTCAAATTGCATATTACTCCGAGAATAAACA